TGACTGTATCTTTATTGTGTTTTTATCCATCTTGCAGTTATAGCTTTTACTGATGCTTTTAGCTGCCTCCTATTAGAAAGGCAGGCTGGACACATTTTAATGAAATAAATATAGCTAGTTTTCAGCAAGTCAGCGGTATGAAGAAGGATAAGGTGTGTTTGTAAAAATGAGGCTTTGAATAATGAGGAGTGCTTTGCTTTTTAAAAGTGTGAAGCGGGTTTCTTGAACCCCTAATAATGAAACATTAAGTACATCTTGGCCAGACAGACAATGTTCAAAATGTCGAAGGAATGAGTGGTGCAGTGCAAGAACTGAGTCGCTTCACAGCAGACAGAAAAAAACAAATCCTCTACATTCTCAGTTTCCAACAGACTTCACATTCTCTGGCAATTGTCTCTTATTCAGTGGGCACCTGCCACCTAGTGGCTACAAGCAGGAAAAAATATTTTTCCGTAAGTGGAAAATAAGTGAGCAACGTGTTTGGGCTGCCAACGTTTCAGCCTCCCTTACTGCATGGATGGAAAAAACAGGTTTAACTATTAATGTGCTGTGTACTCTTTGGTAGCAGAGGAATCTGGAAATTACCTAAGTGTGTCTGAACATTTACAGCGGGCAGGGGACAGCTGCCTTGCACAACGGAAGGCTATAAATTGTGGCAATAAAAGGAGAATTCAGGAACTTTGGGTTTGTGTATAACTTTTTGACTTTTTTAAAAAAAGGTTTCCTGTATCATAAAGGGGTGAACTTTTGCTTAGGAAAAGGGGACTAATACATCTCAGTTGTGAAGAAAGGTCACTGCGAAATGAAAAGTTGGAATCACTGTATATGTAATGTTACTCCTAAGTATTAGCACTTTTAAAAACTTTATGGAACTGTTTAGAACTTTTACAGCTGTCTGGAACTTCATAAAACTGTTTAGAATGTTCTAGAAGAATTCAAATATTGGTCTATAGAAAAAATGTGCAATCAAAGCGATGCAGGAACTTTATGGTGCTTGCAGCAGAAACAAAGGCAAACTGCAACCTCAATTTATTCTAAGCAATAAGAAGTGATGGACAATGTACAAAACATTATTCAAGTACTGTATTAGAAAATTTGCAATATCTTTTTTTCTTATATTATAATACATACTGTACTATGCATATTACATTATACAGTTACATATACAAAAACTGATTTATTGATTTTGGGGTGACTTTTTCGAAAGCTTTGGAAATGACAGTTCATTCCTTTGTTTTTAGGCAAAAGTTCGTCTAACTAAGCTACAGGAACATGAGGTTGAAAAGTTATAACCCTAGTGTATAGACCAAATTTCAGCACACACGAACTCAGTTACCACATTCTTCATAGACAAAATCAGCTCATTATTTAAAGTTTGTTGGATCTTTACCCAATAGGTGTCCTCTTAATCAGTGCTTTTTTCTAAAAAAATGTTTAGGGGTACTCTCATCTGAGACTCAGGAAACACCATGACAGGAAATGAGGCCGCCATTGGGGGTAGCAATGGAACTGACGATTCACAGTGCTAGAGAAGAAACTAAACAAAAATTAAATTTTTAGTTTCTTCTCCCGTTAGATTCACAAAATATTTAGGGGCATGCGTACCCCTGCGTCCCGTCCCCCCCAAAAAGCGCTGCTCTTAATCATATCATGACCATGGTTTTCAAAACTAGGTCACACACTCTTTTTGTGAATTGTCTCTTGTGTCCCCCCCCCCCCCCCCCCGTTTCTCTCTTGTATTTAAACTGTAATCATTTGGGTCCAGGCGGGCTGGTTGGGGTGGCACCTCAGATTACCCAAAAAACAACTGAGAGGTAAGGAGCCAAGTTGGCTGTTCTCAAGGGTACCATGCCAAACGACTGGAACATAGAATAACAGACCAGGCTGCCCACCCTCCCCAATTTTGAAGGATAACTATCAAGAAGTTGTTGGAAAAGCAGCCATCTAGGAAAGGTTTGTTCTGGAGACATCTCTTTATTAAAGGTTTTCCAGCGGGGCCCTGAACTGCAGCACTCATGCTGTAGAGATGATAGTTAAGAGAAAGTGACTCATCTATAAGAAATAGAGTTTATCACTTAGATTCCAATTTCGAGAGGGCAACCTTTATATCACTGCCGGTCAGTGCTATTTTTCTAGAAATAGAGGTGCTGGAACTCACCACAAATACCTCCCTTGTTCTCTTATAATGGCAATGGAGCCCACCTGAGGTTTTTTCAGTTCCTGCTTTAAAAAAGCCCTGCTGCGGGTGAGGTTATGTTGCCCTCAGAAAACTCACAATCAGGAGCAAATGACTCAGATAGCACTCGTCTCTTCAGCGCATTTGAAGTAAGTCCTTTGATAGACCTCCTTGAAGGAAACTTAATGTACTTTTGATTTGCTGTCTGTCTCAAGAGGCAATGGAGTGCACCACCGGGGATGAAGTCCAGTCTGGCAGTGTGTGTGGAGGTCCCTGGGCTGCCCAGACATCAAGACCTCCCTCTCAGCCTCGCTATTGTGGTCCAAAGGAAAGCAGAGCAATACATTTGGCACCAGCTTGGCTGTGGGAGTTGAGGGAAGGTGTACAAGGCGCCATCCCACCATCTTAGGGACTCCGCTCTGTTTTTGTGTCGGGTTTACTCCCTAGCCTTTTCTTCTCCCGAAGATATCCCACAAGGCAGGGGAGGAGGAGGGTGGTTTTCCTTCTCCTAGATGGGCTCCCTGTTGCAACATACCCTTCATAAACTTCCAGGATACATTGTCAAAGGCTTTCTCCATGTCCAATGCCCTTAAAATGGCCAGCTTATCTATTCTTAAACCCAGGTATTCCAGCAGATTTATAATATTTCTTGTATTACTCTGAATCTGTCTACTGGGGATGTAATATGACATTTACCGATGTAATATAAGAATGTTAACAAATAAATAAAATGCAAATTCAAAAATAAAATAAAATAGATGGGCTCCCTTCCCAGGTAGACGAACCTCACCTGCCCTTCATTTCCCTCTACAGCATGTGCAGAAACCGTCTTCTAGACCATTGTACCCCGAATTGGTCTCTTCCACTCCATCCACTGGAGCTTGTCTTCGCATTCCGGGGAACTCACCTAACTCCACACACTATTGCGCATCTTATTCTACCTACTGGGTAGTTATGATTGTTCCTGAATTACCTAAATGAACACACCACCTATTCTGATTCCTTAACACCACATAGTCACGACTCAGAAAGTGTGGATTGGGATGGAGGATCAGGCCTTGTGATGGAGTTTCTACTTCTGGAGTAATGGGAAGGGGACCAGGAGCTTCGGGAAGGGTAGCTGCACATGACTATTACAAAGCTGTTGGGATGAGCTGTGCTTCTTCTGCCTCAATGCTAAGAAACTCATACAGGATTGGAAGCTGGGAGAAGGGACAAGCCCTAAGCCTAAGGCTAAAGGGTCTGTGTCTGACAGGGTGGATGAAAACCAGATTTAAATTGGATTTTTCTAAAAATAAATAAATCAGAATTTAATTTCTTTTAAAATATAAATAGTAAGGTTTCTTTTAAACACCAACTAGATTGACATTAAAATTGTGTGAATACAAATACATGCTAGCCCTCCTGTTATTCTCTAAACCAAATCCCTGCCTGTACCAGATAACTGGGTTAAATATGTAAATGAAGAACCAACGTGATCATTTTTCCAATATGAACATTTACACTCAGCATTTCATTTTCACCTGATGAAACATAAAGTGCTCTGTGTCTGCCCAGTAATTATACTAGTGATCCTATGCCCTTTTATATCAATCGTTGTTAAATTGTGGTAGACTGAATAGCACAGGGGAAGGGAAATATCCATTTCACAGGGCTTCTTTGTCTGCTCAGGGACAATTGTTGCTCAGCACCAGAGAGCGACTATTTGAGCCTAATATGGAAGCCTTAAGGGATGTGGGTGGCGCTGTGGGTTAAACCACAGAGCCTAGGACTTGCCGATCAGAAGGTCGGTGGTTCGAATCCCCGCGACGGGGTGAGCTCCTGTTGCTCGGTCCCAGCTCCTGCCAACCTAGCAGTTCGAAAGCACATCAAAGTGCAAGTAGATAAATAGGTACCGCTCCGGCGGGAAGGTAAACGGCATTTCCGTGCGCTGCTCTGGTTTGCCAGAAGCGGCTTAGTCATGCTGGCCACATGACCTGGAAGCTGTACGCCGGCTCCCTCGGCCAATAAAGCGAGATGAGCGCCGCAACCCCAGAGTCAGTCACGACTGGACCTAATGGTCAGGGGTCCCTTTACCCTTTTTATGGAAGCCTTAGGGGTGGTGACATCCAATGACGCTTGCCTATTCGCACGTCACCCCCAGTTTCTCTTCTCCCCCCGCCTCCAGCCCCACCACACAGGCCCAGAATCTGCTCCAGGGTTCTTGGTTTTTTTTGGGGAGGGGCTGCAGCTGGGAGGAGAAGCCCTGTTGTGCAGGCAGATTCCCACTCATACTAAGCTGGATCAGTTGCCAATTATCATAGACTTTTACTAAGACTTAATGTGTTTCCCGCTGAAATGTTGTGAGGTAGATTTGCTGGTGTCCTGTATTTCGCATGTGCTAATCAGGAAGCAGAATGCATGAAGAACATTCTTCTGTCCTGTAGACTACAGAAACAGGCCCAGCAACATCTGATTAATCCACTAATGGCAAATCTACCAAGTAAATCTGCCCAATTCTGTGCCAAGTTGCTACTAGACGATAAGATTCCCAGTGTGACTTTGGCCGTTGCCAAGTTTCTGTCTGAGGTGGTCAGGATCAGAGATCAATTTGTATTAGACAAAAGTCAGAAACATGCCTGGTCTTATGATCTGTCCTATTAGTCTCTGTGCTTTTAATGTACTTTACTTGCACTGAATTTCATCTTGTGGGTCAAAAGAATGGACTGAAAGACTAAGCTGGATCTCACCCATAATCAGCACATCTGTTTCGGCAGTATTTTGTTTTTTTAATTTTGTTGACAATATTCTAGTTCAGAAAAATACCAGAAAATGATACAAATTACAGGTACACAAAGTGCAGAATTTCCAATACAGCTTTAAAAAATGTACATGAACAGTGACAAAAATAGTTATTTTTAGGAATTAATCAGGTTTACAGCTCAAATGAAATAAAGCTCTTCAGTGTATATAAAGTTTCTATGCCTAAACTGCACTTGGAAACACACCATTGAAAAAACTATACATTTCCCTACTTCTTATTCAGGTTTTTACAGGTTCCTTAATAAGTCCTAACAATCATGCAGAAAGACAATACAACAGAGTAACTAATGGAAGTGTTCTACTCAGTCAAGCACTGGAGGAGGAAGGAGAATTGTCAAACGCAATCTGCAAGTTTTGCTCTTTCTTCAAATTGCTTGTCCACCACAAGTGACAAGGCTTGAAGGAAAGCTGTCGTTGTGACGTTAGGTGACTAGAATAAAAATAAAAGTAAAACCAGTGTCAAGGTAAGTGTATCCATCACATAAGAGAGGGAGGGACTGGCCCCATGGCATCAGCATTTTACAAGCAGAAGGTGAATTGCTAAATTCCATCAAAACTGGGGGAAAGCCAATGGGCAATAAATACATTAGAGCAAGTTCCAAAAGCCATATACAGAAGCCTGAAATGGGTCAACAAAGAGTAGGTGCTGTTGGCACCAAATCCCTGGGTCAGAGGAAGCCAGCAAGTGAAGACGGCCCGTCCCTGCAGTAACAAGAACAAGGAGCAGGGCCTTACCTGAATGTAAAGTGCATGTGCCAGAAAAGGAAGTTTCCTTAAAACACGGCCGCTAAGTCCTTCACTTTTCCTGTATTAAATACAGAAGCAGGAGAGGCATCAGGCTCACGTTCACAAATACAAGCACATAAGGAAGTGCTAAGTGTGCTATGAATAGCAAAATTAGGATACGAGACTGGTAATTTCTACAACATCTCTTCTTGTTGGTAGTCAGCAGCTGTGGTGTTCAGAACTGAGTCTCCCTTAGACCTAGTTATCACAAAGAGCGGGTGAGGAGATAAGACTGTACTTGTTCAGACTGCAGCTGGGAACTCAGTTTTCCTACAGAAAGTTCCCTCTATGCTGATATTTGGATGTTGGGAGTGGAGAGGAGTTCTAAGCCTTGCCCAGAACCAGAATGACTTCTTCCATTGCTTTTTTTGTAGGTATATGCCTTGATGTATTTGACATGAAAAGCTGGTTTACTTTTTAAAAAGAAAAAAAGTCTTCCTTTTGTTATTCTTGCAATTTACTTTGTGACAAGGAAAGGCATTTTGCAGATAAAGTGCAGCAACTCTTGTTCACTATTGAACGTTTATTAATTATTTCAGAAAGTTATTCAAAGACCACAAAACAATTCTACATTCCCTGAGAAAGAGTGTGATGAAATATCAAGAAAAAGGACAGAACTAGCCTTAGATCACAGAAGCTACTAGACCAGGCTTCCTCAACCTTGGCCCTCCAGATGTTTTGAGACTACAATTCCCATCATCCCTGACCACTGGTCCTGCTAGCTAAGGATCCTGGAAGTTGTAGGCCAAAAACTTCTGGAGGGCCGAGGTTGAGGAAGCCTGTCCTAGACCATAAAATGCAGTGGCCCACATACCTATGTTGATCACATGTGGAAGAGGACGACCAGTTAATTTCCCTTTGGAAAGGCTTCTCCCTTCTGGGTCACCTGGACGCAATTCATACTTGCCATAAGCACTTGCATTTTCAGTGCTGCACTAAGTTATAATAGTTTTCCTCTAGCAAAAAGCTCATTAAAAATCAGGGAATTTTATTACCCTATTAGAAGCTGCATTATTTGCTTATCCCCCCCAAAAAAGTACTAAACCTGCACAGATCCATCAAGAAACAGCAGAGGATAATTTCTCACTTTGGCCTGTATTCTGAAAACACAAGCATTTGATTTCATGGGAGAGTAAGTGAAGAACCACAACCTTCACTTTACATGTGAGGGTAAAATTAAAAGACAGATTAAATGAAACCAGGAATCCTACCTTGAAATTTCTCTCAATATGAGACTCAGTTTCGACACATCACTGTCTAAATAACCGATCACCTCCAGCTCACGGAGTGTCAGCAGCTGCTGTCGAGGATATATTATCTGGCACTTGGGAGGAAAAAGATCTTATCTGTAAGAAATGCATAAATCTCACAAGTGCATTACTACTCAAAACATAACAAAGGTTGGGGGGAACACACAGGATCATTCCAGCTGGAACTCCCTCCCAAGGGAGGCGAGACTGGCCTCACCTGGGTTCACCTTCAGGTGGGAAGTAAAAACAATGTCTATTCCACACAGCTCTTAATGATTTGCAGATTGTGGAGGTTATTCCACTCCTCAGAGGTTTGCTTAAACACACACACACACACACACACACACACAGTTCTTTTCTCAATCTGGTTTGTTTGAATGTTTTGTATACCACCCTGGGGGCCCTGGTTACAACCCAAAAACAAATTATATTTTTTATTTTAAAAACTCCCCACATGCTGTCTACTAGTAGCTCACCATTATCTAACGCAGGTAAGTAACGTAATGAGCATTCAGAGGTAAATGATGGAACAACGATAATCAAACATCTGTAAGCAGAAAAGCAACAATAGGGACAAACAGACCCAAGGTATGCAAACACCAAGGTATGGAGAAGCAGATTTTTTTTTTTGAAAAAGCCAAAAGGTTTTTTAAACCCTGAAAAGTGGCAGAAACGAACTGCTCACGCCTCCCTCCCTCTCCTGTGAAACAGATGCTCTGGGCTCATGTGGGGTGGAGAGAAGAGAAGGAATGTGTTCCATTTCCTTTAAGGGTCAGGTTGCTCATTCAAAGGGAACAATGACTTCCCTATTCCAGGACTGAGGAAAAGGGAGAGAGTTGAGACGCCCCTAGGATTTTCCTCATGGCTCTGCTGAGCTTCAGCAGCTGCCCAGTCCTTTTCTCCTCCTTCCCTCAGAAGGGTGGCAGGTGATCACAAGATAGCCCTCCCTTTATAGCTGGATGGGAGGTGGAGAAAGCCTGGGCACCCAATCGGACAGCTCAGCAAACCTCACCTTCTCTCACAGCCAAGGGAAAGCCAGAGCCAGCCTGACCACACTGTCACTTGCTAGAGGAGGGAGGCCTCACCAACACCCCCCTCTGCACTGACTTGGGGCTGCCTCCTGCTTGAGCAAAGAGGGCATCTCCGTTGGGATGCATCCAGGGAGACGGGGGCATTTGGCAGGCCCCCAGCTGGCTCCAGCCACCGGCCAGCAGCAGGGCGAACTCCGGTTCTTGGAACAGCATCTATCAGCAACTTGAGCCTCAGAAGCCTTCAGAGACTGAGCACGCTCTAATCAGCAGAGTAAGTAACTTTTCACAACGGAAGTGGCGGACAGAGGCTTATGTAAGCATATTTACAGGCGTGTATTCAGCATCAGGAACAAAGGAAAAACATGTCTGCTTCCCTTCGTGTCCCAGCAAACAGCAGCATAGCAAAAGCAATATACAACGGAAGTCCCCAGCAGACTGTGCTGGAAGTAAACAGACATGTGACATACAACAATCCACACATCTGTTCTAAAGGTGGAATGGAACTATATCCTAACAGTCTCACACATACACAGCGTTTTACTGTGAGGGCCCACATTCTAATGTTTTGTTGGAATTCTAGGATGCTAGTCGTGCCTCTAAGGATTTGATACAATGTGGATGATAAGAGCTTCTGAGAGTTTACCTTCATTAGTTCCTCCAAGCAAGAAAGATATATTTTGAACACTGCTTCGGCAGAAGGTGGGCCAATGTATTGCTTGATATCTGCTCTGTCCACAAAGGCCATATCAATTTTCTCCGTGATATTTGAGGTCGTCAAGATAACTACATTAGGATACCTTTAAGAAACACACACAGATGTTGTAACACTCATTTCATAGGTTCAACACTTGAAAGTTTCCACTGTCAGTTACATTTGCATTGATAGCCTCTTGGGTACATGGCTGGTGACTGCACCTGAAGGAGTTAATCTGAAATTTTTGCCATGCCACTCTGCGACTACAATAGCTAAGAACGTACTTTGAATCTAAAAGGTGAAAGCTGAGGTTTAGAGGACTCCAAAGGACACTGGGACTGCACAAAAGTGTTGTAGGGATACCTACTGCCTCAACAACTAAAGGGACCCACTCAGAACTGGACAAATGAATCTGGATGCTTTCCAATGAAACCTGGATGGAGCAATTATCCTGTAAGAATGGCAAATATCATCTGATCATATTTTATGCCAGATGGGAGGATATAAACATTGCCTTATTAGGACCTACTAATCAGATCTTGTAAAGTAGCTCCTTTGCTTTTGTGCCTTCCAATTGTTCCTGGGCAATTTATACCCTTCCAGAAAAAGTTATAAATTTGGCTTGTTACCTTTTGATCTGATCGATTTGTGTCAAGACTGCATTTACAACCCGGATGGCATCAGAAGGTTCTGTCCCTGCCCGAAAAGCACTACGTGCTGCTGTGAGACTTTCCACCTTAAACAAAAACAAACAAACAAAAGTAGCTCTCTCTCATATTTTTAGAAACAGTAATCACAGTAGCACATGTATTTAATGTGTGTACAGCTACTCTGTCCTACATTCAGGAGGCATCTATGCAAAACAACTCAACCAGTCACATTTAGGACTTTCCTTGTCCTGTCAACTAAGTTGCCATCTACAGCAACTCTCAAACACCATTATCATAAATGTAAAAAGGGACTGAAAATAAGTTATGCTAAAATAATATGATAATCTTCTTGCCAATCAAAATCGCCCCTTCTGTCATTTTATCTCCCACCATGACCCAGAAATGTAATGCAGCCAATGTTTTAACATTTAAAATGATGCTGTGGCCATACCTCATCGATCAGTACAAATACAAGGGCATCTTTGTCATCAATTAATTCTTGAATCTTCTGGAACATTTTGGTAACCAGTTTGCCACTCTGAGGAAAAAAATGGATGTGTATAAAATAATGCATTCCTTTCTGCTCTCCCAGTCTTGCCATTTGGCACTTTCCCAATCCCCTCTGGTGACCAAACATGGGCACTTGCTGCTGCCACAACAGCTATAGCGGCAGCAGAAACAGAACTGTTCTTGACCTGTGGGCTCAACCTCCCTTGGTGGGGATGATGGAGAACCTGAAAAGGGGTGTTAACATTCTAGCAGGGCGCAGGGCCATGCAGCGGATGGGGCCTCCAAGAAGCCTAGGTGGCAGAGGATACTCATGGAATTTGCAGGTGAGACTGCACACACAGTGCTCTCCACCTGGCTTAGAATGAACAAACATTTTTTGCTAACAGGAAGAATCAAGCAGAGTTGCTGATTTGTTCCCATTGTAGTTCCTTCTCTGTGGTTTTAGAAGGCAAGCTAGGTGTCCTGCTTTGTTCGTCTTCTAGCACCACAATCCACTGTGTTCAGTTGGACTTATTCCCAGGTAAGCAAGTACAGAATTGCAGTCTTAGACAATATGCTAAATCAGGGATCAGCCATAAAACCTCTCCCTCACCAGATATAAGGTGGTGAAGGCCGTTAACTTTTTCTTCCTTGAAAAGAACATAGCACCAAAGGAAGCTGGAAGACGGACACTCTTTCCCACTTCCTTTTTCAGCTCTATGTGCTTTTCAGGAATCAGAGTAGTTCTACTGGATCCAGGCTTTACACAGATCCCTTGTATTTATGGAAATACCTTTGATTACAATGCAGACAGACCCCCTGACTAGCACTACTGAACTTGCAAAGTCACGAAATGTTGCAAATTAGAACAACGGACTCATAATACATCTTTAACCACTGCAAGAACAATTATTGCCAGGACATGGAAATAGTTACAATTGTTACTCGTGGAGCAGCAATTTGCCAAACAGCGTTACTGGAAAAATTGTCGCAAAAATTAAAGAAGCAAGAGGTCAAAAGAAACATTAGAATTTTTATGTAGCCCAATGTGACTTTATTGATTACACAAATAATGAGGTATATGGTAGAACAGAACCCAAAGCTTACAGCACAGTTGGCGTGCATGAAGTACACATTTTATTTTCTTCCTTCTTCTCTTCCTCACCCCCTTCCTAAAAATTCCTATAAATACTTATTGTTACTGATACAAAATACATTTTACTCATGGTCACCAATCTAAGCAATGCACAATCATTGCATATCTGTTATAACTAATAATTTTGCTGTATATACTTTGACACAACTTTGTCAATATATTTAGAAATGTGGGGTTGTTTTTTAAAAAAAGTGTTGTGTGTGCATGTTTTCTGTCTCTCAGAGAGGCCTGATCCAAGCGAGGGAAGGGGAAGAGCAGCGACTAGAGGGAGTAGTATCCATGGCACTTTCTCAGAAATCCAAATGTGGCCTAAAAGGTTGTCAATTGCTGCAGTAGACCAAGTACATGTTACAGAGATATCCTGGTGGTGCAAGAAGCAGAAGGCTGGAGAAATGACGGGGTTCCCGTGCTAAAAGGAGGGTTAGCCATTCACTCCACTTATTAAGGCTCTGCAATTTTTCTTACTGTGTATTGTCGCATGAGGTAGTTCTCCACAATCCACTTCATTTTGTCTAAAGGGCTGTACTGGAGAACATTATTTTCTCTGCATCAGGTTCATGGATACAGTATTTACTTTTACACCAAAAAGTAAAAAGAACCGTGTGCTAAGACACAGCATAAGAACCCTAACTACTGGACAAATTTGACAGTATCTTTAAACCACTGCATAGGCAAGAAACATTCTCCGAATCACAAAACCGCTAAGAATGTTGCATAAATACTTACCTCAGAAAACCACTTGGAGAAGAGGCTATGGCTGTTTATCTCTATCAGCTGTCCATAGCGATATCTAAAATTTAAGTGAAAAATCAGCTCAGTAAAAGAAGGAATATCATTAATGCTGCTGGTGCTCATATAGCTCAAAGGGAAAAGTCCAGGAGTGCAGTGATAACCCTGAAGAAAGTGAAATTAAGTCGAGGGCAAGGGCTGCAGCCTGACGCTCCACTTGCAAACGGTCCCTGGGTGAGTCCTCAGTGGCATCTGCAGGCAGAGCGGGGAGTCTGCAACACTGGGGAGTCACTGTCAACAATGCTGAGTGAGGCGAACAAATGCTCTGACGGCACAGGACAACTTCCTATGTTTCCAACTTATCCGTAAGGGCATTTCCCCAAGGACCCTGGTGAAATCTAAGTTCACACAGCATGGTCCAGCCTGTTAACTTTCCCATTAAAGCTGCAAGCACCTAGGTATGTTCTTAGATCCCCACTGAAAACGTGCCCAACTTGTCATTATAAAAAGTGCTCAACCTATCATTATTTGTTAAATAATTTAGAATTTCAATAGCTAAGTTATTTCAATTACTTTGGGACATAATATTTTCTCACTTTCTAAAACAAATGCATAGCATTGCTTTTAATTTCTTCCACCCAAGAGTTCATCTTGCCGGTGAGGAGGCACAAAACAGAGGGAAGATGTCCGAGGAACAATCCGCTGGAAAATTCTCTCCTGCAAGTCACAGGAAAATGAAAAGGAGCTGCATAGCACAGGAATAGTCTACTTTTGAAAAGCAGAGCTCTTAGACTAGGTACTATTTTAATTTTTAAGATACCAAACAATTATCTGAATTACCTATGAGAAAGTCTAATAGTCAGCTTCTGGGCCAGTGCTTTACATAGCGAAGTTTTACCAGTTCCTGGAGGACCTGCAGTTAAAGTACAGAAAACTTAAGTATTGAACACATACCTAATTTTGTAAGTTGCTTTGAGTTACTTTTAGCCCCCCCAAAAAAGGTAGGGGCTAACAAGTTTAATCATCATCTCCAACTAAAGTGAGGTTTTGGCCTTTGCATGCTTCACATGTTTGATGAAACTGAAGCAATTTACTTCTGTCTAGTATTTTAAGACTCCTTTCGTACATTAAAATATACACTAACTTGTGGTTTGGTTCAACAACCACAAACCATGGTTAAAGTAAACCATGGCTATGTGTCACATATGAATGAGGCCAAGACACGTGAAGTACTTTCAACACTTTAAGGGTGCTATATAAAGGCTATAAGTACTTCAGTCCTGTATAAAACAGTAAAATTTAAACTTTACCATGCAGCAGAACAACTCTATTCCACGATATCAAGTTGCTGTTGACATTTCTGTCAGAGAACAGTAATGTTGTAGTCACATAATCTAATAGCTAATTGAGCAGAGAGAGAGAAAAGGGTGGGGGGAGAGAAATAAAATTCCACATTATAACTGAATTATTTAGTTGTTTTTTAAAAAATAAAGCACTCTCTTTTTCTCAATGATAGCAAAAAAGAGGTGTGAACAGAAACCACCACGTTGGAACATCAGAACCCAGTATTGTATTTGTAGGCAAATAGCACAAGACTTTCAAGATCAGTAGGCAATAAAAATTAACACCTATAGCTGTGAAATTTGTCTGATATCCTGCTACCTCTGGAATTTCCAATATATTTACATAATGCTTGCACAAACATTCATTCCCATTAGTTTTGTTTTTTGTTTGCTGTTAATGTCTTGTGTCTATTCTGGAAGACAGTCCTAAAACAGTCTGTTGAAATATTAATGTAGTATTGCATCCCATTCGGAAAACAATCGTGTTCAGAAGACTTCATTCCTTGGAAGAGTCACAGGCAATTTCTCATTTACCATGCATGATTAACTGTGTAAGGATCTTGATAGACATTTTCCCGCACACCAGCAAACAAGTTGGACACTTTGAACCAATATACCTAATCAATTAACTTGCGCACAACAAAAATATTGTTCAGTTGCTGTGTTAATGCAGTGGGATCCATGCCCAGCTATTTAGGAGTCTAAACAGCAGACGGGGTAGTAAGAAGATAGAGATTCCATACTCAAGTCTTGTTTTCAAGCCAGTAAAAAGTAGCTAGCCTGCAAATTTTTCTGCTGGTCAACTTATGGATAGCACAAAATTTAAAACAAAGGCATAACTTATTAATTTGCTCAGCATCTCCAGTGCCACCTGGACATCCTGCTTTTCACACTTCCCATCAATAGTGCAACTTTAAACTGTGATCCTATACCTGCATATATATAGAGAGCATTGCACTGTTAGCTACTCCAGTCCTCAAGTTGATAGATCAACATATGGAGACCAAGGGACTATTTCCAAGTAGTACAGGAACACTGACTATTACAGAAGATGGAGAGGGGACAGAACAGGACAGGTGAGGATCCTTTTGGAAACTCCTTAAATGCAATCTACAGGTAATTAAAACTAATGGGGACCCTAAAGGAAGCATAAATCCTCAACAAACAGCGAGAATGTTTAGGAATTATGCAAAACTACTTATATTTCTCATTTGCATAAACCTTTGTGTACAGAAGCCATGCAAAATCCCAGAGCAATCTGTACATAAATAGCCCCACTACAAGCAGCTTGGAGAAATTTAAGATCCATAGAATCAGAAGAGAAAGAAACAAGGAGAGGAAATGCAACTAAATAACAAAACTGGTCCAGCAACAGAAGCAGTTTTTCCAGGAGCAGCCCTTAAAGCTGTATTTTCCAATCACATTTTTGTTTTTTAAATGGGTAGATTATCTGTCACATGCAGGTGTGATAAGCTCATTTTCTATGGTGGTAGGGAAATTTCTGTCCTGGTTTGGACAAAATGACAAGCTGCAGTTAACCAAAAATGGCACTGAAAGCTGCAAAACTCCTTGTGGTCACTCCTTGCAGTCCAAACCAAGCCAATCTAAACTGCTTCTGAACCTGGCTTCCGGTTCCACTCTGCCTTAATGGAGGCAGCCTCCATGACAGTGGGAGATTGTTGGCAAAGAAAAAAGAAGGATTATTGAGGGTAATTATCCTTGCAAATTCCCTCCAGGGAATAGGCTTCACTCGCAGTTCATCGCGGTACCTGGCTCTCGCTCCGGCATTGGATGCAGGGAGCAGGGAGGTGCCCAATGCAAAAGCACTTTGCCTGCTGAAAACCCTCTGACACCATTAAGAAGCAGAGGTTCTCCTATTAATTAGAGCTTAATTGAACTAAAATACAGGGGCATGCTATAAGAGATGAGATCACAAACTGCAGAACAAACCAACTGCAAGGACTTTAAGGTGTGAACTTGAGATAAGACCTCATTTGGTGCAAAAGGTGTGGGAGTGGAGCCTACGGTTTCTTTAAAGTTTTATTCTCTACATTTATGATTTGGCAACGCTCCTCTGAATGTTAGTACAGATTATAATTGTACAAGCAAGGATGGAAGAAATTGGATTATAAATATGTAATATAGCATCAAACGGAACTGTATGTGTAAGAAAAGGAAAAATGGAGGGAGCTGTATTTTGCAAAAGGTTTACGATGAAAACTTAGAGCTGACTCTTCCCCATCTTTTATTATTTATGGAGTGAACTGAGTAATGCTAAAAGGACTTGGAATTTAATTTAATTGGAAGTATAATTGCTCATATATCTTCAGTTGGAAGGAAGGATGAAAGGAGCTTGTGAACTGCAAAGGAACGGATAAGGTTCTTTACTGAGTCATCTACAGTTCGACAGATCGCTCTTCTTCCCAGGCTGAGAGGAAAAATGGTGAGAACATTATCTACTGGGATAGAGTGACTTTTGCAGCTGTTAAAGTTGCAAAACAACGAAGCATGGGATGGAGCGACGGAGACATTTCTGGAACAACAATAGGATATCAGCACTGCCTAAGGCATGACGGATAACAGCAACAATCGGGGGAAGGAAAGATATAACATCTTACAAGGACCCGAAGAAACACCACAGACAGAATAATTGCCGCACAGGAAGAACAAGGATATAGTTTGAGTTCCTAACTTGTAGTTTTATAAATCATTTAATGTGTCAACACAAATAGAAATTATGAATATTGCAGTTGTTGTAGAAGGGATTATTATTATGACCAGAATGTAAATGAAATTAATAAGATTTTGGAATGCAGAAATAAAGAAAATCATCAAACCATCAAATCTAGCATGCAGGGGGTCACTTTATCTAAACTATATAACTGGGTATTTGAATGATTGGTATTATAAATTGGTACTGTTATAATGAGACTATTATTGGACTGTAATTGAAAACTAATTTTAAAAAATTATAAAAAACAAACAAACTGCTTCTGAACTTGACACAAGCCTGAGTAAGAGTGGACAACTCATCTAGTTCAGTTAAAGTTTACAATGAAGAACCGTTTATATCCCAGATAAAAACTTAATACTTTCAACTTACATCTGATTTTATCTCAGCATCATAAATAAGGCTCTCCCATAGACCATGGAATTCAGCTGAAACATAGAACCATTATGCATCATTTCCAATGTGTGGTTTTGCAAATCAAAATATCATTTTTAAACCCAACAACCCATTTGCTACTTAATGAATTACACCAACTTTGGTGGTGCTGCAGTGCTGCATTCTCTGCACTGAACATACTTATGAACACACATACATAGGATCACGTCATATTTCTTATTCCGGTTAAGACAACATGATGCATTTCAGCCTTGGTGTGGGACCTGTTCCCTTCCAAATGTTGCTGGACTCCAGCTCCCATCAGCCCCAGCCAGCATGGCCAAAGATTCCCCATCTGCAATCTAATCACCTGTACATTTATTTATTTTTTGATGGATTATTCAATCCTGGTGCAGAGATTTTTATTCTACTACATAGCAGAACTTCCAACTTGCAGGGGCATTGGTCTTCGTGATAGAAAAGTAACATTAACAGCGGATTCCCATGCCAATTGCCATAAATGTCCCAAAAGTTCCACCACTCTGCATCATGGTTTTGCCAACACCACCCATCAGTTCTCACCCTCTCATGCCAAACCTGAGACAAGAAAATGTGCCGAACAGTGCACCTGCTGCCATACCAACAGCAAAGCCCATCATGAAGCCCATTTTCACTCTGTCAAAGCAACTGGGTTGGGATTGGCCATATGGCCCCGCTGTCACAGGCATCTCGACCACTCCGCGCTTCGTTCCACCCGAGTTTCCCCATCACCTGTACATTTGAGTCAAGTCATGGAAAGAACTTTTTGAGCCCTCCACCTTGCTTACTGGGCTCTGGGACGTTTGCGTGAGATCTAGGACTCCTCTCGCTCTTCATTTATTTCCATGCATAGTAGAATCATAGAGTTTGAAGGGGCCATTAGGATAATCTAGTCCAGGGGTAGGCTCTTAACCACAAGCGGCCCATGGGGGTCGTTTAACTGGCCCACGAGCTGCCCCTGAACCGAGTCCCTGGCGCAGCATGGCACAGGGACTCACTTCTGCAGTGCTGGAAATTGTGTCTGCGCATGCGCCGGAAATAATGGGTGTGCATACTCACACGCGCCCGCAAACCAGGCCACGGAGGGATCTTGCCAACCCCTGATCTAGTCCAACCCCTGTAATGCAGGAATCTTTTGTCCAACATGGGGCTCAAACCCCCATTACAAATAAGTGGCAGGACCAGTGTACTCTAATTTAGTGTTCTATGCAGTTTTCAATTTCTTGCTTGCTCCCATCAGTTTTAATCTAAATCTGTCCCTGCCCACATAAATAATCAAACCATCCTTCTACTTCCTCTTGACTAGTACATTCTAATCCTATGCTGTTCCAACTCCATCAGGACCATCTTAAAAACTATAAATAATTTAAAAATACCTGCTGGTAACACCCAGTGATTAGCCGCAACAATATTCTCATCCTCTGCCTCCAGATTTTCAGCACTGGGCCCTTCTTCACCGAGATGAAAAATGTGTAATGAAAGGTTGCACTTACTCAGATTTATTGCCTGTAATGAAGAGGAAAAACCACATGAGAACTCTCTGGCAAGCAACCTGGATACATCTTTTAAGATAACTTTTGTTAAAGCAAGGTAAAGTGTCCAGTTTCTCAAGTGGTGGTAAAAATTGTCTGAGGTAGTTTTCAAAGAAGAAGAAGAAGAAGAGTTTGGATTTGATATCCCGCTTTATCACTACCCTAAGGAATCTCAAAGCGGCTAACAATCTCCTTTCCCTTCCTCCCCCACAACAAACACTCTGTGAGGTGAGTGGGGCTAAGAGACTTCAGAGAAGTGTGACTAGCCCAAGGTCACCCAGCAGCTGCATGTGGAGGAGCAGGGATGTGAACCCGGTTCACCAGATTACGAGACTACTCTCTTAACCACTACACCACACTGGCTCCCAAAGGAGTCTGGCCTAGTCTAATTAAACTTACCATGAATTATAAGCCCTCATCTATACATGGAAGAGAATGAGGTGGTAGCGTGAACTTCACCACTTCAGACTGTAGGAGGAAAATACAATTTTCAGTGCTCCCTCTTGCGGGTAGTGGTGTGTGCAGCGAACACTTCATATTAAGAAAAAGTGGCACTTCTGGGAGAAATGCTGTTGTCCACCCATTCTCTGTCATGTCAGTTTTCTATCTGGCATTCTATTTTCACACGAGCATTCAAAACTGAAAACTTACACAATGCATGCATTCTCCAGTAGCAGTTGGAAAAGGGGAGCCAACAATACGGGGGAATTTGGATTGCAGAAAGCATTCATGATCCAGACAAATGCACTTAACAGCAATTGTAGTGGACGTTACCTCCGCTTTCATGATCTTATTTAATAGTAACAAGCTGCAGCCTTCCACACACCCCATAAGTTTTGAATAAGGTAAGCCATAAGGTAATACCTGTCTTTCCTTCAACTTTAGCTCTGTGTCCACAACTGCAATGGACTGCACATTATTTGTCAGGAAATAATCATCAAACTCAGTCCATTTGTAATCACCAAAGACCACAGGATGCCTTTCTAGTAGTTTTAAGACACCCAGTTTGATATCATCTTCCTTTGCAGTGCTGGGTAAAAGAGAAAAACATCATAACTTCAGGCATAACCGTTACAGCTAGAAAAGACCTGGTGCAAGGAGACCCCACCCACTCAGAGGCTGTGAAAAGTATGCCCAGCAGCGAACCCTCACACTCTTGATTATGGTATCCTACTAGGGATTGAGCAAGCTGCTCTCAGGTGAAGGGCCTGCAGAAAGAGAAAAATATACCGTATTTTTTGCTCTATAAGACGCACCAGACCACAAGACGCACCTAGTTTTTGGAGGAGGAAAACAAGAAAAAAAAATATTCTGAATCTCAGAAGCCAGAACAGGAAGAGGGATTGCTGCGCAGTGAAAGCAGCAATCCCTCTTGCTGTTCTGGCTTCTGGGATAGCTGCACAGTCTGCATTCGCTCCATAAGACGCACACACATTTCCCCTTACTTTTTAGGAGGGAAAAAGTGAGTCTTATAGAGCAAAAAATACGGTAAAACAAAATCGACCTGCCTAAACCTTATGCACTAAGCTTCACTGTACAGAGGAAAGGTCCCCTGCCATCAGCCAAATGGGCACAGGTGAAAATATGCTTTTTAGCCACAAGTATACAAAAGTAACAAAAGTTACCAACGTAACTGATTCTCCTCCTGAAAATACGATTTCCTTAATCTTTAGAATGTGGAAGATAGCAAAGTTCTGTGGCAGATCATTTACGTTGCATGAAGGTCCTATGTGCAATTTTCAGTATCTCTGAAAGTTATCTTGGAGTGTTGGGGGCTAGATGGACCAATGATCTGTATAAGGCAACTCACAGAACTTGCAGCAACTTCATTACGAAATAAGGCTGTTTTTTCTAAACCTTTTATACAGTGTGGATGAGATCTACACATGGTTTTGAGCCCCACCATGTCTAGTCAGCTTCTGGGACTTATTGTTTGTCCCCCCCACCCCCACCCCCGCTTCAGCACATGACATTCTGCTGCAAGTGAGGATGAAAGGGGTTTCTGAAATGGAAATTTTTACACCAACCTGTTTGATTTTTGATGAACTTCTACATGTATCTGCAAGGATTCACATCCATTGTGAAGAGCCAGTTTTAAGTCACCTGCAGCTTTGTCCATTTCATAGAAACCTAACTGAAAAAAATAAATAGACATTATACTATATCTAAGATCTGGGAGATCCTTATTGTCAACTGTAAAAATATTGGTTTATTGTAGTGCTCCATGTCAAAGCAACTGTGATAATAAATATGTAGAAAATGATGGTAGAATTGCAATGTTCAGTCTGAGGAGTATGACTGCAAGGTAGTAAATACCTGACAACATAACAGAAATAGAAAAACTATATGGAGCTATCTCTCCCCCCCCCCCTGGTTTCCTCTTGTACGTGATTCATGAGATGTAATTCTTGCACACAAAGGTACAACACCCTCCAAAAATGTGATTGAGAAGTAGTCTAGAAGTAGCAAAACAACCTGAATACCAATGGCATCGTTATGAAAAATTTAGGCTAGCTGCGTTTAGACAATACATGTAACGTGACTTTCCCCACAATAATACAGATGCTATCATCTAGATTACCAAAATATCGCTTGTGTTAAGACAATAACGTTAAGCTTTCTGGGTTAATTTGTTATACAGGTAATTTGAACTGCTTTATCGAAATGGGGGGGGGAGAGGACTCCTCGCCTTTCTTGATGCTTTTTTTTATATATTCTGTGTTTTCATGTTGTGAGCCGCCCTGTGATCTTTGGGTCAAGGGAGGCATGCAAATTTAGTGATGACAGATAAATAGATAGATAGATAGATAGATAAAACAAAGCAACCACCAGCTCCCGACAACAACGTTATATTATTATTATTATTATTATTATTACTGGCCATTTATTATTAATTTCCCTTTATATGGTGGGGGGGCTCACCTCGACCGAGAGAGAGGCCGGGGCTTCTCCGGGATTCTCTCGCCACTTCCTTCCGCCTTCCAGCCTCCAAAGTCGAAATTCCCGCCCTTCTCATCCCCGGCCGCGTCGCCTCCCATTTTCGTCACTTCCGGCCCCGCCCCTTTCCCCTGGGTCGAGAAGAGACGGCTTCCTAGGCGGGCGGGGAAAGTGCTTCCTCTTTCCTCGCCGGGGCCCTTCCGTCACTTCCGGCCACGCCCCTTTCCCCTGAGCGCGGAGCCTCCGCCTCCTCCTGCCTCGCCTCCCTCGCCTCTCGCCCTCGAGTCGCGGCTATTATGGGCAAGAAGCACAAGAAGCACAAGGCGGAGAAGGCCGAGTGGAGGTCCGCGCCCGCCCCGGCCGTCGTCGCCGCCACCGGAGGGGGAGGGAGCGGCGGCGCCGCCTATGACGGTGGGTGGGAGAAGGGAGGGCGGTGGATTGATTTATGTGTTTATTCATTGCCTTTCCCCCCCCTCCCTCCCTCCCCAGTTCCTCAGTCCCCACAACAACCCTGTCAGGGAGGCCAGAAGCCGCCACAGAAGCTGCCTGCAGGGAAGCCGTCCATTTCCTTCTCCCCCCCCCCCAATTATTTATGCATTTGTTGCATTTTTAGCCCAAGTCCCGTCCCCGTCCCCCCCGCTGCAGGGCTGGGGCAGCGTGTCGGGTTTTCCATTGGGGGGAGGGGCTGTTGCTGTTGGTTTTTTGGCATCTTTATTTTACATTTTGTTGTGTTTTATGCGGAAATCGCTCAATTTGGTTTCGCGTATTTTAATGTTTAATTTATTGTTTATGCCTACTTTTGTTATGCCATATTTATGTTATTTTTATCTGAACTCCGTAAAGGTGGCATACAAATAAATGACGGGGTGAGCTCCCGTTGCTCGGTCCCTGCTCCTGCCCACCTAGCAGTTTGAAAGCTCGCCAGTGCAAGTAGATAAATAGGTACCGCTCCAGGTGGGAAGGTAAACGGCGTTTCCGTGCGCGGCTCAGGTTCTCCAGAAGCGGCTTAGTCATGCTGGCCACATGACCCAGAAAAACTGTCTGCGGACAAACGCCGGCTCTCTCAGTTTGTAAAGCGAGATGAGCGCACAACCCCAGAATCGTCTTCAGCTGGACTTAACTGTCAGGGGTCCATTACCTTTTATCTTTTTATGTATGTAACACAAAACCATATATGCTATAATAAATGAATAAACTTTATCTTGCTTTTAGCCACTTTGGGTGGCTAAAATACTGCTGTTTTTCTCTCACACGCTTGTTGAGGGGGGTAGGTGCCACCTTCTTCCTGACAGAGGATATCGGTGCACATTTGCTTCAGACCTGCTTTTAGCATCATAATCTGCTCTTACACCTTCCTATGAATAAGGCTTATGTGATCAGCATTCCTGCTGAATGTTTGCTGCACTAGTTTGATACTGTTTATTTATTTATTGCTTTTCACTTATTTACTGTTGTTGTCACCCTCTTAGATTATGTGGATAAGCCCTTGGAGAAGCCATTGAAGTTGGTGTTGAAAGTTGGTGGAAGTGAAGTGACTGAACTTTCAGGATCAGGCCACGATTCCAGTTATTATGATGATAGATCAGACCATGAGAGAGAGCGACATAAGGAGAAGAAAAAGAAGAAGAAGAAGAAATCTGACAAAGAGAAAGAAAAGCATCTTGATGATGAGGAGAGACGGAAGAGAAAGGTAATGAGTCATTGACTTATTTTCAGAGATACTGGTCAGAGCTTTAAAACGTTACCTTATGAAAACTGTAAGTATCAGTTTGAACAAATGCATTTTTTTGTGGCAACTCCAGAGCTTTTAAAGCTATTCCTTACAACTGTTGAGAAGCAGTGGCAGAGGATGAGAATTTTTAAGAGTCCAGAATACAGAGTAAACTCCATTGTAACGCCTAATTACTTTTATAATTTAAATACTCCATGGCATCGCTGAGTTTTTATGCAAGCTCATCGAAATGCATTCGCCTCATCTGTTTTGTTCAGAAGGTTTCAAAATCCCCTTCCAGAACAAATTCTGCTCCTGCAATAAGAAACCACCAGATACAGTACATCACATAATACATCACACCCTTCACAGAGATCACCTAGTGATTCCCTTACATCTTAAAATATTGATTTACAAAGAGTCTGTAATCTAATATTTGTTGAGGGGTGATACTACTGAAATTACCAAGATTGTTTCAGGGTATTTAGATGAGATCTTTAAAGCTAGAGCTAAAGTTTCCTGATTTATTTAGTGGTGGCTATCTAGTCTTTTATATATTGTATGTGTTTGGACTATCAGTGTATTTGGATGACTTTGGATGATTTTATTATTTTATTGTTTAAATTTATGCCAATAAAAGCCAATTGGATTATTGCAAGGTATGCTGTGTGAGACTGCTCTTTTAAGACAACTTGGCATATTCAAGTGGTCCAGAATGCAGCAGCAAGATTACTGCCTGGGGTTTGCTTTAGCATTCTTATACCCCCTGTTTCACATCCATTGCATTGGTTACTAGTTTGTCTCTGGACCCAATTCAAGGTGCTCACATTAGCGTTTAAAGCCCTAAATGACTTAGTGCTACTACTTTATGTAGATTGCTTGTTTCTTGAGCAGCTCTTTGAATTTTGAATAACCATTTTCCAACACACTCTTGAAAACCAACAACAAAACAAATAATAATAATAATTTTACTATTTATACCCCGCCCATCTGTCTGGGTTTCCCCGGCCACTCTGGGCGGCTTGCAGTACATACAAAAACAGTAAGCTAAATAAAATAGCTAAATAAAAGCAGGATGACAAATGCAAATGGAAGTAACCCATGTACTTTTTTTAGAGATCCTGTTTTCCTAAGCATTTGGAGTCTGTTTTCCCATTGCTAAGTATCCTGAATTTTTAATGTCACAAAAGACTAATTTCAGTGATGATTTTGCGTGAATATGTTATTCTTTCATTTGTACTTGAAGAGGTTATATTGACTGTCTTTTTTACATTTCTGTTTCTTTGGTATCAGGAAGAGAAGAAAAGAAAAAGGGAGAAAGAACAATGTGATACTGAGGGTGAAACAGATGACTTTGATCCTGGAAAGAAAGTAGAGGTTGAGCCACCCTCCGATCGTCCAGTCCGAGCCTGTAGAACACAGCCAGGTGCGTTGTCAGTGAAATCTGAAACTGATGTGCCATATATAAAGATTTGTATAGCGTAGTAAAACACTTTTCGGATTCTTGTTTGCTCTCAGCCCCTTCTTTGGTTAAGGATGCAGTTTATTCATGTGGATAGAAATTCATATGATTCTTGTGTTATCCTTAATATTCCTCTATCATTTTCAGAAAGGCCAAACACAGAATATAATGTGTGTTTTACTGTCTTGTGCCAAAAACCAGGATTAATAGTGGTTATATTACTTTGTAGCGATAGCATCTTTATCATTTTAGAGCTGTGATATACAGATGGCAGGAACTTTCAAAGGAGTGATCATTTGCTTTTCCTTACATTGAATTATAGCAGAAAGCGAGAGCACACCTATTCAGCAATTGTTGGAACATTTTCTTCGCCAGTTACAGAGGTAAGAATGATGCGCAATGACCTGGAACGCAACCCCCACGCAAATGGGGAGTTGTATGTGTTTCAAAGTTTTCTGGAAAACCCACATCACTGCTTAATAATATCTAATTAGTTTAAGATCGGTACTCAATAATGTAAGATGTGTAGATAGACGTGCTAAAGCGCTGGAGTGCTGGATCTATGCCCCGTCATTTTTAGCACCAGCTCATGTTGGTATGTACAGATGTTTCTATACAGCTTATCCTTCAGGACTTTCTTGCTAATACAGAAAGTCCTGAAGTCACATGCATTTCAGATATCAAGCTGTCTAAAACCGGCTGATTATTATTTTATTATGAATACCTTTCTATACTGCCCTTCATCGCTTTGAATACACATTTTGCCAAATACGGAAAAACATAAAAATGCTTCCCCCTCCCTTTTTTTAATGAAGCAAGACAGGTGGTGGTTCTTGACTGATGAAAAATGGCATTTGTTTTACATAGGTGTTTGGGGGGTGTATATATACACACGTACATGTATACACATTCATACATGATTTTATCCCCAAATATAACATTCCCTATATGTATGTGTTTCCCTTTTATAGGAAAGATCCTCACGGGTTTTTTGCTTTTCCAGTCACGGATGCCATTGCTCCTGGATATTCCATGATAATAAAGCATCCTATGGATTTTGGCACTATGAAAGAAAAAATTGCAGCAAACGAGTACAAGTCAGTAACAGAATTCAAGGTGAATTAATAGAGATTTGATAAAACTTTTCATAGTGTGAATTGCTAATTATTATATTTGGTCAATAGGGGTGGTAGATCATGTAAATAGCTCCAGAAATGCTTCTATCTAGCATTTCCTATGAGTGGGCAGCAATCCCGTTATTCCAGTGTGAAAGTCACATAATTTTTATGTGATACCCCCAGAGCAGGTTGTGCACAACAAAAGTCTGTGGTTTTAAGTGCAGGTGTCGGGGGGGGGTTGCCCATTGATCCCTGCATAACATGTAGAGGCCTGTGGAAGCTACTAAGACAAGCACAGCCCAGTACACATATATGATGGTGCAGAAGGGGCTCAGTAAATCTCCTGTTTTTATTGCCTGCCTCAGACAACAAAAGCAGGATTTACCAAGCACTTGAAAGGCCATAATACAATACTGGCTGTACTTGTTTTAGCAGATCACAGATTGTGAGGGAGAATATCAGTGAACCAGCCAGCTCCTTGTGTTAAACAGCAAGGTGTTCTGCAAAGTTTGGCATAAATGTTAAAGCCCTGATCAATTAAATTAGTTGAAAGTCCTAGTGCAGCAACATTGTGATCTAATCTTTTCTGGTTTCATTGTTTGCCCTAGGAAACCGAAAGGGACCAGGGCCCCTTACAAGTTACCTGAGAAATAGTTGGTTGATATTCACCAACCATACTATTCATTTTAACATTCTGTTGAATTTGTCCTGGCATGGCTGTGACTGCACAACTGCAAAATATGGTAATGCCCATGTTCATGTTTTTCAGGCAGATTTTAAGCTGATGTGTGACAACGCAATGACATACAACAGACCAGACACTGTGTACTACAAACTGGCCAAGAAGATCCTCCATACAGGCTTTAAGATGATGAGCAAAGTAAGACAGCTATGAAAGTGAACATGATGAGACCAAATGTGCACATTAAACTACTCTAGTGGGTCAAAGTGAAGGATTATTTCATTAATCTGTATAACGTGGCTGCTGTATTCTTATGCCCTGGGCTTAAAAAAAAGCAGTAAATCTGCACTTTTATACAAATAAAGCACTGTTAGGGAAAAATGCATAATATATTCTGCTTCTAGGTATGGAAAGGGAGAAGTTGCTGTGTAGGATATTGAAGCACCCCCTGTCGCCACTAGATACTGCATGGGTTTCTAAGAGTCACCAGACATTGGCCACACACTTTTGCATAAATGCTTACAATCACATTGCTCTTTTAAAAAAGAAAGAAACGAAAAGCTGAAATTATGAGGAAGCTGAATTCTGTGCCCAGTACCACATTCTGCACTCCTACAAAAATATGACATTCCCATAGCATGTTATATAGAGGGACATTTCCATTTTAAATCGCTCACCTTTTACGGTACATAACACTGGTAAGATGTGGTTTCAGGTTCGATACTTTGAACAGAAATTTCCATCATGGAAGCAAATTTTTCCATATTACCTTTTAAGTTCATTGGACTTGCTTAAGTTGTTGACAAGTGAGAAATAAATAAATTCTGAATCTTGTTTTGGAAAGCCAAGCATGTTAAACATCAAGGTGATGTATAGAAACATGCTTTCCTTTAAAACATTGTTGAAATGTTTTATGGTTATGAAATACAATTCATGAATCCTCTTAGTCCCCTTCTTAGCAGAAAACAGGCCCTCCCCTCACTCCTCACCTAAAATTTAAGAAAGAAACACATTAAAAGGGAAATACTTAAGGTAGGAGATGGATTTATGTATACTTTACATTAAGGTGTACTAGTACCATATTAAAAGCAGTCAAACAACTGATTTATCATATGAGCTACTGCTTCTAGCCTGTTCTGCAGGAAGATTGTGGTAAGTTCCACTTGTCAGGTAGGTGATGGTCTTTTTTTCCTAGGTTGCAGATATTCTGGTGTCGTGCTGCCATGACTGAATCATGTTGCATCATCATTGAAGGTGTAGCTCTTAGGCACAAAGCCATGGCCATTCCCATCCCATCCCATCATCATAGCACCTTGGCTATGAGGGAAAGGTGTAAAGTCCCTGCTGCTCTGTCCTTTCTAATTCTAGGAACGGCTGTTAGCTTTGAAGCGCAGCATGTCGTTTATGCAGGACATGGATTTTTCTCAGCAGGCAGCTCTTTTGGGCGACGAAGACCCAGCTGTTGAGGAACCTGTGCCCGAAGTTGTTCCTGTTCACGTAGAGACTACCAAGAAATCCAAAAAGCCAAGTAAAGAAGTCATTAGGTAATGATACAGATGGAATGCTTTGCTCTTTGGCGCATCTTAATTACAAACTGGAATTGTGCTGCTATGAAGCAGACTTGAGTTTCCTGAGATTTCAGCGTACTTGGGCAGTCACAGATATTTTCCCCCATTGCAGCCACACATTTTCCAAGGTGTTGCAGGTTGTGTGTGTGTGTGTGTGTGTGTGTGTGTGAGAGAGAGAGAGAGAGAGAGAGAGAGAGAGAGAGGTATGTCAGGCAGCTGTTGAGGTATTTGAGTATCAAATTAGTTTTGGATAAACCAATCCCAAACTGTTGATGAATCTTAGTTCACTTCTCTGGCGTTTTACTGTGACCCAAACAAGACATGTTTTGATTTTCATTTGTAAGGCAACCGTACAAGTTGCAGTATAAGTTGCACTTCTTTAAGGATTGTAGAACAGTGCAAAAAGTACAATAAAGATAGTAGACGTGCTCATTTTTTTTCTTTTGAGGCACTTAATAATTTCATTGTGCCCTGCCTCAGCCTTAACACAGCAGAGGCCATTTCTGTGATGTTGTCTTCTCAGATCCCAATACCCTCCAGTTGCCCCTCCAAGAGCACCATTAATTCCCTGCTTGCACTTGCCCTCAGGCTGTCTTGTAGCTGCTGCTGACCTGACTGCTGTGGGAGGCAGTGGTGCCATTTCCCCCGAAGCCAGCAGTGGCCTCCTCTTTAATGCAGTCCCTGGGCTTATAAAAGGGGGTAAGATGCTATTTTTTGTGTTATGGGGACTGATGATTGCCCTACAAGGCATATTTTGCAGCCCACTGCTTTCCTTCTACAGCTCAAAGTGGGTGAAGTTTTCTGGCCCATCAGAGCAATATTTTTAAATGACCATCTTCATGCTCTGGAACCATTCCCTTCCCACTCCCAGCACAAGCCAAAGTTAAGCATGTCTATGGTTTATATAGGAGAATAAAGCATGGACTTCACTCCCTTTCTCTCCTCCTCTCTGAAGCTATCAAGACTTTAAATTGCTGAACTTGTGTCCAGTAGTAGTAGTGAAATAATAGATACAAATACAATATTTGCCTATATAGGGAACAGCACAATAAATATGTCATCTATTGCACCATATTTTTAATGCTTGCCAACATAAGACAGATATCTTCCCCCATGGTTCTTTTACATAGAAAATCTTTCTTTGAGTTGATGTTTGATAAGATGGTCATGGATTCTGTTTTAAAAGCTGAAGTACTATATTCATTTAAGCATATTAACTTGTATTTGAAGTCAGATTACTTACACCTTAAACAAAATTATTTTTCTAACAAGGCTGAAGAGAAAATGATTTTTGTAAGCAACACAACTGATTTTTATTGACCTTGCAGTTGGGAGAAATGCGTATCTCCAATCACCCCTTAAGACAAAAGCAGGAAAGGGGGGTGGCTGGGGAGTGTATACAAGGTATCTGACAGAGTGGGCAGTTTATGCCACAGCAAATCTGCTAAATGAGACATAATTCTCATTAGGATGTAATGGGATCCAGACTCAAATTCCTCTTGGCTCGTAGGCAGAAGTGAGACCTGCTTTTAGAGAATTAGGACTAAGATACGGACACCTCCTTTATCCTGTGCTTGTTTTCCCAGGAACATCAGGCTGTTCCTTGTTGGAAACTGAAAGTTAGACTAGTTGGAGCTTCTGGTTCAGCAATGCAATTCTTAGGTTCTTAAGCTGAAACAAAAAGCTGTGCACTGGCTAATAGTGTACATTGTATAATCCCTTGCATGCCTATAAAAAGTGTACATAAATGACATGGTACACACATGTCTCGCTTTCAGCCTATTTGCTATTTACACATTCACGTATCAGAACACAAAGCATTATGCCCAGATCTCACTACACATGCACAGCTGATTCAGGCATCTGAACAGCCAGAGTTTGCCCCCTTCTGTACTTGTTTGTTTACTGTGGCAGGCATTTTGGGGCAGAAACCATGGAGTGCGGGGAGAGATTGGACAAATCAGTTTCTCCTTTATGTCTCTCTTGGTTGGCTGCAAAAGAAACCATGGAAGAAACCATTATGGGAGCAGGGAGAGAGATCATGAATTAGAATTTTTACCGTAGGAATCAGTGGAAACTGAACTTATTAAGCGAACCCTCACCTAACAAATGATTTCTTGGGAACACACTGTATTTGGTAAGCGGAGCCTGTGTCTAATACACATAATGATAAGAAAGTTCTGATTAACCCTGGAGAATGCCCACAATTAGTTCACCGTCATAATTTGTTGCCTAGAAATTACTTGGAGAAAAGTAGACATGATTTCATATTTATTGCACAACTTGTAACTTGTTTGTAGCTGCATATTTGAACCAGAAGGCAATGCATGCAGCCTGACTGACAGCACTGCTGAAGAGCACGTTCTGGCTTTGGTGGAACATGCAGCAGATGAAGCTCGGGACCGGATCAGTCGATGTCTGCCAAACAGCAAGGTCGTGCCGCTTGATCCAAGTTTCCATTATTTCGTTCTGCTTAACATTGCCAGAAACAATGTCCTCATCAGATTGAATAAGCATTTTTTGCGTGGCATCTGATACATTAAATATATTTCAAGGACCGCCTCTTCCCGTGTGAAGTGACCCAGACCTGGCACTCTTCCTATGCCTGCCTGCCTCCATGAGAGGTCTGGAGGGTGGCAACATGGGGACGGACCTTTTCTGCAGTCCGTGACTCCCCATATGTGGAAGGCTCACCTGGCGCCATCATTACATCACTTTAGGCACCAAGTGAAAACATTCCTCTTCACCTAGGCCTTTGGCTGATTAAACCATCTCTGGCCTTTTAAACTGTGTTTTGTGTTTTTACACTGTGATCCTTGGATGAAGGGCGGTATATAAATTTAATAATTAAGTTTCACATGTGATTGCTTTATGGCTGTTAAATTTCCAGAGCACAGTTTCCAGTCCCCACTTTCAATATAACACAAATGAAGTGTCACCTAGGATTTGTTCCTCGGTATCTGCCTTGGTGAACCCCCCCACCCCCCAAGCTTTTAATAAGTTAATAATGGTAATAAGTTAATAATATTAGTTATTTAAACTACCAGTAATGGATCCAGAGTGCTGTCAGGATAGGACCTGGGAGGTGAGGGTTCAGAGCTTCATCAATGGGCCTATCACAATCTCTCATCTTAGCCTACCTCATGAGATCATTGTGAAGATAAAATAAGTGATGGAGGAGTATGAACCTTGAGTTTCTTGGAAGAAAAGGACAATATAAAAGTAATAATGCACTAAATAGCTTCATGTAATACTCCAGATTGGGGCAACCAAAAGATGATAAGGTTCTCCATTATGGCACTATGGGAAGATAAAAATAATAGATTGTAGCCTTCTGATGAATCAAATCTAGCATATTAAACAATTCAGGTGTTTATATTAAAAGCACTAATGCTCTGAACACACTTATGAAAACAGGCTAAAGATGGTGCAGCTTTTTCAAAGGTGCTTATTCATACTGGATTATGCACCTGTAAACTCCCATTCCAGGCACACATCCAGCATGTGAGTGTTGAGTGGCCCAGGGGGAGGCTGCACTCTGTCTTAAGCACCACAGCTGTGCATAGGCTCTGCACAGCAACCATAGGTGAATAAAGTAGAGAATAAAGCCGTTAAGGAGATAAGGTTCAGTTGTCACCAAAGCTCTGGAACATGCTATCAAAAGAGGCAGTGCTAATGTTGTAGATCTCGGTAGCGCAGACAAACTGTTAGGATCTGACGTTTTAAAATCTGGATAGGTGCTTCCTTTTGATTGGTGAACGTAAAAATAATTTCTATTTCTGCCATATTTTTTAAGTACAGATAGGCTACCTGAAAAAGAATGGTGATGGGTCTTTGGTCTTCAGCGTACTCAATCCATCTGATCCAGAAGCAGAAGGTAATTGTTGTGTAACTTTTGCAAGCTTTGTTTAAAGTTGTAGGTATGCTTTTATTGCTGCATGGCTAGGTTCTCTTTTTAAATTTGCTCTGAAGTTCTTTCATCTTAGATTGAACAACCCAAACAAATATGAAGCAGTAATGATATGTGTTGAAATGTTTGCAACAGTACAGTAAGATGTGTATTCTGAAATACACTTTGCAACTCATCGTAAGCTAAAATGAATGTCTAATACAGACACGGTTGAAGGTTTATGGCTAATACTACAAATACCGTATTTTTCACCCTGTAGGACACACCGGCCCATAGGACGCACCTAGTTTTGGAGGGGGGAAATAAAGAAAAACAATTTTATCCCCCCCCAGGCGCGGGGGCGGGGGAAGCCCGAGCTTCCCCCGACCCCAGCCCACAGAGCAGGCAGCTCTCCGCAAGCCTTGGGAGACCATCGCGACTTCCCGCCGGGCTCCCACTGCTTGCGGATATCTGCCTGAAGCCCAAACCAGGTCAGGGAACAGCGGGAAGGCGCGCTGCTTCTGCCCGCCGCCAGCCTCCAAACCAGGTTGGGGAACCGAAGCCCGGGGCACGTTGTGCAGCGTGCCCTGGGCTTCGAGATACAGGCTGCTATCTGCAAGCCTAGGGAGCCCGATGGGAACTCCCGCGGGCTCCCAAGGCTTGCTGAGAGCTTCCTGAAGCCTGGAGAGCAAGAGGGGTCGGTGCACACCGACCCCTCTCGCTCTCCAGGCTTCAGCGAAAGCCTGCATTCACCCCATAGGACACACATACATTTCCCCTTCATTTTTGGAGGGGGAAAAGTGCGTCCTATAGGGCGAAAAATACGGTAGCTTCAAAATGAAGCTTCATTTGTCAGTAGTGTCTAAAAAAAGACTAAGGAATCTTATTGTTGACTGGATACCTGTGATGTTCCTCTAAACTCTTATTTGAATTAGCATAAATGCATCTTCTACTTTTTTGACCTGATCTTCGTCTGCTTAATTAAAACATGAATTGCCAGTCTGTGATACAACAGGTGGGCTGTAAGACATTCTTGGACAGAAGGAAAAAGACCCAATGGTCTGGGCAATGGTGTAGAAAAAGATCTGTACAGTGGTGCCCCGCAAGACGAATGCCTCGCAAGACGGAAAACTCGCTAGACGAAAGAGTTTTCCGTTTTGGAGGTGCCTCGCAAAAGCAGAATCTGCTATGGGCTTGCTTCGCAAGACGAAAATGTCTTGCGAGTTCCTGGGGTTTTTTTTCCCTTTTCCCCCTCTTTTTCTAAGTCGCTAAGCCGCTTATCTGCTTATCAGATAAGCTGATAAGCTGCTAAAAGCCGCTAATAGCGCTAATCCGCAAATCCCATCAATGGGCTTGCTTCGCAAGACGAAAAAACCGCTAGACGAAGAGACTCCCAGAACGGATTCTTTTCGTCTTGCGAGGCACCACTGTATTCCTCTTTGCCTCTCCCTGTTTGCTGGTGCCTGCTCCACAGCCAAATAAACTGTGAAATTGCAATAAAGTCCAGAGGGCTGCATGTATTGTAGTGGAATGACTCCATCTCATGCCTTACTATTACTCAGTTGAAGAAAAAAATGCACATCAGTGAGGAACTTGACTTGTGTTTGTCTGCTTATACATATGTATAGTGTATGAACTAAAATACATAATAAATGCTGAGTGTGATAAAAAAAATCCATACTCAGGAATATTATCTACATGTGTTCCTGATATTGATTTTAGAGGTTTGTAAAATGTGTTGAAGGGACTTTAAGATCCATGCCAAATCAACCATGTGGTTCATGATGCCTTGGTCTTCGTAGCAACCATGGGCATGTCTCATATAATAAAATGGATTGTTATCTTAATTATAATTATTATTTTGTGTTTTTCATTGCCTTTTGAACATAGTGTCCTAAAAAGCAGGATAGAAATTAGTTACATAAATAAATGTAATGCACATTTCCTTTTAATACAGAGGAGGAAACCCATCCAGTGGATCTGAGTTCTTTGTCAAGCAAGTTATTACCTGGTTTCACAGCCCTGGGCTTCAAAGATGAAAGAAGGCACAAAGGTAGCTAAGGCAACTAAATATTGTGTCTTCAGGATTAAACATTTGTCCTGCTATTAAACCATTCATTCAGAACCGAATAGTATTAAGAAGGTGATTTCAGTTAACTAGTTGTTTTCAGAACTTGATTAGTTGACTGTATATCTAAACCAAACAAGTAAAAAAGAAATCATGTTGGGAGAAGTAATTGGCCATGTTTGGACACTCATACTTTGGTTTAACCAGAAGTCTCTAATTAAATGTTGTTCCTTGTTTTCTCTGAACCAGGAGAATATTAAACCACATTTTTTTCTAAGATCTTGGCTTGTTCCGAAGCTGGAAACCGTAGTTTTCCAGCTGAGGCTTAATAGAAAACCATGGTTAATTTAGAGGCTTCCTGGTTTGCCTCCTCACACTGCAAAGGGAAGAGTGAAGACAAACAATTAAGTTTGTTTGTATCTCAATTTAATACGCCAATATATGATTGTCAAGGCTGGGTGATTATTACAATTCTGTTTGTGGTGTCTGACCTACGATAGCTGATTTACACATGCATTATCAAGAGATGTACATGGATCTGTAAACAAATCCTAAGAAATGCAGTTGGGTTTGGGAGGGGACGAGGTTGAGAAGAGGATTTCAAACACGTTTTTCTTATATTTCCAGTCACGTTCCTTTCAAGTGCTAATACAGCACTTTCGATGCAGCCCCATTCTATTTTTCATGATCTGAAAGCAGATGAAATGGAACTGCTGTATTCAGCATATGGAGATGAAACTGGGATCCAGTGTGCCCTAAGGTAAAGAAGTTGTCGTGCACATTGAACTCTTATATAATTATATTAATTGCTTGTTTACTTTTGTCTGCCATTCCATCTTGGTGCCACAGACCACTCCACCAGCACAGAAGCTTAAGATTAGGATATACAAAGAAGAACAATAGTTCACGTGGAAGCGGGAATAAATGGCATACAAAAATTTGTAGCTTCAAATTCCATCAGGGTGACAACTTTTTTGAAGAACCACAGAAGACAGCTTTTCAAAACCAAAATGTGTTTTGCTTTTTGCAGTGTTTACATTTAATTTAAAAGTATATATGCAGCCGACTGAACTGCTGGTCTTATGTCACAAATCTTCTAGTTTGCAGGAATTTGTGAAGGATTCTGGAATTTACAGCAAAAAAATAGTGGATGACTTGTTGGATCAAATCACTGGTGGAGATCATTCCAAAATTATTTATCAGCTAAAGCAGGTAGGTCTGCATTATGCAGAGATGCAACCAGTTTTAACACAGTTAGTGTGGGATCAGTAGTTTCCCCTTCAAAGTATTTTTATTAAAATCTTCAAATTATGTACAGTAGAATTGGTCAGTGGCAGCCCCTGAAACCCATAAAGCCTTTTCTGGAACTCATGAATATGGCCACACTGTTTGAACACCTTACACAAATCCTTGTCTTGACAAACAATCCCCTTCAGATCTAGCATAGAGAGGCTGTAAAATAATAAAAGTGGCAGGGTTGATTAGTTGTACTTCTTCCTTGCAAACAAGGAACTGCAAGCCAAGGGAGTCCTCTATGCCTGTCCTTTTTCTTCCTAATTCTATCACCTGAGACAGGTGTGGGGCTGGAAGGAAAGAGCGAAAAGATGAATATCTTATCATAAAACAGAGTTGCATTTAATGAAGCACATTTTTTCAGTCATGTGGAATACCTTTAATTGGTAAAAACATTGCGACCATATATATTGTCTACAAACTCCAAAGGTTCAGCAGGCCTCTCCCTGTTCAGAATGCCTTTCTTAATTCCTGGCTAACAGTGATGCATACCTTTTCTACAGTAACCAAGGCATCACAACCAAATGTGACTTGCATATTAGTTTTGTTGCTTAGCTTTAATAATGGGATAATCCTGTCTTTTCCGTTGGTGCTGGGCTTAGAGCAGTCCTTCACTCCCTTGGATTTGGTCTAGTTCTGACATGTCCATTCCAGTTTCCCCTTTTTTTCCTTTGTGTCTCTCTGTTTCTCAGAGGCTCATGGGATAATAGAAACCATATGGTGAACATCAGCAAAAAGTGTTTGAAATTATGTATTAAAATTTACTTCTTCACCTTGCTGACTTAGCCTACTGCATTCTTCTTCAGCTGATGCAAGTTCCAGCACCTTAATTCAACAAGCTCATAACGGAGCAGAATGAGCCGCAGAGCAATCTAAACAATGAAACTCTGCCATTTTGTGCCGGGAGCAGTCCCCATCAGCATAACGAACTGCATCCAAACATTGCTTGGCAGTGTATGAGAGGGGCTCTGGCTGGTTGAAAACTCCTGAGCCCAGCAGAGCCTACAAGCACTGTCTCTGCCAGACAGTCCCAAAACACTTCCTACCATGGTTGGGGAACCCTCCAGAGCAGATTGGGGGGTTGGGAAGTAGTGGAAACAGAATTTCCCTTGCTGGCATGACACTGGATCTCACCCATAACTGCTTCCTGATGGACACTGATCACTGGAAAGGAGGGGTATAAACACTTCAAATAAACTAAAGAACAATAACTCCGCTCTCTGTTTTGTTTGAAGATCCTCAAAGCTTGTTGTGTTCAAAAAAAAAAAGTTGGTCTGTATTAGTCCAGACTCAAAAGAAGCAAGGTTTTGTCCCTATCTTCTTTCTTCACTGTCCTATATTTCTAGTTTGAAAGTAAATCCAAATTATGACTGATTCAAGAGAAACACTGTTTATTCTGCAGATGTCTCTCTCATTGGCCTGGTTTGCACATTGCAGTAAACCACTGTTTAAAGTGCTGGTGTACACAGCTCAGATGTTCCCATGCCACTTCCTCCTTGCTTCTTCAAAATCACAGACAAAACAAGCCAGAATCTGGGTTGTTGGGTTGACCAAGGCTCATGGTTTATTTCATGCGAAAAAACCCGCCAGCAGTAACCAAGGTTTGTTCTTCAGTTCTCGTGGTTGGTTTGAATAAAACAAACCTGGGTGCAGGCAGCACAGCAAGGCAGACTCTGGCTTGTTTTGTCCGAAGTGTGGCAACAAGATTGGCGTAGAAGAGTCATGGGAACTTTAGAACATCATGCACCAGTTCACTGCTTGTTCACATAAAACCATTAGTGTGTTTTACACAAAAAAAGAAACAGGAAAAATGAACAATTTTAATGTTCTGGTTTTCAGAGGAGAAACATTCCAGTGAAGCCACCAGATGAAGTCAAAGTAAGTCCTATTGCATTTTATTTTTAACCAGCCTTCATGTCATATGTAATAGTGTGCTTTTTTTTGGAAACCGCCCTGGGAATATGATTGAAATATGCTTTAGTTGATATTCCTGCGTTGCATGGGATTAGACTGGGTGCATTACAATTCTCCTATTCTACAGTAAATACAGAAATAAGAATTGCAATCACTGTGTTCCATAAATCATAGAATCACTATAATTGAGATATTTCAGAAACCTCAAGATTTGTTTAAATTGGGTTTTCTGTACTATTTTCTGTTTCCTTTCATTTTGTATTTATTTGTTTTTAAGTACCAAAGGAAAAAATAATCCATATTGAAAGCTGACATTTTCTTGTTACTTCGTTGGTGGTGTAAAATAAAAGATGTCAAATGGAAAATGAATATAGATTGTAAATTGCCAACAATCTGGATGTGCTTTGATGTTTAAGGTTCCACCAGTCCTCATAAAAGAAGAACACAAATTGCGCAATACTTGCCCAGATGCCTCCAAGCAGAGTATGGTAAGATTTCTTGTTTAGTCTGTGCCTTGTAAATGGCCTAGTGAACCACCAGACCACAGGCCTAATCCAGCCCCTGCCCCCCCCCAAAGCTTTTTTATGGCTGTACCAAATTTGGCAGTGTGGAATCTGCAGGGATACGTGGTTGGAGAAGTTGATCAGACGAAGGTGGCGGGCCGACTGCAGCCACATCAGTGGTGGTGTCCCTGTCTGCTGCAACTTCTGCCTCTGTCCTGCTGCGCCCTTGCTCCTTTGGGAAGATTAAGGTTTCATTGGAAAACTCTGGTACCACCGTAAGGGCTTGCGTTTGATCAGAGCCATGCTTCTCCTGCCTCTCCCCTTATTGCTTCCTGTAAGTTAGCATGCAGCTGAACAGCCTGAAGTGTTCACATCCAAATCTTGGAGAGCATTGTTAGATCTTTACATCAGTTTGTGGGTGATCTTTAAAAAGCCACTTGACGTGGTTGCTGCTGTCACGATTAAGTAATAGTTTATTTCAGTTTATCATATTACAAACCATGCAAAAAGGCATTAGTAAATCATGTTGGGAGAGGGTGCTCTGCTTATTAACTTATTTGATCTTTATCACAATATTAATTTTCATTCATTATGATGACTGCTAACTGGAGGAGGGGCGGCAGGTAACATCCAGAATACACAGGTGCCTACTAAATTAAGCTGAGTGGGAAAAATATAGCCTCACCTGCTTTTTGGGCTTGCACACTTTTGGCATTTGAGTTTGTAATGAGGAAATGCAGCCTTGAACTGAAGAATGTTGGCCATTATGAATTGTGGTTAGTTTTGCTTCAAGCAAACAAAGCAATTATGCTTTGTTGGAGCAAAACAAAGCACAATCCCTCGTTCAAATCTAACGCTAAGCCCAGGGATCATAGTTGTGTTTCCTCCTAGCCCTTGAAAGGTAAAGGTAAAGGGACCCCTGACCATTAGGTCCAGTCGTGGCCGACTGAGGCTGCGGCATTCATCTCGCTTTATTGGCCGAGGAAGCCAGCGTACAGCTTCCAGGTCATGTGGCCAGCATGACTAAGCCGCTTCTGGCAAACCAGAGCAGCGCACGGAAACGCCGTTTACCTTCCCGCCAGAGCGGTACCTATTCATCTACTTGCACTTTGATGTGCTTTCAAACTGCTAGGTTGGCGAGAGCAGGGACCGAGCAACGGGAGCTCACCCCATCGTGGTGAGCCAACCTTCTGATCGGCAGGTCCCAGGCTCTGTGGTTTAACCCACAGCGCCACTCGCGTCCCTTGTAGCCCTTGTAGGAAGGAGTAAAGCAGGTGCAGTTCAGAGAGTCACAGTGAATGGTTTCCTGTGATGGGAAAGCAGTCTGCTGGATCAGGCCAAAGGCCCATCTTGTCCAGCATCCTGTTCTTGCAGTGACCAACCAGATGCTTAGGGAAAGCTCACAAACAGGACTGAGCACAACCACCACTCTCTCCACCTGTGATTCCCAGCCATCAGCATTCAGAAGCAGACTTCTTTGCATCCTCTTGTCTAATCCTCTTTCAAATTCATCCAAGATGGTGGCCATCACTATGTCCTGTGGCAGTAAATTCTATAGTTTAACTATGCACTGTCTGAGCACTTTCTTTTGTCTGTCTTGAATCTTTCACTATTCAGCTTCCTTGGATGTTAACAAACTCTAGTGTCATGAGAAAGGAAGAAACACTTTTCTCTGCCCTCTTTCTCTAAACTAAAAAGCCCCCAATGTTATAACAGTTCATCATAGATGAGACGTTCCATCCCCTTCATCATTTTAGTTGTCTTTTTCTGAACCTTTCCCAGTTTCACAACCTCCTTTTTGATGTGAGGATAATCCTAGGAGTTCCTTCTTAAACCAGTAAACAATGGGTGATAGCAGTGAATCCTTTTTGGAATGCTGCCAGGATTAAATGTAAAAATTAAGATTTTCTCCTCCATGCAGTACACGTTTTCAACATGGTCACCAGTGTTTGCCCATTTGACTTCCCAGTGAAAGTCATGAAGGGTGCACTTAGCCTTGCTTGATAATGTGCTTCTACTGGAGAGGGGAGTCATGTCTGTAGCAGCCCTACGTAAACAGTTACTTACGTTGTGTGGCTGTCATTTTTCTCTTCTTTTTTCAGGTTGGGGAAGCCATTGGAGACAATACTAGTTCCGTTTTGGATTTTTTGTCTATGAAGCCATATTCAGACGTGTCCCTTGATATATCCATGTTGAGTTCATTGGGTAAGCATGTTCTTAAGAGTAGTTCAGTGTTGAAAGAATGATTCAGTAGTATATTATATGTAGTTTGCTCCATCAATCAAGTTTTATTCTAGGCCTAGTCTAACATGGTTTTGCCACAGATTGCCACCCTTTTGTTAAATCATTTATTCAAAAATCTAGCGTGCACTGAATGATGCTTTGTTTTTCTCAGGTAAAGTAAAGAAGGAGCTTGATCATGAGGACAATCATTTACACTTGGATGAAACCACCAAATTACTGCAGGACCTTCATGAGGCTCAGGCTGACAGAGTAGGATCCAGACCGTCCTCCAACCTCAGCTCCCTCTCCAATGCTTCTGAAAGGGATCAACACCACCTAGGTAAGTCTGGTTGAACAACATGAGCTCCTGAGCCTTCTCAGTCCCACTTAAAATTGAATAGTTTGTGAGATGCCCAAGATACTGACTGCACTGACAGTATTCACAATCACATAATTACAGTGGTGATGAGATTGCCCCATAAGGTCTTGGGAGGGCAGGATGCAAATACAAATAGGTTGATAGATAGGACCATTGCTGTGATTTATTTCTACTTAAAATTGCAAATTTAAAATCCTCTGTTTGAATACACTTGACCTTTCAATGACTATTAGAAAACATGGCAAGTAATTAAACAGCCGTAAAAACTATTTGCAGTATAAAACAGCCCAAAAGCAATTTTACAAAGATGGATTTCATGTTATGAGAACATGAAATTCACACACGTTTTCGTTCCAAGTCTCAGGGCCACCGCAGGAAGTGTCTGCTCATACCCAACATCAATCACACTTCTAATAGAAGGGACTAAGTAGATAGGCTGGGTGCGGGGTTTTGCCACAAAAGTAATGAAAAGTTGACTTTTCTAAAATCATTGATGGAGAACATGATTAAAAACCACCAACTATAATCATTTACCTATTTAACTGAACTCTGTTAACTTGCATAAAATTGCACTGTGAATATATTTCCTGAGTGTATGGAACTGTTCAAACTTGTTAATTTATCCTTTCTGGCCCTCTCCTTGTTTCCCACAGGAAGCCCTTCTCACTTAAGTGTAGGAGAACAACAAGATATGGTCCATGACCCCTATGAATTTCTTCAGTCTCCAGAACCTACAAATGCCAATAATTAATCTTGCATATATTTTTATTTATTTTGTGCTTTTTATACTGTGTAAACAATTTATGTAGTTTTGTCGAATAGCATGCATTTCTATTTGCCCTTTTTATTTTGTATGAAGATTGCTAAATAATAATGCTCATGCATATTTGTAAATATTACTTGGGTTTATATATCATGGTATTTGGACCATCTCATACGGTATTTTAGGTGTGTACAATAGATCTGAAGAAGCAATCTCAAATTACGTATTTAAGATACCTTATTTATATTTTAAAAAATGCTAACCAGCTGTTTATCATGCTGTCAATTGTTAAAAAGTTTTTTATTTAGTGTGCCGCTATGGCCGTATAGGAGGAGCATTTTTTCCAGTGGTGATACAGTGTTAGTCACAGAGACCTATTAATACCAAGGTGGCTCTGCTCTATGACTGACTTTAGACATCACCCAGACATTTCAGAACCGTGGTTGTCTTTGTATTTTCTCCTTCTCTTCCTCCAGTTGCCCACTGCAAAGATGGCCAGATTAAAAGTTATATACAGTCCAGATCCTCAATAGTAATATTGAAGATTTACAGCTTAAAAAGTTCAGCCCTTGCCAAATTATCCAGATTTTTAACACGTTTTAAATTTTAAATGAAGAATTTGAAATTTGACACTAAATGACTTTTTTAAAACAATTTATATTATGGATAAACTAGAATCATTTTGTTGTTCATTAACAATATTGTAAATATGAATAAAACTCATCAATGCAATTGTGCTCTGGTGTTCTTGGTACTAAGTTCTCCAGTTCCTCATTAACTTGAAATTTGGTGTACCAGAAACAGACCTGCCTAAAGCTCTCTTTAAATATAGTGTGATGAAAGTGATCAAGTAGAGTTGTGAACTTTGCGGGGGAGAAAGTCTCTCCACTGCAGTTCTGTCCAGTACACCAACAGCAGCGAGAAAAGGAGCAGCAAAACTTTGGGATGGGGCTAAATATACAGCCCTGCAGTCCCTTTCACTGCTTGTCCTCTACACATGAGTAATGAGTGAAGAGAACTAAAGATTAAAAATTGCTTTAAAACTTTGACCATGTGAAGTCCTATAGCAAATCTGTTTTCTGCTTGTGGTGATCCCAATTTTCTAGGCTAATGCTGTATCACAAAATGTTCCCAAACAATTACCAAGCTCAGGGAAGCACAAACAACAGAACTTGTTAGTTTAGCATTTGACTAGGCTTAATACATCGAACAGCTCTGAGAGCTAAACCAAGACTTCATTTTGTGCTGTGCTTCTAGGCATAGGTCTGGGCTTTAAAGGTCTCCAAGCAAGTTTTCTGCAGATTTGCTGTTTGTTCAAATTCAAAGTAAAATGTTGGTTTTCTGGGAGAAAGTACTGGAACCAAAACAAAAACAAAGCCCTGCTCTGAAACAGCTTTTAAAGCATGGACTTGTGCCTGGAAAACATGGTACAAAAGGAAATCTGGATAAGGCCTGAGTGATGAAATTCCGGCTTGAGGGCAGGCTGAGGAAGAAGCTGTCAGAGAAAACAACCAATGTGGTTAAAAGAGGCAGGGCAGCATTAAGGGTGAAGATAAGCAAAGGGAAAGGAAACTAGACTCCAGGAAATCTTAGTGCACAGGAAACAGAAATAAGAATGCAGGGGATGGGGAGGGTGGGATCACACTGCCAAGAGGACTTTGCTAGGGCCTAGATTTCACATATTTATTTGAACTAACCTACCAGTAAGGAACTGTTACTTTTCTTTTGGTGGCACCACAACTACTCAGTGCAGAATTGGAAAGTGACGCCTACACATCACACAATGGCAACAGAATGCATGGACAATTGCTTCAGTTGAAAAGTTAACTAAAAGAGTGCACACTTTGGACTGCACATGTGACATGGATGGTTTTATTGAAATATAATAACCTTTTAATATATATGATTTTCTTTTTTTAATGCATTTATTATTTTTATGAAAAGTAAAGCAGCTGTAAGCCTGAACTTTTACAAAACAAGGACTGTTGGCAACAAGGTTCCCACTCACATAACAAACAGGCGACGGAGGAGAACCCAGAACAAAAGAAGATTCTTACATTTATACCTTTTAATTTCCATACAGAACAGTGAAACCGAGATGCTTGACGAGGGATTAAACAGGTAAGTGGTAAGTCGGAAGAGGCAAATTCCTGATAATCGTTGTTTGACAACACTTGGTTCGTGTTATTGTTTGGCAGGCAGTGTACACCAGGGTGGAGTAAGCAGGGGCAGAGCAAGGTGGGTGCGGTGGGCGCGGGCCGCCCCATGCGCCATCATGGGGGGGGTGACAAAGCGCCTGGTGGGAAGCACAGCCTGTCCCCTAGAGGTCCCGCCCCCTCCCCAAAACAACACCCCCAGTGCGGACCGGCGCTACAGGGCCTCCCTCCCTCTCCCCCCAAGCAGCCCACCCTCTTAACACTCCCCACTGCTGCCCCAAATCGCAGATGACTTCGTGTCAGCATCCCCAAGCCCTCACTCCCAGTGGCGTAGTAAGGTCAGGTGGTACAACAGCAGGGAATGCAAGAGAATGGGCTGCTCGGGGGGGGGGGGAGAGAAGCCCCACAGCGCCAACCCGCACCAAAGGTGCCACCCTGGGGAGGGGAGCGGCCGACCCCTCCCCCCCCCAGCTCCGGCGCCCGCCTGCTTCGTCTTGCCCAGTCCATGGAGAGGCGGCCAGCTGCGAGCGCCCCTGGATCACTCCCAGCTCCGCCAGCCGGCACCCACTGCACCCACCATCCCTGTCCTGGGGGCACCCAGAAGGCTAGTGGCAGGGGGAGTAGAGGCGTTTCCTCATCCTCAAAGTGCCTCTGGATGCACGCAGCTGCTGTGTTGGCGAATCCTCAGCCGCATGCCGAACAGCCTCCTCTCTGCTTGCACCCCGCTGGTGCTGGGTTCAGATGGTGGCGCTTTTTTGAAGACCTTCCAGACGCAGGAGACGAGGGAACGGGGGCCAAGGCACAAGGGGGTCCTCTGAATATTCTTTTTCACACTGGCCTCATTCACTCTGGGCTCCAGGTCTTCTTTGTTGTCGCCAGACGGGGCCCACAGACCCTTTGCAGCATCTGCAAGTGAATTATTGTGGGGTGGCCTTTGGCTGCTATTATCTTCTGGGATGCCAGGCTGCTCTTGTGGAGACCCCATTTCCTCTTTCTTTTCCTGCAGCTGCTTCGCCTCCTGGGTCGTGGGACAGAGAGCCCTGGTCTTGTTCATCTGCCCATTGAAGGTGTTTTTTTCCCTTTTTTTTTGCACTTCCATGCTTGGAGGGCTGCTGGGGGGTACTTCTCCTGGCATCCCCAGCAGCCTCCATGCTGTCAGTGTCACAAACGTGGATGGCCTTCTTCCCTCAGCTGGGCAGAGTGTGCTGGTTCTGGTTCTGCAGCTGGGACTTCAGCTCCCCTCCTGCGGCCTTCTCCTTCTCCAAGCCCACTCGATTTGCCCTCTTTTGGGGGCCACTTCCGGCCCACGTTGGCTGCTGTGAGAGGCGACGGAGGCCTGTGGTGGGGTCCCTGCCCCTTTGTGGGGGGATCTTCCTGCCTGGTTGGGGGTCCCCACTCTCTCTGTCCTCCGGGCACCCGGGGGGCTAGTAGCAGGGGAACTCCTCGCCGGTCCCATTGCAGGGGAAGTAGCCCGTGGAAAGGCCTGAGCCACTCAGGGGTGTTTCCTCATCATGGGCATCGCCCGGGTAGTAAGCCTTGTGATCTGCTGCGGCACTTTCCGGGCGCTCTGGCTCGGTAGCGTCAGAAGGGAGGCCCTCATTCACTCTGGGCTCCAGGTGTTCTTCTCTGTTGTCGCCAGACAGGGGCCACAGCCCCTCCGCAGGTGAATTATTGTGGGGCGGCCCTTGGCTGCTATTCTCATCTGGGATGGTGCCAGGCTGCTCTTGACGCGCAGCGTAAATTAATAAGTGAAAGAATAAGAGCTTTAATGAGCTCACAACTGAGGCAGACTGAGAACACAGAGAGAAAATGGCTGCCACTTATAAGGTGGCACATATAAAGACACTTATATGTGTCTTTGTCACATGACAGCTCTTGTAGAGACCCCTCTTCCTCTTCCTCTTCCTGCAGCCATTCAGGACTTAGTAGATCTGTACAACGTGGTCTCAGGTCTCCTTCTTGCTTTCGCCTTCCTCCTCCGGGAGCTGCCTGTTGGTCCTCTCGCCATTTCCCCAGCCGTTAATCTTCAGACTTTGCTGATTGTCACTCCCGCTGTCTAATATGTCGTGATTTTAAAAATAAATTTAGGCACCAGTTTTCCCGATTCTGTCGCGGCTAAGCCACCCAAGGGCTGTTGAGCCAAGGCTGGGAATCAACTGCCAAGTGAGGTTGGGATTCTGCGCTGATGTCATAGACTGGTTCTGATCAGTCCATTTCCTCTAAGGGGGGGACCTGTTTCCCCTGAGGGTGACTGCTTAACACACCACCCAAGAGAAAAAGGAGAAAAGCGGAGAAATCTTTTAGTTCTGTAGCAAGAAAGAATGAGTGCCAGGAGTTTTCTTTCCCCTGCCCTCCTCCACTGCAACACCTTTTCATCATCATCATCATCATCATTATTAAAGTTTTCTTGGTTTACAAAGGTATGCGCAATGTCTCTTTTTTTCAAGTTACATTTTCCATAGGTCAGTTTCATTTGTTGAGACATTAGGGTTACATTAGGAAGAAAAGGGGGGAAGAGGTGGAGTGGGGTGGGGTCAGGAGGCGAGGTTTCTATTTTGCTTCGTGTATGTGTGGGGTTTTGTGTCAGCATCACTTGTGTGGGTTCTCTTTACTATTTGTGTTCCTTTGGTGGTGAGAAAAATTGGGGTTGGCCTAGGGTGCGGTTGCTTGTTTGTGATTGGCTGTGGTGAGCTTTGTTTTCGTGGGGTGGGTGGGTGTTTTTGAATCGGGTTAAGCCATATTGATTTGCATGCTGTTGGCGCTGTGGCATTTGCCCAATCTTTGGGGATACGTTTGTACTGGGGGGAGAAAGGGTTAATAGGTTGACCAGTAAGAAAGCCATTTTTGTGAGTTAGTTCGTTGGTTCTTTTTTTGGGGGGGGAGATAGAGGAGTCAGAGTCAGTTAGAGACAGGGACAAGACTGAGGGGGAGTAGAGTGACAGAGTTTTGAATATATTTTAAAACTTGTTTGTGTTTGAAATAAACTTTAATCTTCATTGTTAACTCTGCCTGACTGAGACTCAATACTTCACCAGGGAACCCTGGGTTTTCCCCCACAAAATTGGTGTAAGCGGAAGGATAAAGTAGTGGTGTACAGGTCAATAGTCCGTGAAACAACCGGGGTCTCTACGAACGCCACAGGCGGGTTCTTGTCATTGTCTTCTTGTGCTGTGTATGTGATAAAGGGGAGCCATACAGGGGTGAAGGTATCTTCTTCTATTTGTTCCTGTGTCAGTTTCAGTTTATTGGTTAATTATTCTAGTCGGGCTGTTTCCCATACTATTTGGTACCATTGGTTCATGTTTACTCCTGACAGGTCTCTCCAGTGTTTGGCTATAATGCTTTTGGCTGCTGAAAGTAGGCGGGTTATGAGTTCTTTGTGATGTGAGTGGGCATTATTGTCTTGGAATATGTTTAGTAGAGCTGGGGTGTTCCTAATACTTGCTTAATTATTTGACATATTTTTATAATTATTATTATTATTATTATTTATTATTTATACCCCATCCATCTGGCTGGGCCTCCCCAGCCACTCTGGGCAGTTTCCAACAAAACATTAAAATACAGTAATCCATCAAACATTAAAAGCATCCCTAAACAGGGCTGCCTTCAGATGCCTTCTAAAAGTCTGGTAGTTGTTGTTCTCTTTGACATCTGGTGGGAGGGTGTTCCACAGGGCAGGTGCCACTACCGAGAAGGCCCTCTGCCTGGTTCCCTGTAACTTGGCTTCTCGCATGACTGTTGTCCAGAATAGTTGGATTTTGGGGCATTCCTACCACATGTGGAGGTATGTGCCCGTGGAGGTGCTCCCTCTCCAGCATTTTGGTGAGGTTCCTGGGCATATTAGCGCTAATTTCCTTGGTGTTAGTTACCACCTGTAGGTGAGTTTCAGAGAGTTCTCTCCTTCTCGTTGATATGGATTTAAAGGAGGGTTTAGACCACATTCCGGTCCACTGAATGGAGTTAATCTCATAGCCTATGTCACCTTCCCATATTTTTTTTATTATGTCTAGGGGGTTCGTGGGGTTTTGGAGTAATATTTTGTATATTGCGGATACCATCCCTTTGCCATGTCCCTTTGTTGTTAGGAGGTTTTCGAAGGTTGTCAGGGGCCTAGTTGCTGTTGATTTTACTACTGGGTTGTTTAAGAGGACATGTAATTGGTGGTATGTTAACCAGGGCAATTGGGTGTCCTCTAGTTTGTCTTGTATTTCTTGTGTTGACAAGGGTTTGTTATTTTTATAGAAGTCTGTTAGGTGATATAGGCCTTTGGTTTGCCAGGTTTTTATTTGGAGGTTTTGTGTTGCGTGATGGAATAATGGGTGGTATGTGGATTAGTGGGGATGGTGCTGGGGACACTTTGCCTATTTCTGTTTTCCATGCTTTGAGCATGGTCTGTGTGTACCTGGTGAGTGTTGTGGGAATTTTCCTTAGTTTCTTTGGAAGGAATGGGTATGCTGTGGTGCAGGTATTTTCAATTGTGTCCCTCTCTAGGTGTATCCATTGTTTTGTCTCATCTTCTAGTATATATGGGATTATGTGGTGCATTTGGTTGGCAATGTAATATGCTTCTATGTTGGGGATTCCCCATCCTCCATCTGAGGAGGGGAGATGCAGATACAGTGGTGCCTCGCAAGACGAAATTAATTCGTTCCGCGAGTTTTTTCGTCTTGCGATTTTTTTCGTCTTGCGAAGCACGGTGTCGGAAAAGTTTTGGAAAAGCTTCAAAAATCACCAAAGTCTTCAAAAACCTCAAAAAAGGCTACCACACCGCGTGCTATGAGTTGCTCCTCGAAGTCAAGTCGCAACTGTATTAACGGTTTTAAGAAAAAGGAAACAAACTTGCAAGACGTTTCCGTCTTGCGAAGCAAGCCCATAGGGAAAATCGTCTTGCGAAGCAACTCAAAAAACCAAAAACCCTTTCGTTTTGCGAGTTTTCCGTCTTGCGAGGTACCACTGTATTTGGGGGTTATTCTTGGTTTTTTGTGTGAGAAGATAAATAAGTGTAGTTTTTTCTGCCATTTTCAGAGTTGGGTTGGGGGATCCAGATTGGGAGGGTTTGGAATAGGTAGGTTAGTTTTGGGAGGGTGATCATTTTGATCATGGCTATTTTGTCTGAGAGTGAAGTTCATGTTGTTCTATCTCTTTAGGTCTTTGTTAATTTGCCCCCACAAGGGGTTGCAGTTGTTCTCTAGAGCTTCCACTTTGGAGGTTAGATCGTTGATTAATATCTGCAGGGGAGCCACTGTGGCCTTCAGTATTTCTGCTAATCACATTTCCATTTCCCTCAGATCTCATTTCTTTGTTGGGTGGTCTTCATCTTGAAGGGGTGCTGTGGTCTCAGCGCTGTTTGCCATCTCCCTGGTTGGTGTCACCTCGCTCTCCCATATGGTTTTGGTTTGGGATCTGCTTGGCGTCCTTTTGGAGTGGGGTGTGTTATGGTTGGGAGTTGTGCTGATGATGGTTCCTGGGTGTTGTTGGGTTGCTGAGCTGGACAGGCATTGTTGACTGATGGCTTCTACAGAGCGTTGGAATTAGGCGGTCATTTTTGTCGCATCTGGGCTGTGTTTTAAGGGCTTCTCTGGGGTTTTCCTAGATGCCTCAGTGGCGTTATCGAAGCAGGGAATAGACAAGTAGACAGACAAGTGGACTAACAGACAAACAGTTAATATAAAAGGGGTAACAGGCTGAGATGTAAGAGACCGGGGGTGGGGCCAGGGGGAAGATGGGGGGGGGGGTTATTTGTGGATATCCCTGTGATGTATATGATTTTCTAAAGAACTTTCTAATTATTAGCATCCGCCAAATTCACAAATGATAAACTGATCATTTGTTCTGGGAGGAAGGGAGAAGGGAAGGGGAACAGGAGAAGTTATGTGCTATGTTTATAATCTGCTGAAAACCAATAAAAGTTAACACACCGATACAGTATAGATGTGACATTTTAAATGCAACCTGGTACGGTACATACTAACCTGTCTACAGTACAGAATTGCATGAAGGATTATTAGATGGGGGAAAAGTCCTGGATCTGCAGTTGTTGACATGGGAATTATTTATTACTTTTTTGTAAATTATCTTTATTGAGTTTTCTTACACTTAGAAAATTGAACCCCGTCACACATTGAGTAGCAAGCAATTATAAATCACAATAACTGATTCCAAAATACAGTGGTACCTTGGGTTACATACGCTTCAGGTTACATACGCTTCAGGTTACATACGCTTCAGGTTACAAACTCCGCTAACCCAAAAATATTACCTCGGGTTAAGAACTTTGCTTCAGGATGAGAACAGAAATCGTGCTCCAGCGGCACAGCGGCAGCAGGAGGCCCCATTAGCTAAAGTGGTGCTTCAGGTTAAGAACAGTTTCAGGTTAAGAACAGACCTCCGGAATGAATTAAGTACTTAACCCGAGGTACCACTGTATAACCATAGGGCTGTGAGTTTGTAGAGGCGTCTAGCCTTTTAGCAACAGGTTGTGGAAAGTGAACCGTTTCTATTCCTGGAAAAGTGGAAGGGCACATGTTTTAAGTGTTGCGCTGTTAAGGTTTGTGTAGTTTGCTGCCTTCCCAGCTGTGTGATGTCATTTAGCCCAAAGTCAAACATTATGAAGTCAGCAGTGAGGTCAATGCACTCTCAGTGGGAGGTGACCCTTCCAGTGCCTTTGATTTCCATTTCATTTCTGTGGGACACAGCAAAGTAATTGCGATATTGGAGGAAAAAGGAATAAAGGCACAACGGAGAGAAAAGCAACCCAAGAGAACATAGCAGAAGAGAATGATATAACCAAAGCTCCGATAGATATCTTAAAGTGGCGCTTTGTGATTAACTTGTGGAGCTCAGTGAAAAATACCGCCTGTCTGTGTTTGAGGAAGGGAATCTCTCTGAATAAAAGTGAAGGAAATTAGTATTTCTAATTTCTAAATTCTATTAGTATGGCTGGGAATCAGAGGACTGGCGGTTCTCTTCTTTGCTTAGGAAAATGCCATAATGTGGTAAGAAGCACAGTTAAAAGTGCTACTTTTGCTGTAGGCACTTTTTATTATTAAGGTAACTGTAGAGATTTTTGAAATAGCAAGTGGTCTATAAATGCTTTTAAGTAAAAACAAATATTTTCCTCAATCTAATTTTGAAAGATCTTCGTTTTTATTAATGCAAAATAACTGCCATGCAGTCAAGGTGCCCAAAGTGTCGCACTCCTTCATTTTGAAAAATACCAGTATTCCCAAGTTACGAGGAAACAGCAAGGTTTGCAGGACTAGGTGCGTGTAAAGATTGGGGAGTTTTTAATAGGTCACAAAATGTCCTGACCTTAACACCTTAAGTTATTCAGGTAACCCGGTCCCTTGTCAGTTGGTTGCCAAGGCGACCGCTCCAGTTTTCACAGCTCCAACATTCCAAAAAGAGGCAGACACGGCCCTTCCGGATCAGATGGAGGTCTTTCAGTCACAGGTTGTTTTTATTCCACATTCAGTAAATTTTGGATACCTGGGGAGAGGAAGATTAGCTTTAGAGGTAGTATATAGGAGTTGCCTGGTAATAATACAGCTGGTGGGAGGATTAATTATGTCTAGAGACTTTGTTTGGATCATTATTTGACACCTGCATTTCTTTCAGTGCACTTAGAACATCATACATGTATAGAGGTTTATTATCATGTATCACTAACAGATGCCTCCAGTCCCAGAGTTAAAAGTATATAAAGTGTCAAAGAAAATAAAGGTTTTATTCATTCAGGAGGCACAAACTGTTACACGCTTCCAAATGCTCATTAAATTAAAATTCACTTAATGGAAGGGAATTAGTACCCAAGCCTTGCTATAGATGCTGTAGATTCAGATATCCAAACAGTTGGACCTGCATATAATACTTGTAAACAAATAAGCAGCCTTAAACCAGCCTTACTTCTTTTGTGTTTTGCTGGTCTGCCAGAAGCAATGGTGGGAGGGAGGGAAGGAGGGGAAAGAGATTGGACAAATAACAGAGCATTTGTTCCTTCCTTGTTTGCCTTTTGCAAGGTTTCAGAGGATTTTCCAAGGTCTGCTCACCAGACAAATTTCCAGTCCATGTGTTGTCACCAGATATTCCTGATATGTTACTGGGAAGCCAATATGATCGTCCTATAAACCTCATTTTATTAAAGTGAGCAGCTTTAAGAATCATTTTAGCTGAAAAGTAATACCCCAGTATTGTTACTGGACTGATTCTGGATGAAACCCACAGGAATTGGGAAAGGTTATAGGTCAGTGGTGGAGCAAGTGCTTTGCATGCAGAAGGTTCCAGGTCCAACCCATAGCTGTCAACTTTTCCCTTTTCTTGCGAGGAATCCTATTTGGACTAAGGGAATTTCCCTTTAAAAAAGGGAGACATTGACAGCTATGGTCCAACCCATAGTATCTCCAGGCAGAGGCTGGGAAAGATTCCTGCCTGAAACACTTAGAAGCTGCTGAGCAAGGTGATCCAAGGGTCTGGCTGGGTAGAAGGCAGCTTCCCATGTCCCTGAACCTCTTTTGGGGCAGCTACGTGTTGACAGGGTGTGAATCACAAATGTTTAAGTGGCCCTGTTAATACCGCAGTTCACAACCTGTGTACACCGAGGTAGTTCTATTAACTATAATACAACTACTCCATAATATGAATTCTGGGTTTCACCTCAAGATTCCAAACATTTCTCAGAGTTACTTAGGTGGGAACCCTAACTATGTAAGTCCTATTAAATTCAATGGGGCTCACTCATAAATAAGTGGGGTTGGAAAATTGAGATGGTCATAGTCCCTCAGCAGAATTAATAGGACTGAGGCTGTGATCCCATTTGCAATTACTGGGAAGTGCTGGACTGCAAATCATGCCATGGCACAAATCCTTAGCAAATACTTGCAGAAGTCAGCAGTGTATATTATTTTAAAGAACGCCAAAACAAATATTTAAAATGGTTAAAGGCTTTAAGGCCCCACAGCTCCCCTGTCGTTGCTTGAGTGGAAAACTGGTGAGGAAAACACAGTCAGACTTACTTCTATGCCTTTAACAAAAGCTTGATCTTGGGGGAAAATCAGGTAAAGGTCTTCACAGCACTCTCTTCTAATATCTGCATAGCATGCTGTTGTTAAAGAAGTAGAGCCTGGTAAAAACAAAAGAAAAAGCTAGCAGCTCCCCCTGCCTCCAGTCGTAGGTCTCCTGTTTGGAGAAGTTCATTCTGAAAATCTTGCATCAACTAATGTTTGTCTGATTTCGTATCAGAGAAGCACTCAGTAACCGGACTTTGGTGATGTGGGTATATTCTGCTATTTTGCATTAGGCAGTTCCTCTATGGTCGTGGTGGTGGCTGGCTTTTGGTTGCTCAGAAATTTTATTAAAAGTTTGTTTTTCTGACAATTACCTCTAATAGGAAATCGGTGGGTTTCTGTCATAATCCTGACAAACCAAGGTTTTGCAGGTAAGATGACAGCTGCTTGAACCACGTCCTCTGTAGGACCCAGGAGAACCACTGCCTTGCCAAGAAGTGGAGTGGAAACGGTTTCCATAGCTACAAAGGGAGTTGCTCTGTTAAAAAGAAACTAAGCAAGTCTTTCTAAAAGTTGTTAAAGGCCATGCTGACAGAGACAGATCCTTCAAATGCCCAACTTTCTGGTAATACTACATGACATTTCGACCCACAGGGGGAAAGATCCCACAGGAGTTGCAGAGCTCATCCAAACCTCTTTCTGCACGGCCCTGGGAAGCGAGGGAGGAGCGGCCTGGCCAGGAGAACATGCTGAACATCGCAGACGTAAGTCAAAGGGGGAAATTATCCTGAACTTTGGGCTTTTCACTGTATTACTGGCACTGTATACTGAGGGCTCTCTTAGGACAGAAGCAGAAGAATTAGCATTGTACCAATTATTTCTGAAAGTAAGCAAGGGAGACTGAAGGCAGAAAGTTGGGGAAATTCTGCTTTACTTCATCAACAAATATGTTTCACTCAGTAGCCGCTCACTTATAAACTTTATAAACTGCTCACTTATAAACTTAGTTACTCTGAAACATTACCATCTGTTTGTGGGCAGATACTGACATTTCCCAGCTTTTCTGTATATTTCAACCATCAAGGAATACTCTCACATCAACTTGCTTGTTAGGAAACAGAAGCTGCAAATGTTACAGAGGATTCTGAGAACAGATATACTAGGAGGGGTTAATATGCTGAAATAGCTGCCTTTTCAGTTACATTTTTAAAAAATTTGTGAGCTTCCATTACAAATACCTGAGGAGCACCTGCACTTTCCTTAATGGTTTACCATGCTAAACTGCAGATAACTTTTCTGCCATACCAAGTTACTAGCGAAGGTTATGCAACTGACGCCGGGATACTTTTAAAGGTAAGAAGGTGCATATTGGTAAGATTCCACAAAGAACTAGAGAAAATTCTCCCAATAGTCAGGGTTTTCTTTTCCTTTCATTCTCTCAGCAGTGAAAAAATCCCCTTTCCGGAAAATAACACCTTCCCTCCAGAAAGACAAGTTCCCAGGGCAGCTTACAGAGTCAGAATACAATAAGTATGCAACAAAACATACAAAAAGTAGAAGCAGAATAGAAAAATAGCACAGAAAGCTTCAGAAAAGGTACAAACAAGCTAAGATAAAAAGGGCTGTGGAAAATAAAAGTGTGTTTGAAGACCAGTCGGTGTCAGACAAACCTCCAGAACAGAAGTGCAGGATTACATTTCAGTTTTTAAAAGCGATCAGTGAGTGTTGCAGTTGCTGTAGTTAAGAAACGAAAATGAAGTTCCTTGGAGAGCGGGCTTTGTATTGAAACTGTCATTCAAGAGGACAAAATGCTTCCTTGCATTTGGCTGTAGCAACAGTCAATAACTTCCTCCATGCTCTTAAGAGAAAGACATAAGCTAAATGATCGTCATATTTGACTACTTTTATGAGTTTGAAAGAGCTCTTAACTGGGGCAGAGCTGATGCCTTAATCTTCCCATAACTGAGGAATGTATGACTGACCCTTTCTAAGATTCTGTAGTGTTCTCATCTCTTGTGTTCATAATAACTCTGGATCTTTTTTTGCGGGGGGGGGGGGAGGATAAATCATGCATCATCAGCACTTGTACAACTGCCTGCCAGATTTTTGTATAGGGAAACTGAAATGGCATCTTGGGGTGGAAGTGGAGTTGAGTGTTGGACTCCCTAAAATGTCTGGTGCTTATAGCACACCAACAGTCATCTGCCAAGTTCCAGTTAAAGCACTTTACTCAGAACTGGTCTGTTACCTGTTTCAGTGCAGACCACAATCAAAGTATTTCACCTTTCCTGATGTTTAACCATGCTGTGAGGGCATTTTTCACCCCTGTACACCACATGTTTGGGCACTGCTATGTGGTGTCAAGTTAATGTGAGGCATCAACACTACAGTGGTACCGCTGGTTAAGAACTTAATTCATTCCAGATGTTATGTACTGAAGTTCTCACCCTGGGCCAGCAGGGGGATACTGTAGATAGTTATGCAAATGAAGGATCGAAAAGTGACGTTCAGTGATTGGATAGTTTTGTATGCAAATGAAGGATCGAAAAGTGACGTTCAGTGATTGGATAGTTTTAGAAAATGGCAACAGTTGCATTGTTCTGGAGCTCTATATAAGCAGGCTGACTGAGCTCCTCAGCCTAGTTCTGTTCTGGCATCTGAATTAAGAAGAGCTGTTTAAAGAATCGCTGTGTCGTCTGACATGTTCGCCCACAACCTAACACCGGAGGTCCGTTCTTAACCTAAAACTGTTCTCAACCTGAGGTACCACTTTAGCTAATGGGGCCTCCCGCTGTCACTGTGCTGCCGCCGCACGATTTCTGTTCTCATCCTGAAGCAAAGTTCTTAACCTGAGGTACTATTTCTGGGTTTGTGGAGTTTGTAACCTGAAGCGTCTGTAACCCGAGGTACCACTGTATTAAAAACTATTCTTTCTTTAAAATCTGATCCTGTGGTCTACATAATTTCATTTGCCAAGGATGAAGGGAAATTTCTGCCCCTTAAACAACTTATTAAAAATTATTTTCAGATAGAGTCAAATGCCAGGTAGGGTTTCTTTTGTATTTCCGTTTTTTAACCAGACACCTTTTAAACCTATTGATTATAGGACAATAAAGGCTCACTATGTCAGGTTCCTATTGGAAGACCGGACAAACGCTAGAACATTAGCAGTGGCAAAGTTTTTATCGGTGGTTGCAAGAACCAATGATCCCTATCTTTTGAACAAAATGCTTGTTTAACCTGGAGGTAGGCTGTATGAATTGTGCATTGCTTTGTAATGATTTGTTGGGTTTCTGGACCATAATGAAGATTGATTTGATTTGATAAATGCTAACCAGAGTGTGAGAGAAAGAGGTGAGAGGCAGGGGGCTTGTGAGACCAACACTTGTCCGTGTGTAGTGTTCAGTCATAGTTTAACATTGTGTGTGAACCAGTCCAGTGCCTATTAGGGAAGTTTTAGGTATTTCACTTGGAGTGCTGAGGCCCAAGTCTGGTTTGGGGAAGCTTTGATGACAAGTAGAACTCTCTTCTGTCACAAGAGACTACAGAAACCATAGTGGTATTAAAGCATGCATTTTATGCAGAAGGAGATTGCATATAGTTACATGTTAGATATAAGAAGTTTTAACTTCTGCATTTTCATCTCTGTGTAGCACATGATATCTGTCTTGCAAAAGTTCACGCAGCTCACCACTGGAGGTCACTAGCTCGCACAATTTACAGTTGTATGAATAGATCTCTTTTGCATTTTTGCAAGTGCTTTTGTGCAAGCTGGAACAAAACCAGTATCACAGGGATTATTTATTATGAGAACAATCTATTATTTTACATACTTGATTACCAAACTGGGTTGTACAAGAATTACTTTTCATTAAAGTTTTCTTTAACATTTTCACAATAAGATAAAAGACACACCAACCCACACAAAGAATATTGAAATAGGAAAAAGGAAAGAAAAGAAGACACAAGATTCTCTCTCACAAGTATATTCCAACTTTTGTCCCATACAGAAAAAGACGTGTGTCCCCAGCTCTCACCTGGGAGCGTCTGTTTCTTCTCCCACCCTAATTACAACAGATGTAATTAGCCACCTGACTATTCCTAGTAAATTACTGTGGTATAACACTATAATTAAGCATTCAATGGAACTCTTCTTTTCTAAAATCATATATGTATATGGACTACAATACATCTGAGACATCAATAATAATCTATCACACATGACCTGAGATATAAGGGAATTTTGTTGGTAGGAAGTTACTTTATTTTATTTTCATTCCAGACCCTCCCAAGTGTCTCTATTTTCCAGGGATGTCCCAGATTTAGAGAAGCCATTTAGAAGTTTCTAATTTGATCCAGAATGTCCCACTTTTCCTTAAAGGTAAAGGTACCCCTGCCCGTATGGGCCAGTCGTGTCCGACTCTAGGGTTGTGCGCCCATCTCACTTAAGAGGCCGGGAGCCAGCGCTGTCCGCAGACACTTCCGGGTCACGTGGCCAGCGTGACGAAGCTGCTCTGGCGAGCCAGCACCAGCGCCGCACACGGAAACGCCGTTTACCTTCCCACTATAAAGCGGTACCTATTTATCTACTTGCACTTAGGGGTGCTTTCGAACTGCTAGGTGGGCAGGAGCTGGGACCGAAAGACGGGAGCTCACCCCGCCGCAGGGATTTGAACCACCGACCATGCGATCGGCAAGTCCTAGGCACTGAGGTTTTACCCACAGCGCCACTTTTCCTTAGGATGTCCCTATTGGAGAAATGTTGGAGGGAATGGAGTTATCCAACCTCTGAGCTGTCTGAAGGCAATCCTGTATAGGGATTTTTTTTAAAAAATTAATGTTATATTATTTTTTTTATATGTTGGAAGCTGCCCAGAGTGGCTGGGACAACCCAGTAAGATGTGTGGGGTATTTCATGCTCTTTATTCAGCTCATAGTGGTGAGGAGGAATGAATGAATGTCCCCTCAAAGTATCTGCTTTATATACATTATTTACACAATGGGCTGCACATGATTGGTTAATTCTGGAATTCTACTGTAAGCCAATCAGGTTGTGGATTCACTTATATCTGGAGCATGATTGGGTGGTTCCTGCCAACCAATCATACTGCTGCATTGTTCTTGGACCAATCAGACTGCTGCCTTCTGAATCCTATTGTTCTAGGACCAATCAGACTGCTGCAATTTGGATCCTATTGTTCTAGGACTGCTGCAGTTTGGATCCTATTCAACTCAGTACATAACAAAATAGTAAAATTATCATTATGAAATGGAACGTCCCTATGTTCACTGAAGAAATGTTGGAGGGTATGTGATTCTTGTTCTCTTATTTGTATTAAAAAGGGAAAAATGTATTTATGAGAATAATAGCTGATAATCAGGTAATGTTGTGTATTGTAAACAAGAGGAAAGACAATGAATGTATGTTCGGGCAATGCTTTAAATAAGAGAATTTTTGAAAACTAAAAAGTAAAAGAGAAAACCCACCACACCACCAGGGGGACATTTGCTGCATTCTTGACTGCAGGTTCGTTATGGTGAGAGAAATTGGCTTTTGAAGACATAGTGCAGGATTCAATCAGCGTAGGGAGAGGAGTGTTGCAAATGCTCGTTCTTTATTGTGCAGTAATTGCATCGGAGACGCATCTCTTGTGCCGTGGGGAGACTTCCAGCAAATGGGAATAACGTCATGTCTTATTGAACACAGAACAATGCAGGTATAGGTTTTAAAAGCACTGATGAGTCCTTTGGTCACTTCCTTGCATTATGCACCCAAAAAAATCTTTGTTCCCTAGAGCTACCTAGGCATGCTTTCTCGTAGATTGTCTAATGCCATTATGTAAACTGGAGAGAGCGACTCTCAAAGGCTTGCTGGTGTTCATTGATGAATGGTGGCAGGAAAATGTAGGACTAAGAACGAGGCTAAGAATCCTGCGCTGCTTGTTTAAAACAGGCTTGGGTTGCATGAGATGCTAGGCTCTTTACTACACTTCTCAAAAACGTTTGATTATGTTCTGAAAAAAGCATTTGGTTACCATTTTTGTAGTAGCATGCACAAGGAAGAATATATTTATTGCAGGAGAGCAGAGGTAGTCCGCATGGTGCCTTCTAGAAATTGCAGGACTACATTTCCCATCACCCATGACTATGATTGGCCATGCAGGACGATGGGAGTTGTAGTCCACATCTGGAGGGCATACACTGGCTGTCCCTGCAGGAGATAATACAATGATTTATGTAACATTTCAAATATATTGTGACGGTGAGTGAATTTCTTTGACAATTTTTCATGGAAAATGTGCTGCCTTGATGGAGTTAGCACAGGAGTGAGAGAGACTAGGGAGGAACAAAGCAGCTGCAGGTTCCCTTCTGGAAGCCTGTCCCTGTAAGCCCTAGTTCATCCTACCAAGACGTGTGAACCAGGCCTCCAGGTCAACTTCCTGGGCCATCTCTGAATTCAAGAGCTCCACCAGGGTTAGCTGGAAAAGAGGCATCAGAAAACCATCCAGATTCATTAGCCTCTAGGGGTGGACCATCCTAACCAGAGATGCCACCCTGCACCTAAGATTGTGGGGCCCTGGCATGCGTTTCATTTGTGTGACGTTACGTGCACACACCGTCATGTGCCTGATGTGTGTGACATCATGCATGCAACATCACATCATTGGGAGGAGGCTGATGGCAGGGCCCAGCCCAGCGCGGCTTCCTTTCTCATGCTCAAGAGGAGTCAGCCGCTGAACTGCGCCACCCTCCGCTCCATGCTCGGCCTTCTCTATGCCCTCAGCACCAAGGGGGCCCAGCGCCCTGCCAGCCGATATTGAGGGGGCCGAAGACACTTCCACCCCTAGCACTTGGCACACCTAATCCTAACTCCAGGCACGCCTGGAAGAAGCGGACCATTTGGATCCCTTCCAGTCGGGATTCAGGCCTCACCATGGGACTGAAACTGCCTTGGTCGCACTGGTTGATGATCTCCGGCGGGCCAGGGACAAAGGTGAGAGCTGTTTCCTACTTCTGCTGGATCTCTCAGCGGCGTTTGATACCATCGACCATAACATCCTTCTGGACCGTCTTGAGGGGCTGGGAGCTGGGGGCAATGTCATACAGTGGTTCCGCTCCTTTCTCCTGGGCCGTGTTCAGAAAGTGGTGGTGGGGGATGAGTGTTCAGACCCCTGGGCTCTCACTTGTGGGGTGCCTCAGGGTTCTGTCCTCTCCCCCATGCTTTTCAACATTTACATGCAGCCGCTGGGAGAGATCATCAGGAGGTTTGGGCTGGGTGTTCATCAGTATGCGGATGATACCCAGCTCTACCTCTCTTTTAAATCAGAACCAGTGAAGGCGGTGAAGGTCCTGTGTGAGTGTCTGGAGGCGGTTGGAGGATGGATGGCGGCTAACAGATTGAGGTTGAATCCTGACAAGACAGAAGTACTGTTTCTGGGGGACAGGAGGCAGGCAGGTGTGGAGGATTCCCTGGTCCTGAATGGGGTAACTGTGCCCCTGAAGGACCAGGTGCGCAGCCTGGGAGTCATTTTGGACTCACAGCTGTCCATGGAGGCACAGGTTAAATCCGTGTCCAGGGCAGCTGTGTACCAGCTCCATCTGGTACGCAGGCTGCGACCCTATCTGCCTGCGGACTGCCTCGCCAGAGTGGTGCATGCTCTGGTTATCTCCCGCTTGGACTACTGCAATGCGCTCTACGTGGGGCTACCTTTGAAGGTGACCCGGAAACTACAACTAATCCAGAACGCAGCAGCCAGACTGGTGACTGGGAGCGGCCGCCGAGACCATATAACACCGGTCTTGAAAGACCTACATTGGCTCCCAGTACGTTTCCGAGCACAATTCAAAGTGTTGGTGCTGACCTTTAAAGCCCTAAACGGCCTTGGTCCAGTATACCTGAAGGAGCGTCTCCACCCCCATCGTGCTACCCGGACACTGAGGTCCAGCACCGAGGGCCTTCTGGCGGTTCCCTCACTGCGAGAAGCCAAGTTACAGGGAACCAGGCAGAGGGCCTTCTTGGTAGTGGCGCCCTCCCTGTGGAACGCCCTCCCACCAGATGTCAAAGAGAACAACAACTACCAGACTTTTAGAAGACATCTGAAGGCAGCCCTGTTTAGGGATGCTGTTAATGTTTGATGTATCACAGTATTTTAATATTCTTTTGGAAGCCACCCAGAGTGGCTGGGGAGGCCCAGCCAGATGGGCGGGGTATAAATAATAAATTATTATTATTATTATTATTAACTGAGTTTCCACAGCTGGATATGACCTAAACCTAATCAGGAAGTAAATCTGATCAGGAGAAGGGCAGAGTTGACCTTGAATTAATGTGTGACTTGAGATGAGTAATGTGCAAACCACAATGAAACTTTTTATTCCGTAATCTTGGATTTATATTCTTACACTCGTCTTGGGAAGGAGCACTGCTTAGCTTTATTTTGCCATCTGCTTTAGGAAAGCAGATTTTTTTCCTTTCTGGATTAACAAAACCACAAGGAAATAATTAACTTTTAATTGCCATATCTCAAAAGTTTTGCATTTACTAGAGATTTGAAAGCTTGAAAAATGATGCACCTTTTGCCCTAAGGGTACCTGCCACATCAATAAGAGCATTTTGTATGTCTCTTGGTGCAAGTGATTTATTTCTTAAAATTTGTATACCACTTGGTTGGGGAGGGAAACCTCAAAGCAGTGGTGGGACGTGGGTGGGTGATGTAACATTCTTGCAGAATTGTGAAAGAGCAAGATGCAGTGTCTGAGATCTACTTCCCATCCCACAGTGTGCCTCTTTGTGTCGCTGTTGTTTCTTTCTTTCTCGGCCTAAAAAGCACACTGGCTATTTTTAACAGGTGATTCTGGGTTCTGTCTTGCAGATGACCTGCTATGACAAGAAGCTGAGGCAGACAAGTCCTGAGCAGCTGAATGACCACATGGTGGTTCCACTGCACTCCAGAGTGAACGGCTGGTCTTTACCACTCCACTCGTTCCAGTTGATCACCCTGGTGCTTTATTCATACTTGGCCATAGTGGGCTTTGGTATCTACATTCCTCTTCTCCCAAATGAATGGAAATTGGTTGCCTATGCTGTATCCTTTCCCCTTCCGTTTAAAATCCTGTGGTAAAACTAACAGTGCACATGAACTGCATATGCCATGCGTGGCGAGAGGAATAACCAGTGATTTGCCTAAGCCGCAATTCTGGATCCAGTTACTTCTGAGTAAGCTCCATTTAATGCAAGGAGACTTAGGCTGCAATTCTCAGCAAGCTTACTCCAAAGTAACTCCCTCTGGAATCAGAGGCACTTACTTCCAGGTAAGTAGGGTTACAACTGCAGCCTGCATAGGATTGCACTCTACTCTCTCATTGTATTCTGAAAACAGGGGCAAGTTGTGAGTTGTTTTGAAATGTGACTGATCTTTTTTGCTATCCAGACCACATGTTGGGGGCGAGCAGGGCTGTTCTGTTTTCACTCTCTTCTCCACCTCTACCTTTTCCACTTCCCCCTTCCTTCTCTCCTTCTGGGTTTCCCACCCTCATGAAATTAGGCCAAGCTCACGGGCCACATTTTGCCCACCCTTTTCAAGCACAGAACCAGGACATAAATTAGGTGGTTTGTGTCCTTAAGGGAAATATCAAAATGTTCATCTCTCAAGCTACTAAACATTTTCATGGGCAACTAATGTCGGCAAACCTGCAGTGAACAGCAACGTTCAGTAGTATTATTACAGCATTATTACAACCAATGGGCCTTTCCCCCAGTTACGTGTGTGCCTAGGATTGCAGCCTTATTTGAAACTTGTGGTTTTTTGTCTTTAAGAGGAGTAGGGTCTTGTATGGACAACTTTTGGGGGGACCAAAATGTATTATCCCTCTGTTTATACTTTTAAAATTTGATTGTGATCATTCAATAATATATTTTAAACCAACAGTCCTTTGTAGTGTGCTTAGTGTTGTGTAATGTGGCTCGGCTGCTTCATTTAGCTGCTCTTTTTAAAAGGCTCAGTAAAGTTTTTTCCCTCTTCCTCTGTACAGGATGAGGAGTCCAGGGGTCAAGAAGGACACTAACATTGTGAATAGGAAACTCATAAATCCTGTAATTGATACACTGTTTGTGTACCAAACACGATTGTTGCTAGGAAGACTTATTGGTGCCCTCAATTATTCTTGCATATGATGATCCAGTTTAAAGTGAGAATATAATTGTCAAGTTAGAACAAGTGTTCTAGTATGGGTGCCAGATGCAGTTTTTGGCCCTTCTGCTCCATTTGAGCATCAACTAGAAAAACAATTATTTTAGTAATAAAACTTTAAATCACAAATGAGAAATGAGAACCATTTCCCTGAACTTTAAATATCCTGTTCAAACAGATTTAAACATGATGGCCAGTTGATTTAATGGATTGATTAATGAATTATAGAATCGTAGGATTGTAGCAATGGAAGGGACCCCAAGGGTCATCTAGTCCAACCCCATGAAATGCAGGAATCTCAACTAAAGCACCCGTGACAGATGGCCATCCAACCTCTGCTTAAAAACCTCCAAGTAAGGGTGAATGAGGAGGGCAAATTGCTTGAAGTTGAAGTTGTTGTAATGTTTTCTTATAGATGATCTGCTTTTAGGGTTGGCATCTTGTTGGTTTTGTTTGATCAGGGTGCTCCCTTGATGTTGGAATAAAACTTCCATCATCTCTGACTGTCAGCCAAGCTAGCTGGGGCTGATGGCCACATAGAAAGGAATTAAAACATTTGGTGATAGTTGGTTGTTATTGTATGAGTGGGAGCACTTTTAGATCTGTTGGTTCAATAAGCTGAAATATAATGGATAGATTTTTTTTTCATTTCATGCATGGTTATTGAAGGACCTTGTCTTTCCTTTGTAAAAATGTTCATATATGGAACTAGTAAACTTTTAAATAAAAACAACTATAGTACATATACAGGAATTTTCCTGTTCTGGGGAGAGTAAGGAGGGCATCTGAGATTGTTTGGGATTGCCTTTCCTACAAGCAAGGGAGTCTCAAGACGTGTTGTCCAGGTGTGCTACCTTCTCAGAATAAATTATTGTACTGCTTTGATGTCTTCAAGACACTCAGTTCTATTTGTATAGAACTGTGGTGCATGGGAAATTCCTTTTCCTGACATCACTGGCAGAGGAAGAGGGGGGTGGGAGGAGCGCACCGCCCCTGGCAGTGCGATCCTGGTGGGGTTCCATCGCGGCTGTTCCCCCCACCTGCGCTGGGTGCCCCGCCCCCACCGGTGGCACGCCCCACCCCCAAAATGCATGCCCCACCCCCCAGGACAGTCGCCAGCCCCTCCCCCGCCTGCTTTCCGCCCCCAGTGCCAGAGCATGAAGCTCCGCCACTGCCTGACATGTCCTGGTTTTCAGGTGTAAAAATGGTGTCAAGGGGAAATTTTGCTGAATCTGCAAAATGTCAGGGAAATGTCAGGTCTCCCCAAAGAAAGCTCAACGGCTTTGTGGGTGTCAGGAATTTTACTTTTTGAAATATGGCAAAAATGGTGATGGTGCAATACTGAATCTATGACAATCAGACAGAAACTAGTATTTTGCTCTTCTGGAGTCTTGCAAACAAATCCACTAAAACTAGTAGCCTTTGTTTGTGGCATAAGAGAAAAGAATACCAGTGACAGAGCTTTCTACCTGGCCATTTGAATACTGAAGCACCTAAGCAAATCTGGTGACTTAATGTAACAAATGTAAAAATAAATAAATCCAGACTCTTATATTCTCTTGTTTTTTGACTTTTCCTTAACCTCATTACAATGCAGGTGATTGGCTTAATTTTTGTGCATCACTTAATCACTCATCTTGTTGCAATCACTATCGATCCAGCAGATCAAAATATACTGAAGAAGAAAAATTACAAGAAACCAATGCCAATTTTTGACCGAAGCAAATGCAAGCATGTTATTCAGAACCAGTACTGCTATCTTTGTGAAGCTGATGTGTAAGTCACTCCCATTACAGCACAGCAAAGAAGAGACCTACTTATTTGCCTGCACTGGTTTTCCTCTGCTATTTGCCTCTTGCTGCTTAAACTGCTCCTTTGTACTAGGTTTTTGTCTCTGTGCAATTACGCATATGCGTTCTGGACATGCAGGAAGCTCACTCGAGAAAATTCGCCACCCAGGATAGTGTTTTGCACAACCATAAAGGGCCATGGCTGTCATCTTCCTGCTCAGTTCACTTTCTGTTATCACAACAGTGCAAATCATAGCTGTCAACATTTCCCGTTTTTTGAGGGAAATTCCCGTATTCCTCGCAAGAAAAGGGAAAAGTTGACAGCTATGGTGCAAATCCGTATCCTGATTTTCTGAAATATTTCCTCACAAGGCAAGCAAATGTACTGCATAAAACTAAATATATAAGAACAATATAAAAAAAGGTAAAGGGACCCCCTAACCGTTAGGTCCAGTTGTGACCGACTCTGGGGTTGCAGCGCTCATCTCGCTCTATAGGCCAAGGGAGCAGGCATTTGTCCACAGACAGCTTCCGGGTCATGTGGCCAGCATGACTAAGCCGCTTCTGGCGAACCAGAGCAGCTCACGGAAACGGCATTTACCTTCCCGCCAGAGCAATACCTATTTATCTACTTGCACTCTGACGTGCTTTCAAACTGCTAGGTTGGCAGGAGCAGGGACCGAGCAACGGGAGCTCACCCCATCGTGGGGAACAATATAAATACATATAAATGTAACTTAAAACTTTGAAACACCCAATAATGCGAAAATGGCCAGGACATTTCCTGTTTATAAACTGCTTTTGTTGTTTTATGGTACATCACCTTGAGATGATTGCATAGAAGGCTAATAATAATAATACATGAAAACCCAATATGCTTGTAAAAACATCACATAATTAAAATAAAAACAGCACCATCAATTTCAGCAGCCAAATTAAAAGCATTCGAAATTTTTTTAAAAAGCAGGTGTGGGATGTGGCCTGAGTTCAGATGGAGGCCCTCTGCCAAGAAAAGCCCTGCCCCTTGCCTGCCAGCTTAACTGATCCCACAGGTAGGTAGGCATCAAGCAGGGCCATGGAAACAGATCTCAAAGTGTGCAGCGACAAGGATGAGTGAAGGCAGGGAGGTGCTGCAGCTGCCTGGTTTCCATATCTAGGAAGTGAGTCGCACCTCATTTCGGATCGGGTTGCACTCCTCCTAAAAGTTCAAGTACCTACTCTGGGAGAACTCTGGGAATTTTCTTTGTCTTTGAAGGTTCAAGGAGCCACAGTGGTTCGGAGAGCCTACAGCTTTCCCTGCTCCTGGATAAACTTCCTAGTTAGCTACTGTGATGAACTCTGTGTGAGGCTATCCTTAAAGATGGTTCAGAGACTTGCTATTCCTATCTGTATTTCTAATCCAGTGCCGTACTTCCACATTAAAAAATAAATCTCTGACTTCCTGCATGGCTCTTCTGGTTGTGCATGGATGGCTCATCAGTTCCATGTACATTTTGTAAATGCAATGTATAAATATTTAGACTTACCATAAACATGAGACAGTCTTTATTTATGTGGTCTATTTTAGTACCTGAATTCTATTGTATTCTATTTAATGTATTTCTTCTTCTCCCCAGAGGGCCAAAAACCAAACACTGTAGTACCTGCAATAAGTGTATTGCGGACTTTGACCATCACTGTAATTGGCTAAATAACTGTGTTGGAAGCCGAAACTACTGGTAAGCTAACAGCAGCTAGCTTTGGAAATATGACTGTAAAATAAAGGCCCTATTTAGGAAGGCAGAAGTGAAGCACCCACCCCCATCTCTAGGAACACCTGTACTTTTAAACAATCTGTTAGTTTTGCATCCAAAGTATCAAAACTGAAGTGGTTTTATGCACTAAATAAGCATCCCAGAGGAACTAATACAATTACCTAAAAGGCTAAATGTTTGCCCTGAGTAAATAACTTTGATTGCTTCCAAACTGGCACTTTTCAGAAGGAACATCATCCTTTGTTCGCACTCTTTATGTAGCATCTAGACAACCTATTTGGCAGCTTCTGGCATTCCAATGTCTTCTGTGTTGTCCTCCTGTCTTCTCTGAGCCCTGGTAAATCTCTTGGGAACTACTCTCGGGAGGAGAACAATGGCTTGAATACCTAGTTCCTCCGAAGGTGAGGGGGACGGACCTAGGCTAAACCTGGCAGCACAGTTTATTCTGTGTTATTAATCTCTTCATGCATTAGACTTAAGCATGTCAGCTATATGAGACTGGTTATCCCACAGTGGGGAGCACTAGTGGCAGCCCCTCTAGCCGTTTCTCCTGAACACCCTAACACTTCCCCTCTGTTGGCTGACAAAGCTGTGTGTACCCCATGGTCTTCCCACCAGCCTCTAAGCTGGCCTGCTGCCACCAGGTGCACCAAAGGACACTGCCCTGTTGAAGTAAGAGTCTTTTCTACATGGAATGAGAGGTGCAATCTGCTACTGTGTCCAGGGTAGCAAAATATTGTGGGCTGGCTCTCCTGTTCACAATCTGCCCTTCCAATTCCCTGTTCAAAATGATGTATGTCCAACACTGTTGGCTTTCCTCACTGATATTTGATTAAATCCTAATCTGCTCATTCCCTAGGAATCTGGGAATTTGAAAGGTGTCACAGCATCATACTTTCTCCATGGGGAGGGCCAACGGAGATGAGAAGGCAAATAGCTACTTCAGCATTTTGGGCAAACTGTGCTGCGGCAAAATTGAGGGCCAAGCTAAGATTGTTAGTGAGGTCAGTCACACAGGCCAGCTGCAGAACCTTTTTTGGAGAAGCATAGTTATAGGGAGCAGCATCCTGAGCCAAAATCGGTTTTGTATACTTCCAGCTGTGACAACTGGCCCTGTGTGCCTTCAGATAACCCTTTCTGCTTAGATATCTATCCCACAGAATCCAGAGCAGAGTATTCTGGAACATGTTCTCTTGGGAGTTGGACGTCCCTGTTCTAGGGCATTAATTTAGATGAATCACCAGCCCAAGCTCTTGGGCCTAGCTGTTGCCCTGCTTGGACTGATAGTACAATCTAAAACACACTCACCACTTCCCTGCAGCTGCACATTTGTGGGAGAAGATTTGGTAGTCATGGGCAAGCTGTCTTTCAGGAGAGCTTGTTTTCTCATGAAGGAACCTCTGGTAGGTTTCTAAAGAATTGCAGAGTTCTCTGGAACACAGTATGAAAATCATTCCTGAGCATGGATGGGGAACCCCAGGCTTGCAGGCCTCATTAGGTCTCCCAGGGATCCTAATTTGGCCCACAAGGCTGTTTCCCCCCAGCCACAACCCTGGATGTCATGACGTAAAGCTACAGCTGCAAAGGAACAAGCAGAAACCTTAGGATGGGCTCCCAGGTGTTCATCTACATGAGACCTGCATTCAGCAGCACCTTTTAAATCCATCAAGGGTTAAAATCTAATGGAGGATTCCACTGTTAAACTAGCCAGGCAAGTTTCTTGGTCAGTTAATGGCACTATCTTCTGTCATTAGTATAACAAGGGAGGTTGCTTTGGCCTGAAGACAAATGGGTGGGCTCTCCTCCCTCCCTTGGCTGGTGGTGAGAAAGATAAAATCCAGAGTTGTGTGTGCAACTGGCATAGAAGCAGAGAGACAGAGCCATGCTTGACTTTTGCTGGAATCCAATGCTGTGACTTGGATGAGAGAAGCAGGACTTTCTTGGGTGCTAATGCTCCATTGCAGGCTCAGGTTGTATATGTGTGCAAATGACCCAACTATCACAAAGTCTCTGTTGTTCCTCATTACAAGGAAACCAAACCCTGGATAAGCACTGAATCCCATGGAGTCTCACACCTCTCAGAGATTGGGGTGGCGTGAAAAAATACAATTAAATACATACATTCAATTTGTAATTGTACAGCCTTCCACAGATTATGGCTAACTGGAATCTTTCTGTTAACGTGTTCATAGGTTTTTCTTCAATGCAATTGCTTCTGCTGCTCTTGGAATCCTTCTGCTGATTATGGTGATGATATATGTCTTCATCCAGTATTTCGTGGACCCAGAACGGCTCCGCACATCTCCTCAGTTTGAAAGTATTGTTCCACTGACTTAAAAAAACTTTTTACACCAATGTGACCTAGTAGTACTTTTTCAAGGTAGTGCCTATGGTTTCTTAAACAGAAAGGGGTGGTCATTAAGACGGAAAACCAGCTCATGATTGGTATAGTACTGACTAGACAGGCATTTGAGCAATGTCCTTCTCTCAACCAAAGTTTGTATATGCAAACATTAGGGTTCATTTGTACAACTATTGTAATTTTGAGGGTGGCCACACAAAGTGGTATAAACATGTACTTGTTCTTTTCAAAATATAATAAAGTAAGACCCCAGTTGAGAGGACTTTCACAAGACTAATTCACCAGGTAGGGAGGAAGATATCATTGAGGTGGGAAGCTTTTCATCTTTGTTGCATTAATAAGTTTAGGAACATAAAAGCAAAAGAAAAGCTTTCTGGCCCATCTAGTTCTCACAGTGGCCAACCAGATGCCTGGTGGAAACCCACAAGCAGGATTCCAGCACAAGAGCAACTCTCCCCTCCATGAAGTTTCAGAAGCACTGCTGCCTCAGAGTGTGGAGACGGAGTGGAGCCCTCATGGCTAGTAGCCATCAATTGCCGTCTCCTCTGTGAATTTGTCAAGTCCTATTTTAAAGCCATGGGACGCGGGTGGCGCTGTGGGTAAAACCTCAGCGCCTAGGACTTGCCGATCGCATGGTCGGCGGTTCGAATCCCCGCGGCGGGGTGCGCTCCCGTCGTTCGGTCCCAGCACCTGCCAACCTAGCAGTTCGAAAGCACCCCCGGGTGCAAGTAGATAAATAGGGGCCGCTTACTAGCGGAAAGGTAAACGGCGTTTCCGTGTGCTGCGCTGGCTCGCCAGATGCAGCTTGTCACGCTGGCCACGCGACCCGGAAGTGTCTGCGGACAGCGCTGGCTCCCGGCCTATAGAGTGAGATGAGCGCACAACCCTAGAGTCTGGCAAGACTGGCCCGTATGGGCAGGGGTACCTTTACCTATTTTAAAGCCATCTAGGTTGGTGGCCGTCACTGCCTGTTACCACCCTGTATGCAAGATTTCTTAATGCAGGCAACAGTGCCGAATGGTTCATATCAGTGCAACATATCATAATGTTACTACTTCTGAAATCTGGAAATATTTTATGAGAGATTCACCATGTGCTTCCATTAGATTCCAGTTTTCATGTTCTACATTTCTGAGTTTGTTAGAAATTTCCAATAACAAAGGATATAAGTTTGTAATTATGTTTTCATTAGTAAAACTGCCAAGAGTGGCTGGGGAAACCCAGCCAGATGGGCAGGGTAGAAATAATAAATAGTATAGTAAGTAAGAAGAGTAGTACTGTATAGTAAGAATGTGAAAAAATTTCATGCAATATTCTTTGCTGAATTTTATTGTGTTATTATCTTCCTGAGTGGGTCATGGAAACTGCTATTCTGAATGATGCTTTTTGTATAGGGCAGAGTAGATGAATTTATGGAACCAAGAGGGCGGTAGCCCAGGAAACCTTGGGAACCACTGCTTTAAAAGTGTGTTTTAGTCAATATTTCTTTATTCGCTGATATCTGGCTGTTTGACCGGCGTAGACCCTTAGGGAACAGTTTCGAAACTCCTGCCATAGTATTAGTACAAAAGGGAACATCATTCATTTCATAATTGAAACCAGAATAAAATTACTTCTCCCCATTATTTTTTCTCCAATAGGTGTCACTAGAAATGGCACCTGGCTGGTCTTTCTTCCTGTTGCTCCAGTAGAGACGACAGCAGCTGGCATCCTGAGTGTAGCAATATTAACTGTGGTTTTGGGATCTGCTTCTTTCTTGCTGCTTGGACATTTGTTGACGTTTCATCTTTACCTCTGTAAGTAAAACAATTCTGAAAAACACAGGGTAGGGGAGTGCAAATGAAGGGCTCAGTTTATGCAAAAGACAGGCTTTTATCCCCAATCTTAATGGTGCCCTGAGTGTACACTATTTTCTCACTAAAGGGAATGATGGTCAAAGATAATGTGAAAGCTCACTGAATTTGCTGACACCCACCTAAGCTGCAAAGCTTTAGGGATTTATAGTTTTTAAATCTTAAAAAAGCACAAACTTCCATGTACGTAGTGAATAAAAAGATGAACACATATGAATACATGACTCGACATCGACCCAGGCTGTCTACCATTTCTCGAGAAACAAGCACAGAGGGAACATCAGATACAACACACACAGTGGACTCTTTACAGGTAAGATCTTCTGTCCTCCTTAGATTTGCCTTTCCGCAGCATACCTGCTTCTAGTATATATTCGTCTGGAAGGTCAAACGTGTAGCCCTATTCAGGTGTTTGCCTGAATATGTGTGAACGAAATGTGCGGAGGAGGCAGGTGTGTGCCTGAAAGCCCCACCTCCAACATCTGCACATGCCAGTTCCATTTGAAACCTTCCCACATTGAGAGTGATCTGAAAGAACACACTTAGAAACCTCCCCATGATCAGGAACCATATATTTTCAGGGTTCCCAAATCACAATGAGGATTTTGAGTTCACCTGAATGTGGTTAGAATGCCCCTTCAGCAAGGGCGCTGACTTGGCCCCCAGATTATGGGTGTCCAGTGGTGCCCACGACAGAACAAGACACCCTCTATGAGAAGCTTGGGTTCTGTTTAGGTGGAGGAGAGGGGGGTCCGAGTGCTGTGGCCTCCTCCCCATGCTGCTGAACTCACTTGGCTGTTCCACTTGCCTTGACACTTTGCCCGCTGGGGCTCACGGCAGGCCATGGAGCTGGCTCCTCTTGCTCAATTTATAGGTGGGGAAAGGGTTAACCCCTCTTTTTCCAACGCCTTGATGCAAACGGCACCACCGCTGGGTATGTTCATTGCTTTGAAGCTATGAAACATTCATTTCATGGATATCCTGGCTGATTTCCAGTTTGGCCTTTAATCTTTCAGCTTTTGCCGTGTGAATTCTAGACAACATTTAGAACATCTCCCCCTCTTTAATGCGCATTTAAACTTAAATCCTAAAAAGTAGTATCTATCGAGCACAGGAGCAACCCTCTTATAGGTTTGTGTTCACATTCTTAGGATGTAACTGAAGTAAGAAAACCAGACGAAGTAGCACCCTCCTCTATATCAGGGTAAGTAAACAGATACATGGCTATCATTTTACTGAGCCCAGTGTCCAGTGAGCAAGTGAAAATTATTGCAACCAGAAAGAACAAATCGGGTTTATTTAGGAATTTGCCTTTCATCAAACACCAGGTAAAGAAAACCATAGTAATAACTGCTGCATACACCTGTTTTCCATAGAAAATATTCTGACTCAGGCCTGATTCATATGTAACACAAACCATGATCCTGGGCTCAGACAAAATGCTAAGCAAACCCAGCTTAGCTTTGGGAAGAGTTAAGGCAGGAGGACTGAGGAGAAGAGAAGAGCTTTGATTTTTCCTTTTGAGCATCTGCACGCCTGCCCATTCATTCTTAGCCATAGTTTGGCTTAGTGTTTTATGAGAACTGGCCAGTGGGTTATTTCTGTTCCAATTAAAATTCTCTCAAGCTTCAACTGCTTAGAGAGCCAGTGTGGTGTAGTGGTTAAGAGCGGTAGTCTCGTAATCTGGTGAACCGGGTTCGCGTCTCTGCTCCTCCACATGCAGCTGCTGGGTGACCTTGGGCCAGTCACACTTCTCTGAAGTCTCTCAGCCCCACTCACCTCACAGAGTGTTTGTTGTGGGGGAGGAAGGGAAAGGAGAATGTTAGCCGCTTTGAGACTCCTTAAAGGGAGTGAAAGGCGGGATATCAAATCCAAACTCTTAGTAGAAAACACAGCCATTATATATGATTGACAGGTTGTGACCATAATGTAAGTAATCCATCTTGGAGTTCATTGCTCAAAACACAAATCAATTAGGGGCACATGAGAGCCAATTTTTTTCTGGAAACAGAACAACAGAAATATCAATCTGATAGTCCTTCTACCATCATCATAAGGTTGGCATACTTTAGTTGGGAGACTATGCACAGGAATTAAAACAAGGCATAATGTGGACACACCACCAAAACGCCAAACAGCATGGTGTACCAACCATGTCCCCTCATTAACCATATATAGAAGAGGTCAACCCATGCCTGGCAATGGGCAAATACTTCCATGGTGAGGCAACTCCATCACAGTCCATAGATATAAGGATGCAACAACACCATCAACTTGTATGGATGCTTGAGTCTCCTTATCCTGCACACACAGTCTGCAAAAAACAAACCTTTAGACACCCACACAGCCACAGCTCATTTCAAAGAAGCATGTATGGAGAATTCTAGGAGAAGTTTTAAGTCCTGCCGGAGAGTCAGTGTCCCTGTGGATGGGAGGAACTTTCCACCCAGAAAAGGGAAGGCGCAGGTGAGACCATAATTATATCTTCACAGAACCACTGCAGTAGCTCAGAATTAAACAGTGCTGAGACAGGAAGCTGGAGGAAGGGGTTTTAGGCCACACCAGGGAGAAGATGTGATCATTTTTAAAATATCTGTTTTTCACAAGTTTTGCATAGTTCTGGAAGTCTGCATGCAAACCAGCTGGAATAATTTCAGAAGGTTGCACACGGTCTATTGGCTTGGTTGCTGCATATGCTCATAAGATGCCATCTCTGCCCAAAGCATACCTGCAAGGGAATAACTTAAGTCTTTAATTTTGCTTTGCTCCCTAGAACTCATGCCAATTAACTGCACTTGATCAGGAACAGCATCAGGAACAGCTGGCTTCCTCAGAGACGGCCTGTGTGGCATTTCCAGAAGATTACTGTGTTTCATCAATGCGAAATGACCATTGTATGCACTTGATTCAGCATAGCTAAAGGGAAAGGTGGAATGCCAGTTCCTGCTCTCAGTTGGGTCAAAACTGGACACTGAAATCACAAGAGGAGATGTTCCCTTTCTTATCCAAATCAGCATGCTTCTTTTGTCTCTGAGAAGGTGCTATTATGTGGAAGGCTGTGGCCAGTCAAAAGACCACATGTAAAAAACATGGTGGACTTGGAGGATGCGCCAGGTCATACTTCTAGACGAGGTCTGTGTGTACAGAACTGATGAAATTTTGGTCTGGAGGTTCTCCAATCCAAGATAATGAAGGGCTTGAAGTGTTTTTCATCAGCTGGCAATGCATTATATGAAGACCAGCTGATAACAGCTAATTATTTGGTTATAAGCTGCTTGGAGGAAGAGAGGGTGAGGGTAGGCAGAGGGTGGCTGGATAGGATTTCAGTGACAGGAATCATTTTGAGGCCCATCCTGATGACCAATGTGTCTCCCAACTCTGTCTCTATTTAATGGGAACAGCATGTGTTTCCTGAAGTTGTACTTCAAGTGTGAATAATCTCTGCTGAAGAGCCAGAAGATATCCACAAGGCAAGAGTAGCCGTTCACAGGTTCTTCCTTGCAATGAACCAGTAATAGCTACTGTTGTGAATGCATTTGAAAGTCTCTCCCTAGTAAATGGGAAGCTAGTAAATGGGTAGCAAAATATGTAGCAGATCACAGGATATAGAGAAGATAGCTTGGAGGGTAATCATTTGACATTGCCAAATAGAGTAGTAAGTCTTAGAGTCAAAAGTATCCTCCACGTGGCATTGGGAAGGCTCCAATAAATTAGACTGATTTCCCCAAAATGTATTTATATAAAGTGTCACCACAGAAAGTCCTGCTTATTAATGCCAGTTGGAAAATACTTTCCTTTTTGTCTCTACGCTGAAAACCAGTTTTTTTAATAGAAAATGGATTGTGTATTTGATCCTTTTTAAAAATGCTATTTCTTATGAATAAATTATATGATTTTGTGGCATTACAGGAACATTTTAATAAACTCCCCCATAAAACAACACAAGAGTCTGTCTATCCTAGTTACATATGTAAGATTGGGCTTTACTTGACTAAAAATTACAGAGGTTGATTCTCATTTGCACTTTACATGGGGAGAGATCCTTTAGATTGGAAAGTTTTCTAGGTTTTTAATATGAGAGGAAAATGTTATTGAATGAAATGTACTTGTAATGAAATGTAATCCTCATTCTTTTCATAAAAAGCATTAAAGATAATAAAATTATTATTTTTAAATTGCCTTTCAAATATGGGGAGGAATATAGTCTATGAAATATTGGTGGCATATAAAGCAATTGTGTCATAAAGAGCCTAACACTAGGCTGCTTCGTTGTGGAGGTAAAGGCTGGAAAGCACATTTCTGAAAAATGAAAGTCACCCAAAGCTTATATTAAAAGAAACGCAGGAAATTGTAATTGTACAAGTGCATGATGAAGAATAACTAGCCAAGCGGCATTGATTCTGACCCTGTGGAGTTAGCAGCCACCAGTTCTACGTGGCTGCTCTCAGTCTCTGGGAGCTTGCGACCAAGAACATGCGATCAGGGCTAGTAAACAGGGGCTTTTGCGAGGGTGTTTAGTGAGCTGGTTTGAGGGGAAGCCTGGAGTGCTAGGACACAAGTGTATGGAGGAGCAAGAGACCTGGGCAGTGACTTGGAACACCTGTGCCATGTTTGTTTTCCTGCCTGAGGGTGTATGAAGTTACACCTGCAGCAAATGTAAGCTGGTTGCCTTGCTGGAAGAGAAGGTTCAGCAACTTGAGGTCCACCTCTCCAGACATAGAGTCATCAGAGGAAGATATTCTAGATGGAGCAAAGCAGACAGACTGTCCTGGATTAGTGATACTGTGGGGGTAGGACACCCCTAGAGAGGAGGAAGATCACTAAATGCAGGAAGCAAACCCCTAGAGGCATGTGACACACAGAAGCAGGACTGTCAAGAAACGTGTTGTGTCTTTGGGGCGGTACAATTGATTCCAGGCCCTCCCATTGGATCCTTAATTCTGGGCCACAGGAACAGCAGTTGCAGGTCTCAGAACATACACAGATGGCTAGAGAAGGAGCAGTATATAGAAGGATTCCATCCACTGCCCAGAGGAGGATGTGATGTGTTGTGGTGGCAAGTGACTCCTCTACTGATGGGACAGAGGTTGCAGTGTGCAGGTGTAACAAGATGTCCCAGGAGGTGTGCTGTCTTCCAGTTGCAAAGATTCAAGATGTGACAGAGAAGTTACCAAGTCTTATAAAGCCCATCAACCATTACACCTCCCTCACTCCCTTGTATCCCACCAGACACATATAGCAAGGGACTATGAGACTATGAGACTATGGGTAGGAAGCTGAAGGCACTTGAGGCACAGGTGGTTATGTCCTCACTCCTTCATGTTGAGTGATGGCCCTCAACAGGATGACCCAGGAAGAAAGAGGAAAATACTGGAAGTAAGACAGGAGTGTCTGGCGTGCTCTGGTCCATGGGGTCACGAAGAGTCGGACACGACTAAACAACAACAACAAAAACAACTGGCTGCGCAGATGGTGTTGGGGAAATATTGGCTTCTTTGACCATGGTTCTCACCTCCATGAAGAAAGATTTCTGGCAAGAGATGGGTTGCACCTCATAAAGGTTGGCAAGAATGTGGATTAAATTAGGATTAAATTTGGGTTTGTTTCATAATCAGATGCCCAGCCAAACGCTATTTTCTCCCATCAACTTGTTCTAATCAGATAGTTGAGGGGCAGAGTCCTCTGCCCCATTGTCAAGAACAGGAAGACTTTGCAGAGGGTAACTATGCAACTCAGTCATAACTTTTGATAACAGCAGCCTAGCAACTGGGATTTATAAACAGCAGCTGGAAAACACATTTCTTTCACCATTTTGCTGAATTATTTGTTTTTAAGGCAGGGAACCTGGCACTCATTTTACATGTTTGTTTTTAAAAACACGAATGTCTTTCTCAAAAGCTGATAATACAAATATTCAAATGTGAATGGGGAACTTAATCTTGGAGGTTTGCCCTGTGCAGATGTTGAGGGAAAACACAGAGCTTTATCTTCTCGGGATGAGGAATGATCTCAACGGTAGCTGTGTTTAACAAAGAGATCTATAATGACCAGTAAACATAATCCAAACAATTGAATAACTGAACAGGGAAACTTTTCAGGGGAGGAAAAGACATAGGCTTTCAAATCTGTTAATTTCCCCCTCCCTTCTTTGGAATCTAGTGGTTTGGCCAAAGACAAAACTGAATTTTGCAATTAGCAAAAGCAATCAGGAAAAAACCTAAATAATAATTAGTATGCAAACATTTGTATCGCCACCATGATGTTTATGCTTGCCAGTTCCCAGACTGAAAGTTGGAAATCTGTCAGGCTGGGTTGCTACGCTGCCCACCCAGTGTTGCCTGCCTCAAGTTCTGAATTTTTTAAAACCAGAAGATTATGCAGCTGAAGTCTACAGAGAACTAGAGAAGTCTGCTAGGGTTCCTGAGCAAAGTGACTATTCATAGAAAAGGAACATAAGCCCTTTTGCTAAATAAGTGTAAGAGCTGGTGTAGTATACTGGCTAGGAGGCCAAAGATGCAATAACCCCACTTATTCAGGAGTAATTCTCACTGAATTCAATATGGTTTACTTCTGAGTAGAAATGGTTAAGATTGGGCTATACATACATGAATCAGAAAGTCCTTCATTCAAATATCTCTTTGGCCACACACTCACTCGATTGCCTTAGGCCAGAGGTTTTCAATTTTTTGAATCCACGGCTTGCCTGCAGAACTTGCAGCCTCTCACCCTTTTGGGAACAGCCTCCCTTGTGGAGTGTTCCCTCAGCCTCTCTCCTCTCCCCTCTCCTTGGGAGTCCTCTGGGCAGCCGCAACTGCCACCCCTGGTCTCTCAGCTGCCCCCTCCGCCCCAAAGAGAGGTGACTTCTCACACTGCCCCACAGAGGCCTGGGAAGCACCCCCTGGCCAGCCCCAGAGGCATCATTCCTCTGGGGGGGCTTATAGCCAGAGCTGCTGCAACGAACAGCTGTGAAAGCCTTTGGGAGGCAGACAAACAAGAGATCATAAGAGGAGGGAGGAAAAGAAAGAGGGTCAGAGGCCAGTGTTGCCATGGTACCCCTGACCATCCTTCAAGGGACCTCAGGGTGCCATGGCACACTGGTTGAAAACCACTGCTTTAGGCACGCTACTTTTCCTGTCTGCATTATGGGGCTAATGCTAGTCAATCTGGCAGAGTTGTTGTAATGATTGATGCTACAAGGTAATATATATTACATGCTTTGAACATTCAAAAGTGCTATACAAATGTTGTGCATTTTTGTACTGCTAATATTGTATACCAGTTCAAATGGAGCTAATTAAACCTTGAATGTGCCATTGTAATCAGAGCAAAATGAAATACAATCCATCCTGCCCTTTCTTACTCTTTTTGATTGGGTGATATCCAGTATTGTATGAGTGGAATTCCCTTCCTATCCTCCTACCTGTAGCCTCTTGCCCTGCCTTCATCAGGGCGTCCCACCTTTACCTGCCACACAACTGGCATTTTATGCATTATCCTACTTGTGTAGGGCAAGTGAATGTGGCCTGGGATGGATTCATGGAGCAAATTATGACTTTGGACAGGACTAATTCAGTCCACAGGGTGGCTTTGCCACACTGGTGCCTGGGATATGCCTTGGAAACTGTATATCTGGATTAAGGAGGCAATAAAATGGGACACCATTTTGATAAACACCATGCTCATGCAGGAGCCACACTGGGAGGAGCATGCAGGAGCCACACTGAAGGCACATAAACTGTCACATGGAAGAACCCACAGATAGTTATCAAGTGTTAACTGGTTTAAATTGGCTCCTGATAATGAAGTAAAGCTTTGGGCAGCAGCAAACAGGCCTCCATCACCCAGCAGGTGAGCCAGTTTAGAATGCAATGGGCCTTTTGCTGGTCCAGCTCTGCCCACTCCCCAACTTGATTCAGTGGTTTATACAGTGGTACCTCGGGTTACATACGCTTCAGATTACAGACTCCGCTAACCCAGAAATAGTACCTCGGGTTAAGAACTTTGCTTCAGGATGAGAACAGAAATCGTGCTCCAGCGGTGTGGCGGCAGCAGGAGGCCCCATTAGCTAAAGTGGTGCTTCAGGCTAAGAACAGTTTCAGGTTAAGAACAGACCTCTGGAACAAATTAAGTACGTAACCAGAGGTACCACTGTATTGGCTTCTGTTTGTGGGGATACCCCCAACAGTAGCTTCTACCCACCATTCCAAAAACTGCAGCAAGGAGGGACAACTCTATCTCATCCAAACCCCTTCCAACATTTGCTCTCCCCATTAAAAAACTGATTAAAACTGCTTCACTTCAGATGGGACAGAATCCTAGCTTCCTTTTTGGGGGTGGGTGGGGGGTCCTGTGGTCACTGATGATAGCAATTTTTTATCAGTTGTCTCCCCCTTGTTGCTGAGGATTATATTGTAAACTGCCCCATTATCTTCGGATGAAGGGCAATATATAAATTAAATATGTAACTAAATAAAATAAGATTGCTCTTCAGTTCCGTGTACAGGAGGCTCCCTGTTTTATACATATGCAAAACTGCATCTGTCTTGATGTCTTCACAATAGCTAGTGCCAACAACTGGGCAAAAAGCATTCTGCTTAGGATAACTCCCATGAATTTTTATGTATTTCAGAAGTGTTGGTAAGCAAATAGTAAGCAGAGCATGCATTATGGATGAACTTCATTAATGTTTTCTAATCCCAATGGATCACAGTGAATTGCGCCATTAACAGATGAGTCACAGCAGGTATGGGAAACACTGGTCAGATTTTTGTTTGTTTTAGTGTTCTCACTTTGTATTTTTATGTTGTGAACCACCTTTTGATCTTTGGGTGAAGGATGGTGTAACAAACAAGCAAACATATACTGTAGTTACAGGCAATGCCGTTTTTATGCCAAGCAGGGAAATTGGCATTACTTCAGGGGAAAGTGAATACTGGTTTACAGAAAGCAGGCATCGTGGCCTTACCAGTGCCATGAATGAAATTATGTTTTAAATTTTGCACTAAATTATGTGAAGCCTGTTATCACTCCTCCCACCCCCACCACACATCACTGGGTACCCTTGTTAAAAAGGTAGAAGTGATTCTGGCAAGGATTCACAGGACACAGTTTTTTACTTTTTGTAGAGAGGTCCCAACTGGTGGCTACTTACCCATTTCCTGCCTCCTTTCCCACGTGTGTTGATGGCAGATTAAAAACCATGTTCAATTGGTTTTACAAAGTCAATAAAAGTACACCATGTTGCATAGAGCCTGTAATTCCCCGCCGCCCGCCCGCCCCCCGCTCGGGACGTTTGCTTTGTTTGTCTGGACAAATTACGTGTTTTACAATGTTGCATTCCTGCAACCCGAGAGATTTCCACTTTTTTGCTACCACTAACTCAGCTGCTGTTAGCAAGTGTAAGAGAAGATCTTTCTTGCTTGAATCTCGACGCTGCCGAGTAAAGAGAAGAGAGGCGGTTTTGGATCCGGGCTGTCTTGTCGTCCGGCTGGTTTTTGCGGGGCGGAACCTCCCTCCCAAGGGGATGGCCCAATGGTTGCCATCGCTTTGACTTGACTTAATTTTATAATGAATGATTTTAGAGTGTTGTACTGTTTTATTGTTGTTAGCCGCCCTGAGCCCGGCTTCGCCTGGGGAGGGCGGGATATAAATAAAATTTATTATTATTATTACTATTATTATTATTATTATTATTATTATTATTAAATTCGGGGCTGCGCCACCACGCAGGAAGCCAAGACCCAGGTAGTGCGGTATGCAGGTATGTAAGTATATGTAGTCTACCGCCCTATACTCGTAGATCTCAGGGCGGTTCAGGACATCAAATTACAATATAAAAAGGACCCCCAAACCTTCTTGGGCCTGCTGGCTGGCGAGACCGGAGGCGCTCCGGGACGCAGCGCCCTGCTGCCCGCGTGGAGGCGCTCCGGGCCGAGCTCCCCGGGCCGGCGGGGGCCGCGGGAGGGCGCGCCGAGGGCCACGGCAGGCGCCTGGCTGGGCGGAGTCCCGCGCCCGGCCCCTCGACGGCCCTTCGCCAATGCCGGGCGCGCAGGGCGGAGCCGGCCGGCCGCCTCAGAGCCGCGCTCGCCGCGCCTCGCTCAGCCGCCGCGGACGCTTCTTGTGCTGGGGGCTCCGCGAGTCCGGGGCCGAGAGGGGGCAGCGCGGACGGGCAGGAGCCGAGCGGAGCGGAGCCCGTCCGAGCGGGGAGGTAAGCGGGGCGAGGAGCGGGGCGAGGAGCGGGGCTTGGCGGGACTGCGCGCCCCGGGCAGCGCCGCCTTCCCAGGAGCGCCCGCCAGTTCCGGGTCCCCGGTGGCCTTTTTGGGCGGCGGCGGCCAGGCAGCCGGCCCCCACAGCTCCGCGCCCGCCCGCTGAAGGCTGCCGAGTCCGACCGGCGGGCGGGAGAGGCGCCGGCAGCCCCAGCGCGCGCGGGTTGCGCCTGCTGCTGCTGCCGCCTCTGGGCGCCCGCGCTGGGGCTGCCGCGCCTGGGAAGGCGCTGCTGGCTGGCCGCCTCCCGGGCTGCAAAGCGAAAGCGCAGAGGCATGCCGGGGCCGGCGGAGGAGGGAGTCGGCGCTTTTCCCTGCTGAAGTTGGCGTCTAAACATTGCCGGGCTTTGCCTCTGACCGCCCTCTTCGAGGAGAGATTCCGGCTGCCGGCTCGCTGCTGCTGCTGCTGTATTTGAGCCCAGGCTCTCGGAGCTCGTGGAGCGGTCGAAACAAGCAGGCGCCTGCATACGAGGAGAGAGAGGGCATTCTTTGAAATTGCGGGAGCCTTCTTGCATTTAAAGGGACGGATCCCTGTGGACCTCTTGCTCGGAGATGTGCACCCTTCTGCTCTAATAGATCTTGCTTTAAAAAGCCGACTCCCTTTCTGCCCCTCAACCCCAGAGAAATCTGAAAGATTTTGCTGGCAAATAAACAGCCTCTTCCTGCAAACAGAAACTGCGCACATACACGAGGGGGGTGGATGGTGCCGCCTGGGGGGGATGTGTGGATGTGATGGGGGAATCTTTAGGTTCTTCCTAGTTATGGCTTCTAGATTTTTCTGGTGTTTTTCTAGGTGCTTCAGTGTTACGTAATAGATCTTGAAAACTGGAGTCTGTGTCAGACTCGCTGAGGACCCCCTTCTCTTTCCCCTTCCGTTGCAGTGTTTATCTTTCATTTTCTGGGGAAGAAGGTTCCTGAGAAGCAGCAACTGAGGATCCTTATGCATGTGTTTCACAAGGGAGAATAAATTATGCACCTTCCCTGGAGATAGCAGGTGCAATGGAAATGATTCACACTGGATCCTTCGGTTCCACTTTCTGATTTCATTCCCGCCAGAGGGAGAGCAATATTTACTCATTTCCTCAGCATGTTGCTGTCTGTGCACAGCACCTGATCTGGGCTGCAATCCTCAGACCTGGCCATTTCAGAGCAAGCCCCTTGCATTAGTCAGGAAGATTGCAGAGAGAGGAAGCTGGAGGGCTGGGACAAACCCCCAAAGCACAGGGGCTCAGGTGGTCTTGTGTCCTCTGCAGCAGGGGGGAGGCAAGATCTGTTGGCACACAGTCCCTGAGGCCCCTTCCCTGAATTTTCTGCTTTCATTCTTTTACAGCCTTTTGATTTACACAAGTCAATAGAAGGGAAAGGCAGGCAGGCAGGATTCTACCTTGTTATACAGTAACACCGCCCCCACTTCTGCCTTCTAGTAGGCTGACCAGTGAGGACAAAAGCACTGAGGTGACTGGAACTATATCTTAGTAAATAACTGTAAAGGATAAATATATCATAGAATCATAGAATCATAGAGTTGGAAGAGACCACAAGGGCCATCGAGTCCAACCCCCTGCCAAGCAGGAAACACCATCAGAGCACTCCTGACATATGGTTGTCAAGCCTCTGCTTAAAGACCTCCAAAGAAGGAGACTCCACCACACTCCTTGGCAGCAAATTCCACTGTCAAACAGCTCTTACTGTCAGGAAGTTCTTCCTAATGTTTAGGTGGAATCTTCTTTCTTGTAGTTTGGATCCATTGCTCCGTGTCCGCTTCTCTGGAGCAGCAGAAAACAACCTTTCTCCCTCCTCTATGTGACATCCTTTTATATATTTGAACATGGCTATCATATCACCCCTTCACCTCCTCTTCTCCAGGCTAAACATGCCCAGCTCCCTTAGCCGTTCCTCATAAGGCATCGTTTCCAGGCCTTTGACCATTTTGGTTGCCCTCCTCTGGACACGTTCCAGTTTGTCAGTGTCCTTCTTGAACTGTGGTGCCCAGAACTGGACACAGTACTCCAGGTGAGGTCTGACCAGAGCAGAATACAGTGGCACTATCACTTCCCTTGATCTAGATGCTATACTCCTATTGATGCAGCCCAGAATTGCATTGGCTTCTTTAGCTGCCGCGTCACACTATCTTGTGTTTTGATGTGTCATGCCCTATCTGGGTGTTCAGAACCACATCACAGGAAGTGTGTGGGGGGGGCTGCGCATGTCTGCACTGTGTCCCAACAACCCCCTTCCCCCAAACTGCTGTCTGTGTCTTCAGTTGGGTCTGACCCTCTGACTTGGAGGATCTTTGTACAAGTAAAATAAATGATGGCTTGTTGCGGTTATCTGGGTGCTAAGGAGAGCCACTCTGCACAAGCTCAGAATCTCTATTATTTCAGGACAGTTGCAGCACTGGAAAACCTCTGGAGATTAGATTATTTTTATTCTGCCTGTTACAGTTGTGGCCTGGTGCTTGCTAAGGTGGCGAAACCTGTGCCCGAAGGGTACCATTTTATAGTGTAGGTGGAGGCTCGTTTAAGGAATGCATTACCTGCACATAGAAAACTGGTATATCAAGGAGAAAACGAGCCTAGAGCCCTTCTCTCATTGGCATGTTGGTTTTCTGTGTGCTATTAACCACCTGCTTGGTTTGTTCATAGGGAAAGAAGAACAGTTTCTCAGAACTTTGTAAAATTAAAAACTTTGCAGTCGATGAATCTATTACTAGGGAGATCGGAGTAACCAAAATTACATTCTTATGCCATTTCCTTAATCTTAATACAGATTAGTTTTTGTCTACATGGACAAAGTGGTTCCTCCACTCTTTCAAATGACACTCAAGTGTGGTAGTTCTGAGTTCTATTGTCTATTGTGTCTGGAGACAATAGTTATTTCAGAGAGCTGAAGAGTGATCTAAGATAGGCATCATTGCCAATGGTGTGCATGCTCATCCCACTGTAATGTCTCTTCATAGGTTTGTAACTTTTGGGGGGTAATTCAGAAACCTACAAACTCTTTTTAACCAGAGACAACGCTGGGTGCTTCCATGCCTGCCTTTCATGTGAAATTGCTATATGTACTAACTTTTAATGAAGTATCCCATGAAGCCTTCATCCAATCATTGTCTTCCTGCATTTTCCCCATGGTGCTTCCACCTTTTCCCAGGCAGCAGAAGGTCCTCCTTTTCCCAGAATGGAAGAGCTTGTGCTGTCTACAAAGTTCTGGATGCTTTCAGTGTTACTCTTCCATATTTTTAGAAGGGGGGTGGTGACACATCCAGAAAGGGGGCCTATTGCAGCTCAGCACACATTCATAATAGGATTTCTGGCAGGTGCCATTTCATGACCATATCTAACTAGGCCTAAATGCATGCCTCTCTGGTCTCTTTAAATGAATGAGAAAAACCGTAATGCCTTCACATTACGGTAGTGCACTTGTGTATGTGAGTTTATGGTGGGTTTGTTGCCACTCATGCTTGCAATTTAGTTTTTGCAGCATCTCTATGATGTCCTGCTCATCAAAACGCCACCCCACATCTCCTCCCTTTAATTCAGATTTATCATTTCTGCAGGTTGGTTTTTTTTTTTAAAAATTAGGTATTCCTCAGATTTCAATGGGGAAGAAAATGGTGTGCCAATTTGTTGAGGGTGTTACTGTGTGGACACTGCAAACAAACACGACTCCAGAGTACTGATGAATCAACAATAAACTCACATAGCTGTATTCTTATTCTTATTTAAATTATCTACTACATGCTCTTGGGCGCATAGCTCCATCAGCATTGATGCTGAGTCTCAGTGCCACTATAGAGAATGCCCTCTCATGTCACCCCGTACTGTATCTCTGGGGATAGAGGTGCAAGCTTTCAATCTCCTCCTCTGGCCAGCAAAATACGACGAACAGCACATGCAAGCTTGTTAATGTGGTGGGAATCCATAATCTCCCTGAAAAACTGATCCATAGGCCCAGGAGCTGATTACCCACAACTCTCCTCATCCCTGGCCATTGGCCATGCTTGCTGGGCAGCAGCATCTGAAGAGGCAACTTAAGTACTGGCACTTAGTGAGACCATATGAATGTTTGGGCTCACACCCGCTTTGCCCTGCACTCAGTCCTTTTTGCTGCTGCACTGCGCTGTACCAAGGTTTGGCTTGGCTCATCATCCAACTAGGATTCGTGGTTAAGCTCTCTCCTCACTAATCGCAAGCAAGAACAAATGTTCACGATACTGTACAGCAGCAAAAAGGACTGGGCAGGAGCAAAGGGCCTGCAAGCTGCTCTCCAGGAGTCCTCATGCTCCTGTAATCTTGCTAAGCTGCAGTTTGGTGTAGCTCAATGTGCAAAACAGGCCACAGAGTAGCTATAAGGATAAGAGGAGAGATGCCCATTTTGGCTGCTTTGAGCTTTATGGTGGTTACCTGGAACATTATTCTTTGCTTGCTAGGACTATGCAAACTACCATTTTGCTTTGAAGTGCTCGAAATTAGTTTTTGCAGGAGCCGAACAAGCGCTACCTGGAACCAAACACAGGATGTTAGCTCTGTACCTGAAGATATTTTGTGCTCTGTTATCTCAGCCTCAGAAAGGCACCCAGCTAGAGAGGGATGGTTATGTAGGAGGGGAGAAGTGATGCAGCATGTGAGCATGAGACATGTACAAACAAAATTGTTTAGAGAAAGCTGTCATGACGATTTCTCCCGAGAACAGGGAGCCACCTACCTGCCCATCAGCTGATATAGAAATAATGTCTGGTGACTTTCCTGTCCTGCATGTGTCTTGCATAGTGCTCTGTGAGACCCTCTGAAGAAGCCCCTTTCAAAGCATGGCAGAAGCTAGAACTCTGAAAGGGGCTTCCCAAATCCCACCCCTTAATTGTAGTCTCTTCCTAAGTCCCTTTCCTTCTTGGCCAGCGCCTTGAAAGGGACTTAAGCAAGACTCGACAATCAGCTGATCCTAGAGAGTCCACTCTCCATTTACCCCCCTTGTTTTGTGTCTCTGTGTGCATTTTTTTATCATTGGTTATCTTGGTGCTGAGATTTGCTAGCATAGGTAGATGACTGAATATGTAATTAGGATCGGTGTCTTGAAGAGGAGGGAGAAAGGTTGTTTTCTGCTGCTCCAGAGAAGTGGATCCAAACTACAAGAAAGAAGATTCCACCTAAACATTAGGAAGAACTTCCTGACAGTAAGAGCTGTTCGACAGTGGAATTTGCTGCCAAGGAGTGTGGTGGAGTCTCCTTCTTTGGAGGTCTTTAAGCAGAGGCTTGACAACCATATGTCAGGAGTGCTCTGATGGTGTTTCCTGCTTGGCAGGGGGTTGGACTCGATGGCCCTTGTGGTCTCTTCCAACTCTATGATTCTATGAATTGCAAAACATGGCTTGCATATTCTGCATCTCACTGCACCATTTGATTCCTGTTTTCTATAAAGTCCTGAAACATTTAACGCTATCCTATATTAGAATGCTAACAGTAGCAGTTTGGAGACTTGAGGTCACATTTACCCCTGTGATATTGGTATCTATCACAGGATAGATGATCCATCTGTACAGTACTGTTGCTTGTTCTCAGGCTTGCAAATAACCACTAGCCTACTTGCCTGCTGGAGTGAAAGAATATTTTCCAGCCAACCAGGTTAGAAAGCTTTTGTAAATGAGAGGGCAGTTTATTCTTCTTTTATTTTGGGCTGTCAAAAGGACCCAGCATAGGTGTGCATGAGCTGGTGTGTTAGGAAAGCTGCCTTGTGCCTTTGCATTTACTCCTGAGAATAGATGCAGGCCTTTGCTATGTTTTGCTCTACCTTGGTCTGACCATTGGAGTTGTTTTATATGTCATTATCAGCCCCATTTCTGTTCCTCCAAGCAGCTGAGAATATATGGTCAGGTCAGCTGATTTATTTAGGCAGTTTTGAGCTTCTTTCCTCTTGCCTCAGAATAATTCCTGTGTGTTTTGGAAAGAGGCCAGTAAAGTCCATATAGCAAATTGCTATGATGCTGCCATTTTTACTCTTACTTGCAATGTACTTTTTAAATTAATGTGCTTTATGTATTATTAGCTTCTTCTGTCTGAAAGATACTTTTTATAGGCATTTATCAGCATACATACTGTATGGTGGAGTTTATGTAGGTTGATTTTTTCTTTTTATTTAAAAAAAATAACATTTAACCTGAAATTGGTTCCACAGATTTTGTATGTAAATGTGTTATATAATTTCAAATTTTAAATGACATTTCCATTTTGTTGGAGGCATGTAGGGAATGTGTAGCATTTGAACAGTAAGTTACTTATTTTAATTTTATAAGAATTTCTGTTACAAAAATGAGAGAAGACTGGCCAGTTTTTCAAGGAGTCCTGTAGCACCTTGAAGAGTGAACATTTTTTTGTGGCATAAGGTTTTTTTGTTTTCTACTTGTAGGGTAGAGTCTGCTTCTGAGATGCAGTTTTTTCCAAGCTGAATCAATGAAGCTTCTGACTGTGGTTTATTTTTGATCAGAATTCACCACAAGACCACATTTTAGGCATGTAGGCTCCTTAATTTAGGATAGTGACTTGTTTCCTATTTCCTTCAACAGCCTTCATAACAAAAAATCTGACCTGATTTTGCTAAAACAAGAAACACTACTTTGCTCTTAATGCCTAATGAAAAAACCCCAAAATTTGGCAAGATAAAAAGTTCACGTGGATTGTTCATTAACACTTCCATACGCTCAAAAATGTTGGGGTTTTTTAATTTTAAAAAAATGAACAAAGGTTCACAAGGACAGGTTATGGAAATGCTTGTGTGTGAAATCATATGAATCACCTGAAAACTACATGGATTGGTAGGGTAGCAAGCTAGCTAGGCCAAAATCATTATTCCATTTGCAGACAGGAGATACAGAAGAACCCTAGTGACCACAGTAAAGCTGAGGCCCAATTCACACATTTTGGTTTTTCTGGTGTACACCTAAGGCCTAATGTGTGTCTGCAGATACATACGTCATACATTTGTCAGATTGCAGCTCCCTTTTGAGCGGCAAATCCAGGTTTGTTTCTTTGTCAGACGCGAAGCTCCCTTGAGTGTCCCTATCAGACTTCCAGACATAGATACCAAACTAATGCAGCATCCCCTGGGACTGTAAGCATCAACTATTCAACAGGTTGGATTCTGACAACCAGTATTCTTATCCAGTGGCAACTGGTCACAGCCCTCATGCAGTTGAACCCATGAAGAATTTTGGCCTCCACCAAAGAATGGCTCCCTTCACTCTTGCTTGCAACAGCCGTGCTCAGCACAGAGTGAGAGAAACATCCCAGCAGAGGCAGACTTCTCTTAAGACTATAGGAACTTCTTTGCTGGATCACATCAAGGTGCAGCTTTGAGAAGAGTTCTGCTTTCAGCAGTGCCCAGATGTCTAGATGCTCACAAGCAAGGCCTCCACTTATTGCTTGCCTTCAGTATCACCCCTGAAGATAAGTCAGGCATGTCCACTTTCAACTTGTGTCCAGCTCTGGCAGCTGCAAGAACAAACTGGGACAACAGACTGACAGCTGGTTTTGGATTGCAGGGACCAGACCTGAGAGTCATCTACATCAGCCTTGGGTCATCTGGAAGGGCCAAATATTCCATCAGCTGATAGGCCACCAAACCATTAGAAACATTTCCCCATCTGACATTGTCCCACAATGTGGTGACTCTGCAAAACTACTCCTCCCTTGGAAAGCTGGCCCTTCACCCCGGGTTCACCCCAAGGCACCCTTCATGCAATCTTGTCAAGCTTCACCAAAATTTAAATTTGGGTATCAGCAGGACTTTTTTCAGCCCAAACTCACTGGAACTCAGTTTGGCACCTTTCAGAGAAAAAGGGAGGCAGTCGTGGTGAGTTTTGGCACCTCTTTTTCTAGAAAAATAGCACTAGATATCAGAATTTTATGGTTTTTAGCCCCCCACCTCAGCTCCACAATTGGAAAAAGGCTTGCAAACAGGCACTTGCCTGGTCACCTGTGGTGAGTAAGGATCAGTGGCAAGTACATGATCAGGCAGGGAAGTGCTGCAGATATTGATGGCTCTTCTTCTTCAGGCTGATTAAGGTAATCACACTTCAGCTTTGTGTTCATTTCCATCTCAGTGTTGAAATGGGATAGAGCACAACTGTTTAATTAACTTGTAACAATATTCCATAGAACTGAATTTAACAAGGTGGGGACGGAGTGGGGGATTAAACGGTCAGATTGCAGAAATTTAATAGAGCCAGGAAAGTGAAATTGACACCCTGAAATCTCTCTCTGATGTCTTCAAGCAGTCACCACCTCTTCAATTTGCCTCTGACACACACACACACACACACACACACACACAAAAACACAACAGCTGTGCAGCACCCTAGAGCTGTACAGGGCAGCTGTTCAGAGCTCACTAAAAGAAACAGTGATCCTTTTCTTTATCAGTGCTAATGTTTACTACGAGACCCAGGGATGCGTTTAAAGTCATCCATGTAAATGCTGATCCTTTGTGACACCATTTGGTTGCAACAGGGGATGATGGCCTGGCTGCTCTTCAATAGTCCAGGGCACATACAGCATCTAGTTTCATGCAGGACTTTCAAGCAAATCCTGAAGGCCTTTTGCATTAGAGTTTTGGATGGTTCCTTTCTAATTTGCCATCTAATAAAAACCAAAAGCAGATTATGTCCAGTTTCGGCAATGCCTTTATCTGGAAGCCCCTGGGGGGGCTGTGTTCATACAGAATGAGTGGCCAGCCTTCCCTCTTGGAGCTGGGCAAGGTTTACTTGCTGCTCCATTCGTCTGCTGCCATTCCTCCAAGGAGCATGCACCTTTCCCCCCTTTCATTCTCACAACAACTCTGTGAGGTCGGTTAGGCTGAGACAAAGTGACAAACTCAGCTTTACTAGCAAGTGACATGGTTAAGCAAAGATCTTAATCCTGCAGCAGCAGGGCTTCCTCCTCACTGGCCCGCAGTAGCTCTCAGGATCTTTCGTTGAGACCGGTCAGGTTGTTTCTTATTGAGCAAATCTCAGATTCTTTTGCCTTTGTCACATTTTGTTTGGTGCTATTTGCTAAACTGCACAGACAAAAAGACTATTCAGACCTATCTCGGATGGACCACAGTTTTCACAGATCAACCGATCCTTTCCCCTTGCATGAAGCACCTCTGTTAACACCACATAGGTAGCTCTCAGGGTACTTTGGGATGTTTAGCCAGATATGGCAATGGGAACGTGCAGTCACACTCGCAAAGTCCCACAAGCTTCAGTCCGACGTTCAGCATCTCTATGAAGCTTGTGGGTGGCGGGGGCGGGGCAGAATTGAAAAAAAAACAACAACACTGTTGTTGTTGTGTCGTTTAGTCGTGTCTGACTCTTTGTGACCCCATGGACCAGAGCACGCCAGGCACTTCTGTCTTCCACTGCCTCCCACAGTTTGGTGAAACTCATGTTAGTAGCTTCGAGAACACTGTCCAACCATCCTCTGTCGTCCCCTTCTCCTTGTGCCCTCCATCTTTCCCAGCATCAGGGTCTTTTCCAGGGAGTCTTCTCTTCTCATGAGGTGGCCAAAGTATTGGAGCCTCAGCTTCACGATCTGTCCTTCCAGTGAGCACTCAGGGCTGATTTCCTTCAGAATGGAGAGGTTTGATCTTCTTGCAGTCCATGGGACTCTCAAGAGTCTCCTCCAGCACCAGAATTCAAAAGCATCAATTCTTCGGCGATCAGCCTTCTTTATGGTCCAGCTCTCACTTCCATACATCACTACTGGGAAAACCATAGCTTTAATTATACGGACCTTTGTTGGCAAGGTGATGTCTCTGCTTTTTAAGATGCTGTCTAGGTTTGTCATTGCTTTTCTCCCAAGAAGCAGGCGTCAACAGTGTTACCAATATGCAAATGAGCCCCAGCTTTATGCCAGCATTTCATCAGAATTAGGAGATGCTGTTGAAGTGCTGGACCAGCTTCTGGTCTCAGTTATGTGCTGGATGAGGGTCAGTAAGCTGAAAGCAAATCCCAGGAAGTCTGAGGTTCTGTGGATCAGTGGTTTATAAGTTTGGGAACTAGGGAGTTGGCCAGTTCTGGATGGAATAGTGCTTTACCTGAAAGACCAAGTTTGCAGCTTGAGAGCACACCTTGATTCCACATTATTGCTGGAGGAATGCCCCTGCCATGTCTAGCTGGTCTGTCCAGCTATAGTCATTCCTGAACTAGAACATCTTGACCTCAGGTACCCATGCACTAATGTCCTCCAAATTTGATGACTGCAATGTGCTTTACGTGGACTGCCCTTTCTGGCTGCTTGACAATGTGAGACAGGGCATTGTTAGGGGTGGCCCCCTGATTATGAAACCATGACCTCATTTAGCACAAGATGAAAACTGTTTTGTTTACCCAGGCCTTTGAAATGTAATCAGCCTTCTTGCTGACAGTGTTACTAGGAACATAGTCAGCTGCCTCCTGTAGAGGCGGACCATTGCTCTATTTAGCTCAGTTTTGTCCACACTGAGTGGCAGAGGCTCTCCAGAATTTCTGACTGGGTTTTCCCCCTGTGCTGCCCAGAAATGCCTAGGATGGAACTGTGTGTAAAGTAGATGGTCTATCACTGAGCTATGGCACTTCCCAACGTGCATGTTGTTTTTGTGTTAATGCTAGTTTGTATTGTTGTGCTGTGTTACTTTGCGCAGCCGTTGGGAGAACGGGTGGGAAATAAATACCGTTGGGGGAAAGGGTGAGGAAATAAATACATCTCTTCCAAAGCAGATATAGTTTTATAGTTCTTTTTTGCAGTGTAGGGGAAAGCATGTTATGTAGCATTTTCTTATTTTTTATTGCTCTCTGCAAATGTCTTATAGAGAACTTAGCGCAGCTCCATAGCTGGACCTGCTTTGCCCTCCCCAGAGTGGTAACAGAGACAAGTCAATTTGGAAAGAGGTTCTTTATGGAACTACAAAACCCCTGTGTAAACTAACATGTTGTATCCCCCCCCCCCCGATCTGCCCTCTGAAAAATCAGTAAATTCTCTTTAGGATTTCCTTTCCTAAAGGGAGCCTTGGATAACCTGTGTTCTGAGAAGAACTGCAGCAGCTGACAGTAAAATCAACTGTGTGTGTAGCGTAGAAACATGTCTCTTAATTCAGCCCTGAGCAGAACTGAGAAACAGGCTGCATTAACGCTGATTCTTACTGATGCTTATAAAAATTGGGCCAGAGATGCATTCACAGTGATGGCCTTAAGCTAATCATCCTCTGAATTAAGAGAAAACAACTATTCTCCTGCGCCTGCCCAGCCCACCCAGTTTTTCTGAGTATGCTTTGTCAAAAGATGGAATGAAAATACCAATATACTGTAGGATACTGTTATCAGGAAATTTCTCTGTGCAAGCCCTCTATGAAATGAGCAGGAGCTGCTGCACAAGGACACACAAACTGTTGCTGATTGAATTTGATGCCCACATCTGCATTGGGTGGGAATGTCTGTTCCCATTTAGTACTGCAGGAACACATACAGTAGTAGTAGTGTGACCCTCCAATTTTTAAGCATTTGGGGGGGAAACTGTCCATTTCTTTCCTCTCCACTCCCTGTATTCTCAGCAGCCAAAGCAACGGTGGGAGTTTTCACTGGAATACATGGTACAGGCTTCCTGTGTGTTCGACCACAAACTTGAGGGGGAAATTGCCAAAACTGAGCAAACTGCTCATTTTTCAGAATTCCCCATCTCTCCCGCCTTTGCATATTGCAGAACTGGTACAAATCAGGGTGTAGCTCTTATTCTGATATATGTCTGATATGGAACTTTCCTTTATTGTGCATTTCCTGGTAAGTTCTTGACTATTGCAGACTGACACTGAGGATGACAATTCAGAAACTTCAGCCGACCCCAAATGCAGCCGTGTGGCCTTGTCAGGAACTATCTATGAGGAGCACACTAGTGAGTTGTGACCACAGAACAGGATTATAGGTTTAGTGCTAAATTATAGCATCTGAGGCACAGTTGACCTGTTCCAGAAAAAAACTTAGTTTGGAGGTGGCTCCCCTTCTAGCGAATTCTTTCCCCAGAGTAGATTTCCTGGTTGATTCAATTAGTGCTTTAAGAGAGACATTAAATGCATTTATTTTCTACCAGGCCTTTTAAGATTTCAACTGAATATTAGTTTTAAACATGGGATTTGTAACAAATATTGGTGTGTGGAGTGTTCCTATTCAAGGTTTCCTGACAGTGAGTCAGCCCTGCTCTTTTCCAGGATACCCGTTTTTCTGTGTTTTGTGGCCAAAGCATGCTCAGCCCTCGTTGGGTCGCTGGGGTCTTTTTGCTTTTGCCCCCTTAGGTCACCCCAAAAACTTTTGTACTTCTTCAAACCTTGGAGCCACCTGGTCTCTTTCTTAGCTACATAAGGATCCACACTCAGAGAATGTGTTTGCTATTAGCATATATAGGATCCTGTCTCCCGTTTTTATGATATATAGTGTCCTTCCAACTGCATTGTTCGCTGCTTCTTGGCAGTTTTTATTTGTATTTTATTGTGCTTCTTTTTATCTAATGTTGTGAGGCACTTTGAGGACCTTGGCTGGCAGAAGGTGGAAATTAAAACCTTTATATATGAACTATTTCACTTGCAAAGGTTTGTAGTTCTTGTCGGTTGGGTAATACTGGGGAGAAAATTGTGTGACCCTAAATTGCTGCAGTTTCAGCCTGCTACATGCATTGTGCTTGATGAACCCTGGCTGGAACAAGTATCTGTTGTACAGTGACTAGAATAAATTGTACAACCACTATCCTTACCCGGCCGTTACCCACTTCCACCCTTATCTGTCCTGACATGATCTCTGTAGTTGAACTGTTGATGGACTGGTTGTCCTCTGTGCCTGTCTATGCTGAAAACAAGACTTCCATTGTACTCCTGACTATGCTATGTCTGCTCTGTCTAAAATGGAAGCCTGTCACTTGACAGGTGTCATCAGACGTGTCATCTGAATGTCTTCTTCTTGGGCAGAATGCTTTGGGAGGTTTTAGGTGGGAGAGGGCACCAGGAAACTCATCCTGTTGAGCATTAGGATTACTTCTGTTGCTGGTTGTGCTAGCAAAGATGATGGCAACAAAATTTAAAAGCAAGTGTCATGGCATTGGGGAGACAGAATCTTCCATGGGTGATAATTTCTAGGTTGAAAAGCTCCTGGCAGAAATAGTAGCTATGGTGAATCAGCAGTACACTATGCATTATTAGAGCAGAGAGGTGAATTAGAGCAACTTCCGGGAATTTGTGGGAAGAAGAGTGATAACTACCGTATTTTTCTGTGTATAAGACTAGGGTTTTTTCTTTTAAAAATATGTTTAACATTGGGGGTCGTCTTATACATGGATACAATCTCCCCCCATTTTCTTTATTTGGAAACCCCCAAAACAGTGCGCGTCTTATACACGGAAAAATATGGTACTTGTGGTTGATAAGGTACAGAGACTAGAAAAATACACCAACTCTATAAACATACTGAAATTTTAAAAGCCATGTGGAATATTTGCAGTAGGTGCACATACGTTTTTCTTGCTTTGCAGATATAGAGGAGGGAAGAGTAGCTCAGAATAGCCACTTTCAAAGTGGCTAGAGTTTTGGGGAGGGGTTTCCAAAGCAGGTGGGGATGTTGTGTGGCTCACCTCGTAAAACTGACCCCTGCTTAGCAGGGCAGATTGCATGATGGTGCTTTACCTGAAGATCACAATTGTTCTAATGTTGGGAGACACTCACAGAGTAACCCTTACTCAGATGTAAGTCCGGCTGAGTTTTGCAGGGTGTACTCCCTGGGATGTGTACCCAGGATAGTAGCACCTACAGTTTTTGAAATTTGCGGGGGATGTCAGTGGGCCACTTAAACTTCTTGTTGTTCAAAAAGATCAAAGTACAGATCCAAGTACATTGCTGTACATAACACACTTTCCCACCCCACTCCTTCAGTGCTGGCGTTGTCAAAACTAGTGATGCTTTATGAAAGCGTGGGCTGGCGAATGCTTAGGGAGAAATTGGCAGACTGTTCCAGTGCCATGTTATGAACATGACAGGCCATTGCCAGGACCTTGACCTGTATTTTCAGAAAAATGAATAAAGTGAGGGCAAAGTGCACATATTCGTGACTGCTCTACAGCCTTCTTAGGTTTCCTGAATAGAATTTGTAGGATAGAGCTTGCTTGAGAACATCTGCTTGTAACATAAGTAGTTTGAGACAGTGGTCAGATTGCTGAATCTTCCCTTCATCTCCCCTATGGTTTCTTGGGCAGTGAAGTGTTTTTAATGGGCTAGTAATGCCTGTGGATTTATTTTCCAGGTGATCTTAAAAAAGAATAACATGCCGATGGTAATCTTACTGTTGCTCAGATACTGGTACGAATAATTTGAACCAAAAAAATTCCTTTTTTATATAAAAAAATACATTTCTTGTAAACAGATTTTGTGGTTTGGACAGCTGGCATGACTGCCTCCCCAGAGTCATTCAGTGCCACTGTCACCTGTATGGGTGGCTCTCACTGCCGCCTCCTCCTCCTCCTCTTCCTTCTGCTGCTTTTGCTGTTCCCTGCTTGTCTGGGAAAGGCTGCTGTGTCATCCATGGCTTCCCCCCCTTGTATTTGGAGAGTACAGGATGAGACCCCATGGAGCAAACAGGGAGACGGAACAGGGCTTCCCCCTCCCTTCTGTTCATCTGCCTCATGGGCCTTTGCACTGGCCCCTATCCTGCACCCCCCCCCCATATACTGCTGCTCACACTGCCTCACCTGCTGCAGGCACCTACTTAAGACTGTTTGCTTGGGCTTACAGAAGTAGAATAACAATTCCCTTGAAAGGAACTATTGAAATTGTTAAAAATCTGAATCGTTTTTCCGAAACTGCTAATGATGTTCAAAATTCACCCTAAATGCCATCTTAGGCTTGACACTCACACATACATACTTTGCTTGATCTCTCCTTGCTTGAGCTCTCAACGCTTCCTGGTTGGCACTTGAATGAAAAACGGAAACTGAAAAGCAGATAAGAGATATGAGAGTTCTGTCCATGGTGTTAGGTCTCTGAAGGCTGAGGCCTAGTCTACATATCTGGCCAAATAAAGTAGGAATGAAGATTTTAGCCAGGGTGTGCATGCCTTTTTTTATGTTGTTATTTTTCAGATTACATTAAGTACATTTGAGAAAACAGCTGTTCCAACAGTATACAACGAACAACTTGACCTGGTCTTTTTACAGATTTGTGTCATGCTGGATAATAAAGTTTCATTTGATTATTCTAAAAGGTCACACCATATTTTTTCATGGGTAGTGCATGGTTTCCTGCCACAGTCCAAATAGTTACCGTATTCAATAAGTATTTGCCATGTGCTGTAGAAAGAAAATGGATTACGCTTGCCTCTGGCTGCTCCAACTTGTCATGCCAGCTTCTCAGCCAATGCTATGGACCACACTCCGGCATACCAAGAGCCCATGCTGAGACCAGCGGAAGCGGCTCCTGGGGAGTGTGACTGGTGTGGTTGTACTGGGCATGGTGCTTCTGAAGCGCCGAAGGAGGCTCCACCACTATTGCCCCAATGGGAGGCGGAACAGGGGCACCAGATTTGGGGGATGCACAGGGTGCCTCTGAAATTTGAGACGCCAAGGTCTGCCACAGAGACCAGTCCCAGTTCGCCAGCATCTGGCTATCTCCATTTGTGCTGCTGTTAGTAAAAAAAGGCTAAGAGAGCATTGTGGGGGTGGCAGCAGCTCTGGAAGTAGACTAGCCGAGTAGGGAGCAGCCTAGTTTAGGACATTTTATGCTTGATATGCTGGTTTTCTTCTGCCTGAGAGTTTTTACACAGGGAAGTATGCAATAATGTCCTTCTGTACTGGCATCCTGAAGTGGCGCAGGCCACTCTACTACCTCAGACTGCAGCATATGTAGACTGGGCCTCATTCACTCATGCCAACAAGCCATCCCTCACCTGACGTTGAACATCTGTTTTGGAATTAATACTTTTCAGTTGTGAGAGCAGTTTAAGAGAAACAGAACAAAAAATTGCATATTGGTTTATTTTCTGAAAAGGCCAAAAGCAGGGCAGTTCTGTTTAGATGTGGTCTGGTTTTTGTTTTAATGCAAGCAGTGGCCTACAAAGAATCAACTTCCTCTTCTCCATCTTCTCTTTAGCGCGATGGCTGACAACACAAGTAAACTCACCAAGCATGTGAACAAAACACCTCCAAGGTCTCCTGCAGATTCCGCAAAAGAAAAAGCAGCCAAAAGGTTATCCTGCGACTCAAACAGCTCCCACGACGGGGCCAGTGGGCCAGAGCTAAGTGCTCTTGAAGAGGCTTTCAGAAAATTTGCTATCCACGGGGATACGAGAGCCACGGGCAAAGAGATGCATGGGAAAAACTGGTCCAAGTTGTGTAAGGATTGCCACGTGATTGATAGCAAGAACGTGACTCTCACCGATGTTGACATCGTCTTCAGCAAGATCAAGTAATTTCTCCCTCTGCTTCTTCAGCCTTATCTTACATCTCCCCCCCCCCCCCCGATATTTGTATTGCTTAGTCTGTTTGTGAGTAATAATAGGTGGAATATGTTGGTTACATATACCCCAATTACATCATAAACATTGTTTTTAAGTTCTGTAAAACGGGGGGAACACCATGCTATCCTCAGATATTGTTGGACTTCAGCTCTCTCCAGCCTCAGCTAGCAGGGGCAGTGATCACAGGTGATGGAACTTATAGTCCAGCAGTATCTGGAGAGCACCAGGTTAGCTCCGCCATGCTTTACAAGTTTAGATTGCACATCTGAGTTTCTTTTTCTGTACTAATTAGCATTCACAGGTTACACATTCCAGGCGAAAATACATTGAGTGATAGCCAACAGTCATACTCAAGAGTCGACACATTGAAATTAATGGCCATAAGAAAATTAAGTATATTTTAATTGACAAGATGTATGTACTGTTTTAATTAATAACATCAAAGCATAAAAACATATTAAATTATTGATTAAAAGACCAATGAAATCAAGCATTAACACCAAGTTGGCATAACATTTATTAAAATATAAATAAAATCAGTAGTTTTAAAACAAATGCACAAAGTTAAAATTATTTGTCTGGATAGACTTGTCTTTAAAAATGCTTTTAAGAGGTGCCAAAAATAATTCTCCGAAGTGTAGGTGCTGCTACACTAAAGCATCAGTTCCTTGCAAGTGAGGAACAAACATTATGTGGCAGTTGTAAAAATGTCAGTTCTGCAGATAGAAGCAGTTGAGCGGGTGCATACAGGGTAAGGCAGTCCTTCAAGTCAACTTAAAGGCTTTATATACTTATAGTAATATCTTGAATTTGACTTAGAACTTTTTTAAAAATATTCATTTCAACGAGATTAAATATGTCTAACCTTGCATACTGGCCATTATTAGCTTCACTTCTGAAAATCTCCCTAATACTATTTTTATTCTGGGACAATTACTGTGCACTGGATATTTGTGTGAGAAAAACTGTTTTGCAGATTAGATGTATGGTGCCTGGTATGTACACTTCTGAAATGCTTTGGAGTCTGGCTTTTGCTGAATATTGTTACCTTTCTTTAAAAGAAAAGGAGAGCTAGTGAGAGCCTGGCTACCTGATGCCATGCAGAAGGAAGGGCAAGGGGAGCCCAACCACCGCCCATCCCTTCTTCTGAATGTGCTACTTGAACACAAGGCCTGGGTACAGTCTGAAGGTGCTTGATGGAGCAACCTAGCTGAAGCTCAGCAGGCCTGACTCTGGACAGGGCCTCGGTGGGAGTGAGTTGGGGGACTGTAGCTTAGCAGCAGAGCAGCTGCTGGGCAGGCAGCTGGTATTGGGTTCAATCCCTGGCATGTTTCCAGGTGAAAGGTGAAAGAACCTCTGAAGAGGCTGCTGCTGCCAGCCAGAGAAGATGGACCAGTGGCAGGGCTCCCCCCCCCCCCAGCTGGAACTCAGTTCTGGCACCTCTCAAGTGGACGCCATTGCCATTCTAAGAGAACAAGGGAGGTACTCGTGGCAAGTTCCAGCACTGACCAGTGTTCTGACCAGGTGTAAAGCAACTTCCTATGAAGGAGTATGAGATAACAAAATGGACTGTGCTGCCCCTGGCTCTGTGCTAGGAATGAGTTGCCTGGATCCCATTTTGCCATTATAATAAGAAATTGGGGGGCAGTAGGTTCTTCGGGTTATGGTTAGGAAATAGTTCCTTGGATTGAAACTTGGCGGTGTAGGAGAGGTGGGTTGAGAATGGTCCATGCCAAACTCGGGTAGGAAATGACTTATTCTGAATGAGCTGAATGTTTGATGAGTGATTCTCGCATTTTGACGGGTGATGTCCATTTCTGCCCATAGAGTTTGCTGAGGTGGACTTAGGAGAAAATGTCTGTGTTTTTACTGGGTCTTTTGGGGAAATGTTTTGTAAGGTCAAAAGGGAACATTTGGTATGTGTTGTTACCTAGTAGCAGTATAACATATTTGTAGATTTTATTTAAAAAGTACTTTCCCGGCAAATGTTACTCTATGCAGGCAGTAAGAAAATTCTCACACATGCTCAGTATGAACCAGTGTGGTCTCACAACAGCATATACTTCTGAAAATGGAAAGCTGAGTCAGATTCCCTCAGAGCTAATGTCTGTATTTCACTTGAGGAAAGCTGAATTAGGGAACTCCTTGCTGCAAGGAAAACACTGTTTCACTTCTCAAACCTTGTCATGGAATTTGTTTCAGGCTCTGTATACCCTTATGTTTTTCCCCTTAGCCTGTTGAAGATGATAATAGGATGGAGATCAGGATTGCAATGAGAGGTTTATTAAGATAAATGCTTGCTGCTTATATAAATTATATGCAGTTGTTTGGAATCCTTTACCTAATTACTTAGAAGGCAGGTGTTTTTACTAACTGCTAGTGACACAAACCAACACTGCAGTATTATGCAGAACTAATCTGCCTGGACTTCAGTCCTTCCATAGTTTGGCTTGTAGTTAAATAAGTTTGCAAATACTTACAATGCATTTCAGCAACCTATGAAGTCCAAAGCGTGAATCGTATCTGTGCCATAAGCTCAAAAACTATTTAAAAGGAAGACACTCTTTTTCTCCCTTTCGCTGATTCTGCACTATGGAAGAGTATTAACCTACTGGACAGGATTTTCGTTTCACGATTTCAAAACTAATCACATCCCTGTGTGGGAGAGGTACAGGAGGAGTAAGGAGGAATGTTTCGCCTGCGGCTGTCCTCTACTAAAGCAGGGGGCTGGGCTAGAATCACTAGATGGCCATCAAGATCTTTCCCACCTTACCATTATATGTGGATGGTGGTTATTACCAGTTAGACACCTGCAGCATGGAAAGAGTGGCTTCAGTTGCATAGGCTCAATGCGTTAGTGCAGTGAAGAGGCAAATCTGGGACTTGAGTTCAGTCTGCCACTATCAGCCATCCAGCTCCAAGGTGGTACAGAAGCTGGAACTAAACACAGGCCAAGACACCATACCATATCTCCTGAATAATGCATTTTCCTGTAATTTCACACCATTTTGAAACAAAAACAAAGAATATATATTAACTAGATGTTGAAACTATGAATTCGCGTGAGTCTCCTTCCTCTCCTATTGTAGTTACTCCTTATATGGTGAGAGAATCACATGCTTAAATGCCCCTCCCATGAAAAAAGTGCTGCACATTGAAAACTAGCCTGTCAAGAAGGGGTGGGTGGGTTCTGGCCTAGTCTCTATCCTGACATGCTAGCTTTCTATCTGCAGAGCCCTTTTATATGTGGAGAAATATTCAGATATACCTACAGTGTAAAATGGCGCAGCCCAGTAACAGCTGGTGCATATGATTCGCCGAAAAGGTTATTTTTTGCTTTACTCCTGCCCTTCCTCTTGTCATCCAGTGTGTAGTAAATAGTTGGATTATGTTGCCATCCTCCGTTTAACAGATGTCAGCAGCCTGGATTAAGCAGTCTCAAAAAAGTGTTAAAATAGCCGTCTGTAGCGATCAACAGATTGAGGTCACATATTTTAATATTACACCATTAGTGCCCCATTAACCAACTTCATCCATCCATTGTAAGATAACACAGTATATGCTTCCATCATTTCCCTTCTCTTAAAGCAACACAGTCAATAAAACCTCACTTTGGGTTTTCTGGTTTTACTCTGTGGAAGGAGAAATAGGCAGAATCTGGCTGGTTTTTTTAAAAATAGTTGTCAAAGAATAGCAAGGAGAAGAGGTTAACAAGGTGATACACAGCAGATTACAAGTGATTTGTGATGCTGAATGAGAACACCTGTGCAGGAGAAGAGAGGGGCCCCCAAAGGTATTCTAACCCTTTATGCCCAGTGCAATCCTGTTACTCAGAAACAAGTGTGTGGACAGTATCAATAAATAGTTGTGTCAGGGTGGAGCTAGGTGTTTCCTGTTACCGTTCTTGTTTAAGAGAGACAATAAAGTTCTTGTTTAGCTTCCTCACTGGTGTGTCCTCTAAATCTTCCATGACAGTAAGTCCTCCTTGTTCCCTGATAAGTGTGCTTATGATTGCAGACTTGTTGTTATTTTGATTGTGCAAACAATGAATTTGGTACTAGACAGAGAACTAGGCATCCTAAGAAACTCAGCTTTCCTTAAAAATATTATAAGTTTCTAGTCCCTAAGGTTGCAATGATGAACATTTGACCAATATTTGCTGCTCTCAGAAGCAAGGAGATGACTCTGCACATCTGGAGGGCACTGGCTTCAGGGTTTTGCATGGTTCTTTCCATCCCATAACTAGCAAAATGTGATACAAATATTGCAAAAGAAAATATGTACAAATACAAATGTGTGGAAAACTTCATGCAGGTTGCCAACCAAGCTTTACTCAGAGTAAACCCATTGAAATTAATGGAGGTGAATTAATCATGGCTATAAATTTCAATGGGTTTACTCTAAGTAGGATTTGCATAGGATACAATCCTCGGCTTTCCTTGACTCAGCTGTGCACTCCTGATAATACACTGAAACTGACCATGTGTGTATTTTATATCCTGATAGGGGAGGGAGGAGCCAAAATCTTCTAAGAATAGATATGAGGAGCCTATGACATATTGCTTTGGGCATATAAATTTTCCTTTTTATCGGGGTCAGCAACTGTTTGCGGGAATTTGATACTGCAGATATGCCATAAGTCATGTTGCCTGGCTGGTTGTAGTAATCAAATAGCCTCCTGTATAAATACTTTTTTTTATTTTCAAAGACATAGCCATGGTGGATGCCACTGAAAAATATGGCCATAAAGTTGCTCATTTGATGCCATTCCTTGACAGAAAAAAATCCAAATATTGCTGCGCATACTGGCATGTTGCTATGGCCACAGGAGGCCTGAATGACATCATGCCCTGGATCTCTTGTGAGCATTTATTTAGAAAGATGTCTCCATAGAAACATTTGTTTGTCTATGTGTTTTTCTCTGATGTTACCAAGTGTTATATTTTAAATGTGGGTTTCTGTACCAGATTGCTAGCAACATTAATGTTAATATAAAGAGACACTATAAATACACTTAGGTCTCTTCACGCCCCAAATTAGATAATTGGGGGAAAGAACCCATCAAAAGAATAAATACTGGGGGTTTTGGGGGGAGAGAGAAGTAGTTGCTGGTTTTCCATGGAGTGCTCCTATGGCACACTGTGTCTTGACTTGTGAAAACTTCCACCCATGTTGTCAACAACTCAAGTTCCACTTGCCAGCTGTTGTAGCCCGGTTCCCACTGTACAGGTCACACGGGTCTCTCACCTGAGGCAAGCATGTCTGCATCATGCAAGTAGCTACAGCAAATCAAGTAAGCCAGATGTAGCCGTTGTCCCTGACAGCTGGGTAGGTGGATTTTAGGCAAGGAAGCCTCTTCTGCCCTCCTTGTATCTTGTTGCTTAAGACTTCAAAGGGGTGATCATTTCACATTTGCCATTCCTTTAAAACAAGTCCTTTGTGAAATTAGTTGGAGGAAAGCTGTGCTGGTTGAATGCTTCCTTATGATCTCTGGAAACTCTGTAAATGCTTTATCTAATAGGGTGAGCTCTTCTTGTGCCTAATTGACACACACTTTCAGCTCTTGAAATGATGTGCTAACAATATTTTCGGTGATCAGTCGTCTGGCTTTCAAATCAATTGATCATTAAACAGATAATCAAAATCTTAGTAGAAATGCATTTTTAAGGAAGCATGAGAAATACTTTGGATGAAGTTGCACTATACCTTTTTAATGTGTTGGGGCTATAGGTTTGTTTTTTGTTTTGGTCTTCTTTTTATTATGTATTTTGAGTTCTCATTTTGTATCTTTATGTTGTAAAGCCACCCTGTGATCTTCAGATGAAGGGTGGTATACAAACCTAATAAATACCGTATTTTTTGCTCTATAAGACGCACCAGACCACAAGATGCACCTAGTTTTTGGAGGAGGAAAACAAGAAAAAAAAAATTCTGAATCTCAGAAGCCAGAACAGCAAGAGGAATCGCTGTGCAGTGAAAGCAGCAATCCCTCTTGCTGTTCTGGCTTCTGGGATAGCTGCGCAGCCTGCATTCGCTCCGTAAGACACACACACATTTCCCCTTACTTAGGAGGGAAAAAGTGAGTCTTATAGAGCAAAAATACGCTAATAATCATATCCCTGAAAGATCTGGTCTGAGGTTGGGGGTACTTTTAGAAGCCCAAACGGCCTGAAGGGCATTTCAATAGCTGCGGTTTTTGTGCCAGATGTGGTTCTTCCTGAGAAAATCGAATCTTACCATAGTTATACCTTTTTGGCAGGGCCGGCCCACTTGTGAAGCAAGGTGAGGCAACCTCCTCAGGTGGCAGGAACCTCAGGGCGGCAGATCTGGCCTCAGCTTCTGTCATGGTGGCAGCGACAGTTGTGGCGTGCTCCCACCCCCGTTCCCGATGTTCATCTTAACTCCCCTCTTCTTCCCTGGCACCATTTTGTGGTTTGCCTCAGTACCAAACTGTCTTGGGCCAGAAAACAGAAGTACCATACTGGCCCAAATATAAGCCGCACCCACAAATAAGTCACACCTTTAAAATTCAAGGGGGAAAAAGAAAAAAAGACAATTCCTGAATATAAGCCGCTCCCTTAAAATTGGGTTACAGGCTGAAAATCGCTGCGGTTGGTAGAATTGTAGCTCTGAGCCAATTTAGGCCTTTGATCTTGCAAGCCTGCAGAAATTATCGTACAGTCGCTAAAATCGCAAATTGCTATTCAATTGCTACAATTCCACAGGCACTCACACCCGTAAATGGCAAATGAACAGTCTCAAGCTTGCAAATTGGCAATAAAACTTGACCACTACAATAAAACTTGACCACGGTGAGATCTTTCAAAAGCTGTTAGACAAATCAATGGGTGCGAAGTCTCTCAAAAGCGATTTGCCATGATAGGTAAATGGAACCTCCAGGTTCAGAGGCACCATATCTCTGGGTGGTCGCTCTCTAGTTTGTCCCCAGAATCTACTAATCTCCTTTCCATCCTGCTTGTCAACCTTCCAAGAGTATCTGGTCAGCGGCTCTTGGAAACAGAATTCTCAAGTATCTGTGTCTTTGATTTGATCCATCAGGAAAGTTCTCATGTTAAGGAATGGCTATTTATAATATTTAATTTTTTTTATTTCTGTATTAAAATGGTGCTAAAATACCCAATAACCCTGGCCCACCTCCCAGCTGATCAATTTAAAGCCTATAGCCCTAGTTTTAATCCTGAAGATTCTGGGTGATCGCATACTGCCTTGCTATAGTTGGCACCTGCACAGCATGAGAATTGCTTTTGTGTTCTAACCTTGGGCTATACAGTAAATAGATAGATGAGAAGAACGCAGCGCGTCTCTTGAGAGAGTTTGCCTTTAGTGCCAGATACTAAGTGGACTGTCTTTTATAGGGTCTATATTCTTTCCTGGGCTGTGTCTGGGATACTGATGTATGTTGACCTGAATCCGGGAATGTCTGCGATGCAGCTGTTCATGCTATCCAAAGCTGTTTCATGTGCATATAAATCAGGCCTGAATGCCTGAAAGCAGAAAGCAGGCTGGTCAATTTGCGATTGGTTTTCCCTGCTGAAACCAAGTATATAGAGAACTAGTCCAATGCCAGTTTTCAAACACGTTTGGAGCGCCTGAGCAGGGGGACGCCAAGGAAAAATATCCCCAACTGGCATTTTTGCCAGTTCCAGGAGAGGGTCATTAGCAACCAAGGCTGCAGTCAGCCCCAAATTTTGTTGCTGGAAAACAAACTCCCTGGACTTCCACATGTGATGACAGCAGGTTCTGATGCTGCGGTCCAGCAAAATAAATGCAACATAAAGAAGGGTATAAAGACAAAATTTGTAGGAGAATTAATAGCAAGAAGCCAGCCAACCTTCAGCCAGTGTACTGAATCTTTGCTAAAAGGCTGGCTGTGCCCTGGAATGGGTAGGCTTCCCTCCCTTTTTTTGATAAATTTTCTTCCACACTTTTTTGTGGATGATTCTGAAGAACTGCACTCGTTTTGGGAGATCCATTGGTTGGCTCACAGCATTAGTTCTTGGACAGAACCTGGGTTGTAATACTGACCATGGAAGCTCAAATCAGTTTCCCTGTCTTCTTATATTTTTTAGAGTTTAAAATCCATAGTGGGTGCATTGGAAAGGATCACAAGGGTCATTCTAGTCCAACACAGGAATCTTTTGTCCAACGTGGGGTTCAAACCCACAACCCTGAAAATAAGAGTCATGACAGAGCTATGTGCTCGTAGTCACTCTCCTGTGACAAGTATGATTGGGGTGGGACTTTTTAATCTTTTGCTTTTAGTTTGCAGATGACTAAGATGTATGTGTGGACAATCTGGCTAGTTAAAAAAACACACACCTTGTATGTTACCAACTTTGGGGGACTAATTTGTGAGGCTTCCAAAGAGCTTTTCTCAGAATATCATGGGGGTTGCACGTTATACCGGGTTTTTGTATCAGTGATGGCCAGTTTTATGTATTTGCACTGCTGTCATTATTATGTGGTGAAGTGAGGTGAATTGGATTGTGATGTGCTTCTTACTTTCCAGCATATTTCAGTGGGGGATAAGGGAGCATGAGTTGTTCAAACCAGCACATCAAAATTGCTTCTACTCGTGTAACATTTGCTCAGCAAATGTGATGCTGTGTTGTGGATACAGGTTGACCTGAAGGCCGCTTTCAACTGCAGAGAGAGTATCCATTAATCATGATGCTAGGCTGCAACAGCTACATGCCAGGCAAACAGAAATCCTGAGAGTAGAGTTACGGCACAAGAATGGAAACATTGGCTTGTTAAATGCTAACCAAGCAACAGATGAACTGAGCACTTGGAGCTGCTTGGGACATGATTAAAAGAGGTAGCAAGGGATCTGGGCCAAAAGAGTACAGTGCAACTTATTAATTGCATCTTGTTACAGAATGGACTGCCATCAAAAAACAGTCTTTGCATGCTTTGACAGAGACGATAATTGGTGTGAAATTTATGTACTATATATAGCTAAAAGGAGACTTGTATTGCTAAAGGAGCCGAAATTGATGTTACATGAAATCATTCCTCTTTTGAGTTTTCACGTTGACTTCAATGATGCGGTTGATATCTAGGATTTTATTTTGTTTTTAACTCCGGAAGGGGTAGGAAATGCAAGCATGCACCTCTTGCCCTTTTTCATCTCTTGGTATTCTACTTATCCCATTTGAAAGTTGTAGTGATGTGGGAACGAGATTTTAACTTCTAAAACCATGTACGTAGCACAGAAACTTAGTTTTACGCACTAAGGCCTATTCTGAGAAAGTAGAATAGTAAATAGGACACCTCTAAAATATTGTCCAGTTTTTGCCATTTCTACTTGTTGGGCAATTTTGTGAAATCCAGGTCCTCATATGTAAGATATGCAGAAGTAGCACATAGATCAGACCGTAATCCCCTGTTGCTCTCTTCTTTCTGCTGGGTGCTGGTTTGCATAGGCAGTATTTGTGCCTGGGGTCCACCATTGGCCAGACTGACCAGGGTTGCTGGCAATCCAGTGACACTTGGAGGTCCACAGATGGGCCACCCCTACCCTAGAGCACCACTTCAAGACCCACTGGAGACCAGGGTGTGTGGGGTCTTCACTCATTTTCAAATACAGTATCCTATTTCCCTGACCTCCAGCTGTGGACACCAGTGAATGCTGGAAACTCTCTTTGTTTTTGTCTCTGTTTGGACTTCCCAAAGAATAACTATGTGGGGTTGGGTGAGGTGAAGCTCACAAGGACATGATTTTTTATTTTTTTAAACAGCTCTTTAATTATAATCATGTTTCCTGCAAAACACTCCCCTGCAGAACAACTGTAGAAAAATCACCATGGCGACCAGTGCCGAGGTGAATTATAGCATCTGTTTACATTTTTAGGTTGCTAAACAGGAGATTAATATAGGAAGTGAAGGAAGCATGGCTGAACTTTTCCTCAGTGGGAAAATGAAGAGGCTGAATACAACAATGGCAAAAACTGAATTTAGCCAGGACACCTGAGATAGTTTAACTTCCCTGTTTCCATCACAGCATTTGCCTGGAAACAAAAGCTTGAGGATCTGAATAACAACACCATTGCCTAACTTTTTATGGGCAGGGTGATTTTCACACTACAGTGCACTGGTAATATTTGAGGGCTTGTTCATATTATTAATGGTGTTCTTTTTATAAAAAAAACCCAACAAAAACTTATGCAACTTTCAGTGTTGTAGTTGAATATTGTTTTTCTCTAGAGAAACCATTTGGTTTGTAAAAAATGTTGTTTCACATTCTCTACTTCCCTGAGGGACAGGAAGTTTCAGTGAAGTTGTTTTAGAGGCTCAAGTTCCTTGTGAGGACTTCGTTCTGGGACATGTGCTGCCTTTTGTTATAAACTACTTGTTTACAAAATGTGTGGGTCTCTCACATGGGCAACTACAAGTTTCAGAGCAACACCAGCTCGCTGCCCTAATGTTTCTAGAAGAGGTTTTTGCCCGCCTCAGGTCTCTTGGCACCTTTAATAAACAAGCTTTACTCTCACATTATTTTTGTTTCTTCCTGCCTCGGGGGATGGAGTCAATTAATAATTTACTTTATTGCAGGAATAAATGACAGGAAAGATGCCAGTTTGATCTGAACAACCCTTTATGTATGTGCTTTATGTGCTTTTATCTTATGCTGGTCTATCATAATTGAGAGAATGAGTATTTGTACGCCCAACTTCCACAGTTGCCCTACTGACTATTTAGCATGTGCTCCTTATGGATGTAGGTGCTTTTGACAGAATGTCTTCTGATACAATGGGGCAACTCTTTGGTGCAAGATTAGCTGCAGGTCTCTAATTGCCACACTTTTACCTTATGCCGACCTATGGCCATAATAAAGATTCCTCCTCCTCCTCTTCTTTCTTCTTCACCTTTTTTTTAATGCTTCCCCAATTTAAAGCACACATGCGTGTGTCCGTACACCATGTAGAAATTTAATAGACCAAGTAGAAGCATTATTGTAATCCTTAATATGCTAGTTTGTACATAAGAAAGGGTTTCATGCTGTGTTCTCTCCCCAGCTTCCCACCAGTCTGAAGTGCACAGCCAGAATTTTGATCCCTCCTTCGGCACAATTTGTAGAATGGCGCTTAAAATTCCCATGTCCCTGCATTGCAACATTGACAACTAACTCTCTCATCTAGGTCTGCTAGAATACTGTGGGTGGGTTCACTGCGCTTCATTTTTAATCTTCTGGGTGTTATAATTTCACCGGCCTGATAGATGCTCCTGTCCTGTGGGTTCGTCCCACTGTTATGGCTCCACTATTTTTAGAAGATGTCTGAGGCTTCTCTTGGTGTTTCTTGCTGTTCAGAATGGATGAGTACTTGTCTTCTAGTTGTTTGCAGATTCTTCCTAGGCCCCAGCTCAAGATTAGGATGTAGCTGGCCTGGTTTATGCTAGGTTCTTTCTGGGCTCACTTAATAATGCTGCTCTCTTTAATTAACAATAAAGCCATACCAGCTATGGTGCCTGCAAAAGTTACTTGGCATCCCCACTCCAAAACAAAAACCATCCAGGTATTCATATATTTAGAAAGTCTTTAATTAATGTTCATTTTCCTTTCCTCCTTTTTGGAGGTGTCTTTAACTGCTACTCACTATGGGAAATGAGGAAAGGTTTTATAAGTTGGAAAATATTCCAGTTCTTCTTTTATTCTTTTCTAGGCTCTCAGTGTGCCAATGATATCTGACATATTTATAGGTTAGCAATGTTTGTGGATTCTGGAGCACTTCGCTGTTTCACAGAGGAAACAGCCTGCAATCATCAGGGTATTATATCTCATGGCTCCCTGAATATGTACATCTCCAATAAATGTGTTTACAAATACACCGAGGGTTTTTGGAAAGAAATATTATATTTTAGGTGTACACATAAAGCATCTTGGATATGTACACCTTAAAAAAATGTGATGTGCAAAGCAGCTCTTATTTGCAAGATTGATGGAGAGGCTCAGGAAAAAATAATGGGTCTAGCTCAAGAATCAAGATCTTTAACTCGAGGGGCATGTTGGAACTGTTGGCGTGATGAATACAAGAGGCTCAAGCAGGTTCCTTGGAACGCTCACATTTGACATTTATGACCAAGAGCTCCCCAGGTTTTACAGAAATGAACTAACCCCACTGTGGGAGGCAGTATGCCTCTGAACTGCAAGGGAGGAGAGCGCTGTGGCACTCAGGATTTGCTTGTGGGCATCCCATAGACATCTGGTTACCGCTGTGAGAACTGCCCTGTGATTGGATCAAGGGCGGTATAGAAATTAATTAATTGAATTAATTAAATGCTGGACTAGATGGGCCTTTGGCCTGGTCGAGCATGCTCTTTTCTTCTCAACTCAAATTTTGTTTATTTATTTCAGAGATTTATATCCCACCCCAGGCAGCTTCTACAACATGGTAAAACAATGGAAACTTGAATAGAAATGGAAAACAGAACAAAAGCCATGTATGTTTGTAAACACCCCTGGTTTGAAATTTTCTGCTGCTCCACAGAATAATGTGCCTTTTGCTCAGCTGAAACGAGTGTCAGCTTGTCCCATTTATGGAGGTTATCAGCTTGTGGTAGGTAGGCATCTAGCATGGCAGTAAAGTGCTGTTCCTTGCAGTGATTTGTGGTACCAGCCAAACGTTCATTTTTTTATTCTGATGCACTCAGCTGTAAGGATTGTAGGCTTATTAAATTAAGGAAATCGGTACACGAATTGTTTTTTTAGTCAATGGCAGCCTTTTTCTTATTCGTTCATATTTAATATCAATAGAACTCCTAATTTAATGTCCCACAAGATAATGCCTATCTTACAAATATATAATAATAATATAAATAAATAAATGGAAACATGAAAATGATGAGTGAGTGGCCTTGTAACAGGACAGCAGGTCATTGTGCTGTTGTTAATCCTGTTCAATTGCTGACTTGCTCTGTGCTTAACAATAGTGGGAAACTATATTGTTTAAAGAAATGCTGCGTTGTTTGGATATACTTCTCAGTAAACACAAGAGGCCACAGGGCAGCGCATATGAGGTATGGCTTGGACGCTTTCAGCAATCCCTCCACTGGCCTGAGAAATGGCTTCATAGCAGGAAGATGGGCTGGATGCCACTTGGATGGTAGCTGCCATCATCAGTTCACGTGCTGCTGCATATCTTACAAAGGGATGTGACAGAGAAATGTGAAGGGGAAAGAGTGCGGTGGGGGTGAGTTAAGAGGGTCAGGAATGGACGGCAGTAGCAGCTTTCCTCCCACTCCCTTCCTCTCAAGGGGTGCAAATAGCCAACGGCCTATAATAAGCCAGTAGTGAGCCACAAAATTCCCAGTTAGGAACAACCTATTTAGATATAAAAACTTTATCAAATAATTGTTATGCTAACAACAACAATAGCATGACTGAAGACTCTGAAATAAGATGTACACACCTGCAAATTCCACCATGATTTGAGTGTTTTCAGTACTAGAGTACCTGAGAGCAAACCGTTCATCTGAGAAAGTGATTTTAAAAATGGAGAAAGTATGGATAATTTAAGAATATACAAACCAAAATATGAGAGCAAGCCTGAGCAAGTGAGCTCAAGATGTTGGACATATTATTTCCATAGAAGTCTGAGAGAAACTCTGGAAGCAGTTCTCATTTAAATGCAAGCTAAACAGAAAATTGCTTTAAGGTAATGTTGAAATGGTACCTAATTCTAGCAATGACCAATAGAAGAAATAGTAACTATCCAAAAACATTTTGGGAAAGAAGCAGGAGGCTAATATTGTATGTGGTGGAAATACTGTAGAGTGCAGAAATATCTAACAGGAATCAGAAGTGGGGAGAGCGTGTTCCACCTCGCCATGTACTTCCAGAATGGTTGGTTGATTAGGATGGGGAGCCTGTGGCTGGAATACATTTCCTAACATCCCTGACCGTGCTGGCTAGAAGTTGCAGTCAAGCAACATCTGGAGGGCCATTCCTGGCTTGAGCGCTTAGTGGCACAATGCAACAGAAACAGGCAATATCCATCTACAATGCGCAGTCTGAGCCAGCCGTCTGAGGCATCTCTAGACTTCTTGCTGGAGCCCCTTTTGTCCTCCGTTGGGCTCCCTCTGCCGGCAGCGCCCACCTGGCACCCGAGCCCCACTGGGGCCCTCGCAAGAGCAGGAAGCCCTTTCCACCCCACCTCCCCGCAAAAAACCCTGTGTTGCTGCCCAGTCCTGCCCTTTGAACGGCTGCTGCCCTCAGCCAGGGCTTGCTTGGAAACCTCTAGTCCTGTGAAAAATAAACTGGGCTTATTTACTTCTGAGTTTAAAAATAAAAATAAACCTTGCCCTCTTCTTTAAGCCTCTTCCCTCCGTTCTCCGCTTCTGCATGTTTGTGTGTGTTTGTGTCTCCCTTCTGTTATTTTGTTCTGTAAAATTTTATCCATCTTTCTAGTTTGGCTTAGTTTATAAAAGAAAATAAACAATCAAATAACTGGTGTTCTGGGATATACACGCACATTCAACTAAAACTCTATAGTGAATTATATTTAAATATCTAAAAGCGCGACACAGAATTGGCTTCTTGTTTAGTAATGTAATTAAAGTTTTAGGGAACATCCTCTTACATTAACTTTGTTATCTGTGCTACTAATTACTTCTGCAGCTTTAATTTTAGAGAATATGTGTTAATTTAAAATTATCTCTATTATAAAATTACAGTTGTAGTAATATGCTAAAGGTAATTTAAAACATTATCAGTTTTAGACTCCTGAATATTAGCAGCTGCCAAGATATTACCCCGTTCTACATAGATCCATCCTTATTTCAGACATTGTAATGTATTGGTATATCACAATGTTTAGCAGGTGATATACAGTGGTACCTCGGGTTACAGACACTTCAGGTTACATACGCTTCAGGTTACAGACTCCACTAACCCAGAAATATTAACTCGGGTTAAGAACTTTGCTTCAGGATGAGAACAGAAATCGCTTGGCGGCGGCGGCGGCGCAGCAGCGGGAGGCCCCATTAGCTAAAGTGGTGCTTCAGGTTAAGAACAATTTCAGGTTAAGAACAGACCTCCAGAACGAATTAAGTTCTTAACCCAAGGTACCACTGTATCACGATGTTGAAAACCAGACATTGCTCAGCCCTAGCATGAAATACGAGTTTGTGCATTTTGGCAGATGTTTACTAATAAACAGCTGTGGTGCCTTAATAGCAGCAAATGCGTTGCAAGTGAATGTCAAGGTCTTCCCCCCCCCCCATGTCATCTCCCCCTCCTCCTTCATTCCTTTCATGTTCCTCCAGCAAATTATTTCTCTCCTCCTCCTCTTCTTTTTTAAACACCAAACAATGTGGCTTCTGAGGGGCAAAAGCATTGAAGTTTATTGAAGCTCTAAACATTTTCTCCCCATGGGAACCAAACTGACTTCTTTGTCCTTTGATCCCAGACAATAATTTACACAAATTGCCACAGAGTTGGACATGATCTGTTTGTGTATAAACTGGGCCTTTAACGTTATATTTATGAGCGAAATGAAGTGAAGTTTCTCATGAACTGAACTACTTGAGGCGAGAGAGTCACAGGATGCTCCGCAACCTCCACCCCCCCTCTTTGCATGCAGAAAATGTCCGGGAGATTTCCCCCGGTGCATTAGTTTTCTACATGCAGAGAGTTGGGAAACATTCAGATATGCAGTCTGAAGTGATGCAGACCAGGAAAAGCTGTATCACACAATTGCATGTTCTTGGATAAATGGTCCTCAGTCTGTCAGCACTACAAACAAGACAGATTGAGGACCACAAAATTTAAGTTCCCATCACTCCTCAAGGCCCAGTGCCCCTGGCTAATTAGTTTGTGGCCCAGTTAGCATGTAACATTAAGTCAAACAATGGCTTAGCTGCAGGTAGCAAGGCGACATGACAACCAGGGGCAAATTGAATTTGTCAATTTTTTTTACGAGTCTTCACATGTTCATGCATCACCATAGTTTGGCTTAGTGTTATGTGCAAATCAAGCCGATATAACTCCTGTTTGAATGTGTTATACGGGGAGCGAGTAAATGAGGAAATAAGGTGCAGTTGGAATGAGGTGAGATCATGAAAACTGAGCTGTATTCAAGGTGCATGATATATCTACCTGCTCTTCTGTCCTACCTTGTCTGTAAAAAGCATACCTGCTGTATGTTACAATAACCAGACTAATTGTCCCTGGAAGATAATCAGTCTCGCTGCAGGACGGCTCAGTAACAAGGATGGAGTAACTTCTTCTTCTTTGGCGATCACTCATAGCCCAGTAAAGGGACGTGGGTGGTGCTGTGGGTTAAACCACAGAGCCTAGGACTTGCTGATCAGAAGGTTGGTGGTTCGAATCCCCGCGATGGGGTGAGCGCCTGTTGCTCGGTCCCTGCTCCTGCCAACCTAGCAGTTCGAAAGCACATCAAAGTGCAAGTAGATAAATAGGTACCGCTCCGGCGGGAAGGTAAACGGCGTTTCCGTGCGCTGCTCTGGTTTGCCAGAAGTGGCTTAGTCATGCTGGCCACATGACCCGGAAGCTGTACGCCGGCTCCCTCGGCCAATAAAGCGAGATGAGCGCCGCAACCCCAGAGTCGGCCACGACTGGATCTAATGGTCAGAGGTCCCTTTACCTTTACCACAGCCCAGTAAGGTTGTCTTCTATGAACACGGTTTTAACAGTGTGTCCGTAAGTGATCATGGAGGCCAATTCTGGATCCACACGTCCTTCCACATTGGGGACATAGGTTTCCGGGCAGGAGTTGATCAGGGTGAGGGTTTGCCAAACGTGACTTCCTTTTAGCATGTTTCTCCCTTTTGTCCTGAGCTCGAGCGTCTTCAAAGCCCATGACACTTTTGGTAAAGGCTGTAACAAGGGGGCTTAACAAGGATGGAGTAACAAGGGTTACTGTGCGACGGCGTGAGCTCCTATTGCTCTGTCCCAGCTCCTGCTAACTTGGCAGTTCGAAAGCACACCAGTGTGAGTAGATATATAGGCACCGCTGTGGCGGGAAGGTGAACAGCGTGTCTGTGCACTCTGGCTAAAGTCACGGTGTTCCGTTGTGCCAGAAATGGTTTAGACATGCTGGCCACATGACCCGGAAAGCTGTCTGTGGACAAACGCCTGCTCCCTTTGCCTGAAGCAGGATGGGTGCTGCACCCCATAGTTGCCTTTGACTGGACTTAACTTCTTCTTTTTTTACCTTTAACAAGGATGGCTTTAAAATCTGACTCTTGGACCATTGGTGTGGAGTCACTAGTCCAGGTCATTCTCCTGTTCATTTTTCACTCTCATGTGCAAAATAGTAAGTCGATAAAGCAGCAGAAAATTATTGAAAACAGCAGCTGTTGATGCTTTTTGGTTTGGAGAATTTTTTCTGCTTTGTGTTTACTTTTGGGGATGTTTCTGTGGTCTGTTTATATCACAGTTCTTTGTTGCTTGGAGTGACAACACATTCCATACTAGTTGGAGCGCTTTGCTTGGTTATTCTAAATTGGCCTTTCTTGGTTAGAGGTTAATATTCCAGATAGATTCCTTCCAGCACTGTTTCTGTTGAACATGCTGGTGTGTCCACAGGACCCCTTTAATTTAAGGCAACAGCAGTTTGCACGCTTTTATAGGAGGTGGGACAAACTGCCAGCTAGGTTCCTTTTTCCTTTCTTTTCTGCCACAACAATGTGATTTATCAACCAAACAGCTTTGGCTAGGGGAGGGTGCAGCTTTGAGGGTGACTCCCTTAATGCCAGCCTCTGCTTCCTTCTCTTACATATTTGGAACTGGAATTCTTGTTCAGCTTGATTGGCAGACAAAATACAGATGTCGTTTCCTGGCTCTGTCGTTTGCCTTTGCAGGCAAAGAAAGAGCAGTTGTGAGCAGTTGCAACCAAGCCAGTTTCATAAGTTACAAAGAAATGCAGCCCATAGCTTGTATTGCTGTAGTCTGTTCACCTCTTAGCTGCAAGATGGTTGAGAAACTTCAGCTGGTGCAAAATTCATTGACCGGGTTGCTTACTGGGACAAGATGGTTTGAGCATATAGCACCAATTCTGGCCCAACTGCACTGGCTGCCATTCAAAGTGCTGGCTTTGACTTATGAAAGTCTTAAAACCTCAAGGACTGCTTCTCTCCATAAGAAGCAATCTGGACCCTGCGATCCTAATCTGAGGCCCTTCTTTGTTGTCTCTCCCCAAGGAGGCGTTCCTGGCATCTTCATTATACGCCTTTAGGCGCCAGGCAAAAACTTTCCTTCATAACGAGGCCTTTAGCGGATTAACATTCTATGACTTTTTAAATGTGTTTGTGGGCGAGGGTTATTGGTTTGTTTGTTTGTTTGTTTTCGTTATGTTATGTATTTTGTGTTTTTGTTTTGTAGATCGCCCTGCAATCTTCAAATGAAGGGCAGTATATAAATGAATAGGGGACGCGGGTGGCGCTATGGGTTAAACCACAGAGCCTAGGACTTGCCGATCAGAAGGTCGGCGGTTCGAATCCCCACGACTGGGTGAGCTCCCGTTGCTCGGTCCCTGCTCCTGCCAACCTAGCAGTTCGAAAGCACGAAGTGCAAGTAGATAAATAGGTACCGCTCTGGCGGGAAGGTAAACAGCATTTCTGTGCGCTGCTCTGGTTCGTCAGAAGCGGCTTAGTCATGCTGGCCACATGACGTGGAAGCTGTACGCCGGCTCACTCGGCCAGTAAAGCGAGATGAGCAACGCAACCCCAGAGTCATCCACGACTGGACCTTTACCTTTACCTTTATATAAATGAATAAATAATAGAGAGGTCATGGTTGCTTTGCCATCTGACCCTCACTGGCACAGTGAACACACAGAGAGTGATAGGAGCAACATTCTTGTTTTGTTAATTTTTTATTTACCATTTAGGATGTGTAATATTTTACTCCCCAGCACTGGAAACCTCTTCTGTTTAAAGGCAGCTTTTCTGGCCCTCTTAGCCATGGGGGGAGACAATTGCCTACAAAAGCTTCAGGCTGCTCATTCATCCTAACTGACCTCATTTAGCACTGAAATTGGTCATGGTGACTTCTGGCATTGGCTCTGGGTTGTTTGGGATGAGAATTATGTAGAGGTTTCTATACCTACAAAGCAGGTACAGTTATCTAGTGCAATTGGCTTCCCTTCTTGACCCATATAGACTTTGCCATTTCCCAGAGGCCAGGCATTTCCTTTTATTATAGTTGACATCTGAACACAGTTGAGAAAGGTGTTGCTGTTTGAGTGCAGGAGGTGGGGCCTGTCTTTTTAGACTGTTTTATTACTTTAATTTCTAACCTGGAGGAACTAAAATAAATATTTAAACTAATATAAAAATCAGCTGATGAAAACAGATTCTGAAAGCAATGTCTAAATTGATTCAGCATCATAAAGAAGACCAAAAAGTAATCTATCAAAAGCCCAGCGGAATAAAAAAATGTAACCCACTACCCATTCAAGAATGATATTCAGTAGGTATCCTTACGAAGAGAGTTCCAATGGGAGGGAGGGGGCCATAGCTGAAAAGGCCCTGTTCACAGTGCTTTCCAATCTGACATCTTGGAAGTCATAGATTTTCCTCTTCACTGGAATAGATTTATGCAGTCTGTGCAACTGAAGCCATCAAGCATCTCAAACTAGTTTATCACTCCAAACTACCCTACTAGCAGCCATTACCATAAACAGGGAATGACTGAATTGGAAGGAAGCCTGGTGGTAACCTAGTCCAGCACCCTGCAAACAAATAAAGAATATTTCTTTTTAGCCAATTAAGAGAGAGAATTAACAGGGTTAACTAATATGCCAGTGTCAGCACAATGTCATACATGGATGTATCATAATGCAGACATACACATTATTTGGTACAGAGGATGATATTTTATATGCTAAGCAGCATATCCCATAACCTCTAAACCTTTTTATGTGGCTGTTAAATATATATTTCCCCCCAAGGGAAAGAGGGGGGGGAAATCTTCCCCACAGCTTCAGAATTTCCCAGTTTTATTTCTCTTATTTACACAGCTTTATCCATTTTGTCCTGTTGTGGTGCTTTTCATCTTGATTTTCATTTTCTGGTCAGAACTACTGACCATTATCACTGAGTTTATATCCTCAAAGCTTGGTGTAGACTTTCTTTACACCATAATTGTTTTTGTTCTGTTTTCTCCTGTATTCTCTTTTCTTCTTCACAGTGTGGTACATTTCTTAAATAGCTTATATTTGCATTTTCTGTTTCTGACTGGCTCTCTAGTTCCATTCATTATTTTAAAGGAACAAACACAGGCGAATGTTCTCCCCCTTTTTGTTTTGTTTTGAAAAGCAGTCTACACATGATCTAGCATTTGCAGGCTGGAGCCTTTCTCGCTGTCATACTAGTTCTTGTTCCTTCTGCTGCAGAACTATACAGTGTGTTTTTCTGAATATTTAAACCTGCATTTTAGGAAAACATAATATTGAGAGATAAAAATACTTTGATGAAAATGGTGTGATCTTCTTCTTCCCCCTCTCCTCTTCCTCCTCCTCCTCCTCCTCCCTCTCTCTCTCTCTCTCTCTCTCTCTCTCATTTGTACAAATCACACAGAATAGCCTGAATTTAAAAGCATTAGCAGGAGACCTCAGGACTGATCTGCCAGGGTCTTTGCAAAGTTCTGTTCACATTAAACTCTGTTCAGCTATAGCATTAAACCTCGCTTGGATGTATTTTTCTTAACCTGGTTGCTCTGCAAATGATCCAGTTTTCTTTTATCTTTTCTACTTCCCAGCAAGTCACTAGATGTTCTTCCACTCGGTTTTAGCCAAGGTTATGTGCAATCACTCCTTAATTCAGACAGGTTGGTTTAATGAACTGGAATTAGCATCTTCCCTGGATGGATAGCCCACTTACAACCTAAGTTCTCCAAACACCTGGGTGTTGTTATGTGATATAACATTCAGTCCAGTTTGAGTAAAATAAATTGCCCTAAATTAGAGATGTATGTAGAACCATGGTGAGTATTTGGTGAAGATATTGCTCAATATATTTTAGGATTTATCTTAGAAACTGAGTAATTAGGTCAGGCAGTCACTGCCTAACTGGCTTATGCTCGTGTTTCTATGTGGTACGACTATTGACGAATAATTCTGAGCCTGAGGCAGATTCTGCCTCTTTCAAATCCCTGAAAGTATAGAACTGGAACAGAGTATTCAGCCTTTGCCTGTCCTCAGTTCACCTTCAGTTCCGCATCCTATAGGAGAGTTGGATTTTAGCTCCACAACATGGGGGGGGGGGGAGAGCATGGAAGGCTGAGAAGCAGTTTGTGAATTTGTGTGACCATGTTAGATGCCACTAAGAGAAGGGAGATTCCTACTAAGAGTGAGGAGAGATGTAAGACCATTTGGAAGTGAGGCCAATTTGGAAGTCCCCACAATAGTATTTGTTATTATTATTTTTAACTTCCCACTCCGGGGTCAGAGGAGAGAGGGAGGGGAGCTATTTTAAGTTTCCAGGAAAATGGACTAAGGATGGCACAGATTGGTTTAGCAGTATGCCTGTAAGCCAAACCACAGCTTAGGGAAAGGGGTTTACATGCATTTGCAGTAAACCATGGTTTGGTTTAGTGTTTGTTGTGCATGAGTCTGGTCTGATCATTATGTTTGTGGGTGGGTGGAGAAAAACCATGTGTGTTGAGTAAGTGGACATACAGAGCAGTCAGACTGGTTTCCCCTGAGTTTTGAGCTGAGAAATGCAGTATGTTTCAGATACTTTTCAAAAGCCATTGAAACCAGAGAAATGACAAGGAAGAGAATATACAGAGGACTGATTACTGAAGTAATAACTCAGCTAAAATAACTGTGTCAGTAGCTGGTAACGGATTAACTGAATAAAATGTGTAACAAGGATGACAAGCTCATGTGTGGCTCCTTGGTGCGAGAAGAGCAGGGGTTTTAAAACTCCTCTGTGAAGTTGGAGAGTTGTGTAGCTGCAGCACAGAGCTAGGGCACAGCTCCTCTGCTGAAGTCATTGCTCTAAGACCAAGGTCATGACTCAACTGCTCCTTGCAGATCTCTTGGCATCTGCACAAGAACAGGGATGATACTTGATTAGCCTCAGGGCAGATTTCCAGGTGGATAGATTACCTGCCAGTCAGTGACGACACAACAAAAAATTACCGTTATGCGCTGTAATTTAAGAACACAGCAGAATGGGAAAGGTGTGACCTGTATGTTTTTGTGTGTGAACACTGTTTGCTAAAAAAAATGGTCACAAAATGCTCAAGATGACCATTTCTGTTGCATATCAAAAGTCTCCCCAAAAGACCTCCTGGCACCCCCCCTTTTATTGCTGTCATCTTGCCATTTTACTTTCTTAAAAGCCAGTTGCCCCAAGTTCCTTGTGCCTAAGTATCTCCTTCTCATTTTTTGATAGTAAGCCCCCCAACTGAGCATCGCGGAACTAAATTCTAACTAAACCACCATAAGATTGTGTTGGAGGTCCCACTGAAAGCAACGGGATTAAGAAAGTTGCAACAAGCTTGTTCCATTGGACAAGGTTACAATCCAATGTCTCTTACCAGTAAGCCCCATTGAACTGAACTCACTGGAATTTATTTTTCAGTGGACAAGAATAGGGTTTCACTGTAAGGCCTGCGATTGACTTTAGCTAGATCAAGGCCAATATTCATGCACGTAGTTAAGATAAAAGAATGATCCAAGAGCACAGCTGAAAAAATAGTAATACTATTTAAGACAGCTAAAATAAGTTCTTCTTGAATACAAATTTGTTCCCATACTAAGACCTAGAGCCTCCTGCAGTTTTGAGAAAATTAGCAGAGCAGCGATGTCTTCCCAAAGTATTCCTAGAGTGGCACTACACTGTTAATAACAAAGATTGATAGCAAAGGGGAAGATGCCTCTCACAATCTACTCTCTTTCTGACATCAAATGGATCTTCGACTTCTCCAAAGCATTGAAGGCAACCTGTGGGGACAGTAAAACTGTTTTAGAGCAGAAACCTAAGTTTAGATGTTCTGTTAAGAGTGGCATAGGACATGGAAACCAGGAGATTTAGTGGCCCACATGGTAAATACCGTTTGTGCAGTAATCCTTACAGGTACATTGAGTTGTTTCTGTAACGTCTCCCTTTTTTGTTTTGTCTGCTTTAGGGGGAAATCCAGGACAATTACTTTTGAGCAGTTCAAGGAAGCACTTCAGGAGCTGTCCAAGAAGCGTTTCAAAGACAAGAGCAACGAGGAAGCAGTGCAAGAAATGCACAAGCTCATCGAAGGGAAGGCCCCCGTCATAGCTGGAGTCACGGTATGGGAGCCTGATGCTCAGTAACTCTGACATTCTTTTCTAAGGCCTCTCTTCAAATCACAGACTTCTCATTTTCTCTCTCAGGAAGAGTCCTGAAGTTTTGATCAACCCAGCAGGATGCTCATCTGGTTTCACTCTAATGTTCTCTGTGGCAGGGCAGCTTTTGCTAAGCCAGAACATTCCATAAGAGTTGGAGCCTAATAACTAATATTCCTGTTCACCTAATGCTTAAAGAATCATAGAATCATAGAGTTGGAAGAGACCACAAGGGCCATCGAGTCCAACCCCCTGCCAAGCAGGAAACACCATCAGAGCACTCCTGACATATGGTTGTCAAGCCTCTGATTAAAGACCTCCAAAGAAGGAGACTCCACCACCCTCCTTGGCAGCAAATTCCACTGTCGAACAGCTCTTACTGTCAGGAAGTTCTTCCTAATGTTTAGGTGGAATCTTCTTTCTTGTAGTTTGGATCCATTGCTCCGTGTCCGCTTCTCTGGAGCAGCAGAAAACAACCTTTCTCCCTCCTCTATGTGACATCCTTTTATATATTTGAACATGGCTATCTTATCACCCCTTAACCTCCTCTTCTCCAGGCTGAACATGCCCAGCTCCCTTAGCCGTTCCTCATAAGGCATCGTTTCCAGGCCTTTGACCATTTTGGTTGCCCTCCTCTGGACACGTTCCAGTTTGTCAGTGTCCTTCTTGAACTGTGGTGCCCAGAACTGGACACAGTACTCCAGGTGAGGTCTGACCAGAGCAGAATACAGTGGCACTATTACTTCCCTTGATCTAGATGCTATACTCCTATTGATGAGGCCCAGAATTGCATTGGCTTTTTTAGCTGCCACGTCACACTGTTGGCTCATGTCAAGTTTGTGGTCAACCAAGACTCCTAGATCCTTTTCACATGTACTGCTCTCAAGCCAGGTGTCCCCCATCTTGTATTTGTGCCTCTCATTTTTTTGCCCAAGTGCAATACTTTACATTTCTCCCTGTTAAAGTTCATCTTGTTTGTTTTGGCCCAGTTCTCTAATCTGTCAAGGTCGTTTTGAAGTGTGATCCTGTCCTCTGGGGTGTTAGCCACCCCTCCCAATTTGGTGTCATCTGCAAATTTGATCAGGATACCCTTGAGTCCATCATCCAAGATTTTGATTTCTGCTAGAAACTTCTTCTTGTTTTCAGTTAAAATGTGCAAAATACAGAAATTCTGTCTTTCCTACTGCATAATTCTCAGAATGTGGGCTTTCTGGGTCGTAGGACTTTGGTAACATGCCACTTGCATATGAGCCATGGAACAGTTCAGAACAAAGATAGCAGCCTTCACTCTGCACCCGGGCATTGTGTGGCTCCCACTGTACCAGCAAATATCACCCCCCCACACACATAACATGGCTAAATGAAATAAAAAATAAAAAATAGTCCAGTAGCACCTTAGAGACCAACTAAGTTTGTTCTGGGTATAAGCTTTTGTGTGCTTCTTCAGATACACTGAAACAGAAGTCACAATTTTTAAAAAAAATTTATTTCAACTGCGTCAGACCAACACGGCTACCTATCTGAATCTAGAATTGTGGCTAAATGAGTGAATGATGCAAGGGTGGAAATGGATGAAGCCAGCTTCTGACTGTCTTCAGCGAGAATAAAATCAGCTCTTTCACTCTTGCATCTTTCCCATTCTACTCCAAGCTTAGTGGTGTGTGTGTGTGTGTGCTGTCAGCGATGTCAAGGGGGGCATGGTGCAGTCTCCAAATAGTTGGATTTGGAAGGATCGAGCTGCCCAAGCTTAGTCAGCTGATCATTCCTTTTTTTAGAACAATACTTCAGCCATTTAGTTTCCTTTTGCCACGTGTATAAAGAATTTTGCTGTAGTCTGCATAGTGCTCATCAACATACAGCTAAATGGAAAGTGAGAACTTTGAACTCTTTCCAAGATGGGGCAAATTCCATGTACCCTACTGTACATAAGTACGAAGGGGCAATCACTGTGGCTTTCTTTGCTTACCTATCCCCCACCCCCAAAGGCTGCACATTCTGTTACCTTCTAAGCCACACTGGGTATTCGATCACCAAGCTGCAGCCCAGTCCTAACTGTGGAAATGAGTTGCTTGCTTCTACTCTCAAAATCCAGGGCTGATTATGAAGATTAACAAAGCAAGGCGAGCCATCGCCAGCCCATGGCATTGCCAAGTGAGCAGTGGCACTACCTCTTTCACACTAGCTTTATCAACAATATTATGGGTTTAAGGGCACCAAAGGCTCACTTACCAAATACCATGATGGTGTGGGGAGTAAGCAGCAGTGGGTTGCCACTGCTCACCTGACCTCTGGTCAGTTGTGTTTATGCGACATACCAGGCGGTAGATGAGGAGAAAGGTTGGCACAGTACAAATAGGCTAGCCGAGCTGAGCCGGTGCATTTGCAACACACTGATGTCACCACTGACTCCATCTCCTGGTAAGTGGTAGCAACCAACTGGAGGTCAGGTAAGCCGTGGCAGCCCACCCACCCCCATCCACTACTGGGAGAAAGCTATGCCATTATTCCTGGTTCAAGACCCATGGCACTTTATAGAAATTGCTGAGGTGATGGCTGAGCTGGAGGGCCACGCTCTGCTCCTTACCTCAGTGGAACTTAATATGATGAAAGCCTAAGATTTATCAATTAAGGAGGACAACCTGTTCCAGTGCCTGGGAATTGAATCCCCCTATCTCATGTAATGTGGTCAATGCCTCTTAGGACCTGTGGACTTCAAAGCGTGATGTGTACACAAAGGTGCCCCAAATGCAATCTTGAACAGTGTTTTCTGTGAAGCAGGCATTCCCACCAGAAGCTTCTGACTGCACAGCTACTGGACAAGCTGAGATTTGACTTAAGAATAATGTGACATGTACATGGTTGATTGTTATGGATTAGGAAAACTGCAGAAAACTGAATCTGTGGTGTCTTAAAGGCTGACCCCACTGTTGTATCGGAGACCTTTGCTGTTTCTTTGATGCCTTGGTTGATATATATGCAAAGCATGGTGGACATTAATCAAGTTTAGAACAGCTGGCACTTGAACTCTTCCATCCAACCTATAAATTTCACAGCATCCACAATGAGCGGTGAAAAAGAAAGGAATGGAAACTCTTACGCCATTTGAATTGTTATCTCCAAGGTTCTTTTGAGCACGTCCAGCAGAGCCATGGATTTTCCTAGCTCAAATTCCATTTTTCTTTTGAAGTAGATGCCTTTAGAGGCAGAATGTTCAGTCATCCTGTCTCCCAGAATGATTTGTGCTAAGAGGTGGCCAGAAAGGCTTGCAGCCACCAGCTTTGAAAAAGGACATGGCAATGTTCCATCATGCCTTTGGGTGGACTTTGGAAAGCCCAATGTTTACTCAGTTAGGAGCAATTTGGAAGGAATCCCCAGTCTTTAGGGCAAGCCCAAGACATTTTGGCACCTGAGGCAAACCACAAAATGGTGCTTCCTCCCCTGGCCAGGCAAGAAGGGATGAATGAAGATCGTACATCGGGAACTAAAGGTCTATATATGGGATCTGCTGACCCATGGATCCTGCCTCCTAAGGCAGTTGCCTCACCTTGCCTCATGGCTAGGTCGGTCCTTCATCTCTTACTGTTTTCTCGGCACTGGCAAAATCTCTACTGGCACCAGTCCGCAGTGAAAATAAGAGCATTTGCTCAATTATCAGATATCCCTCTTAAATTTCTGCCACATGCTGAAGGGGCAAATTGTTTTAGTTTTTTAATAAATTAATTATTTTAAACCCAAATAAGGACTTTCCTTTTCAGTATTGAAAGCTGCAGGGGAGCCAACCTGGACATATTGGACTGTTTGCATAGTCACCTCCCATAAATGCACTGAAGACAAATGCAGTGCTTTAATTCAAAAAGCTTTGACGTGTTCTCCTATATGATGGCCAGATAGTAAGAAAATGCCGTGGCAAGGCGAGCTGTACTACACAGGCAGGCAGGGCTGACCCACCCATGAGGCAAGGTGAGGCAGACACCTCGGGCGGCAGACCTGGGCCCAAGGAGCGTGCCGCTTGCTGACTCCTCTGCCTGTGCAACTGTGCTTCCATCTCTGCTGCCCAATCTCCACCACCTACTGCTCTGTGGGCATACCAAAGCCATCCCCTGTGGCAGTGGCAAGGGGGTGTGCGCGTGGTGGCAGGGGACACCCATTGTGGAGGAGGCAGGGGCATGGCAGCAGCATGGTGTGTCTGTGGAGGACGAGAAGGAGGCAGCAGCGCATGCTTGCAGTGGGGTGCAGTGGCAGTGGGGTTTGCCTCAAGCAGCAAAACGTTCTGGGCCAGCCCTTCAAGCAGGTTAGTCTTCCCCCTAGGGCAGGATGGTTAAGGTCTAGCTATCAAGCTGGAAGTAGTTTCCTTGTCCAAACATTCATGCTTAGACGTGGCCAACTCTCCCTGTGAACTAAGTGTGTCCTCTGCAGTGATGTAGAAGCAAACTCTGTTCACATTAAAGTCCAGTCCTAATATCCTACTGTAATTAAACCTGTTGCTCTCACTGAAATAATAATATATTATTCACACAATTCCATCTCCCACTCTCCTTTCTGTCTATTTTTAGATAAGACCTTTCAGACAGAGATCTCATCACTCATTTTATGCTACATAGATGACACTATGTAATTTTTTCAAAACACATTTGGATTGATTGCATAATTTGTTGTATCAATCTATTTTTTGTTGTTGTAATTCTCCAAATAAAGTCACAAAAATAAAAATTCCCAAGGATGACATCGTTTGGAAGTAAAGGTGAATAAATTAAAACTGGGTTGAGAGCTTTCCAAAATATTTGCCAAGAGGTCAAGAATACCTCACAGTATAAAAAGAACATAACAGTTACAAGAACAATGTCAAGATTTTTACAGTACCCTTTTTCAGGGTGTCCAGGGAAGTTTACAAAAGAAAGATAAGACATAAATAAAACATAAACATTAAAAACCATTATTACATTGAAATATATTCAAAAGCCTGTGCAGATAAAAATACATCTGCCTGGTGCCAACAATGTTAACTGTTCAGCATCTGGCAAATGTGTGTTTATTTTCCCAGGCCCTCTGGTTTGGGGTGCCACCACTGACAAAGCTCTGTCTCTGGTCACCTTGCCTTGGGTGGTGGAGGGAGCTAGAGGAAACCCTTAGACAATGACCTCAGTACAGGGGCAGATGAGTGTGGCCACAGCTGTTATTTCAGGTACCCAGGTCTTAGGCTGAGTAGGGCTTTAAAGGTAAGCACCATTGCTGTAGTTTTCTGCCTATGCTTTGACCACAGAGAGGACACCTGACCCATTTCTTGGTGGAAGCTGGGTTATGTTTCAAAACTCATCCCAGAGTTCTATTGATTCTAGACACAGGTCTTCTAAGGAGCTAAATCTCTTGGGATGTTTACATCACGGGTGGTTCAGCTGTCAAACAACGTGGGCATTTCAAGAAGCAATGCCTACTGTATTTGAAAGCACCAGCAAAACTGCTGACTGCCATTTGATCATATGTTTTAGAAGTGCTCATGTAGACCAGGGATACAATTTACTCCCCCCAAAAAACTTACGAATATAAACATCTTTTCCCCACCACCACCAGATTTAGGAGGACGGCTGAAACATCACATGGCAATTCACATCTCATTATGCTTGAGGAACTGCTGGAACATGGAGCTATAGAAGATTTGAATAAAACTTGTCAGCACTGTGAGGGTTCATTTGATCCCAGTTATTTGAGCAAGCATTAAAAACCCCCATCCTGTCTTGTTTAGGGTAGCCAAAACCCACGAGCCAGTCATGGGTGATGGTCTGCAAGGAACAAGCAAAGCAGAACAGAGGTCCTCAGGACCGTGAAGTTATAGTACCTTGATTTACATATATATTCATGTGTGTGTGTGTGTTATTTACATTGTTAATGCTCTCTTCTGTCTGTCTGTCTTTCTCTCTCCCCATTAATAGAAAGCCATTTCATCTCCGACTGTCTCACGGCTTACAGACACAACACGTTTCACTGGTTCCCATAAAGAGAGATTTGATCCCACTGGGAAAGGCAAAGGCAAAGCAGGACGTGAAGATCTGGTGGATACGTCTGGCTATGTATCTGGGTATAAGCATGCTGGCACATATGACCAGAAAGTGCAAGGAAGCAAGTAAGCCCGAAGGTTCACCTGTGAGGGGTGAGCAAGACGAGCCTCACCTGTTGCTGTAAATGCCAAAAAGACTATGTTGGAAAGCTGTGTTGTAGGATCCACTTTTGACATCGACTGAGACTCTTGCAGTGAAGCACCACTTCATTACATTCCTCATGCTTTATGGCAGTGAAAAGGAAGCAGCAGAGCAGTCTGATCAAGAAACCACACCAAGGGCTCTCTCACCACACCTCGTCTGTACTGGTAGCAGATCGCAAACATTCCTATATGCCTAAGTCTCTGTCTTGTTCTGCTGTCTTTTTTTCTACAGTGGAGGCTACATGAGCTATTAGCTTTGCTAAAAAGAATCCAATTGCTCAATTTGATTATTTATTATTGAACAATGTCTTAATATGGAACAGATGCACCTCAAATGTAAGAATTCAGCCTTTAACTGAAGGGAATTAAATGGCTATTGACTTTTATTTTATTTTTGAAAAGGTGCTATCCTGTAAAAGCCAATACATTTATTTCAACCATTTTCGAACAAGAGCAGAAATAATAATTTAAAGCAACTTCCCCCCTCCATTAGTAGAAAACTGAGACCCCCACTTGTCCCTGTTCTCAAAGAAAAGGGAAATTGCAGCTCTCTCTCCTGGCCTCCGCAAATTTTCTTTAAAGAAAAGAAAAAAACAGAAACCAAAACACTATGTGTCATTGAAGTTATGTATTACTATTTCTTTAAGATTGCAACGAACATGAAATATGGCAGTTCAAACCCCCACCCAAATATATATTTGAAATACTACCAGTTGAAATTATCTACTTTGTCTGGATCATTACCTTAAACAACATTTTGATTCATTATGTTGGTTAAATAGTTCCAAAATAAAGGAAATTTGTTGTTTTCTTGTTCACTCAGTGTAAAGCAGACATAATTTAATTGTCAGATTGTTTGCTGATGGGAAAACAAAGGTAGAAAAGATTAAATACAGATTCATTGTTTTACAAATGATGTCATCAACCATCATGTTCCAGTGAGCCAGAGTCTAAATAGTGCTGAAATGTTGCTTCTTTTAAGGGAGAAAAAGGATATAATTAACATATTTCCTGAAAAAGGACAACATACGTAATGTATTTATTTATTTGAAAGATTTCTATGCGTGTATGCTGAAGAGTAACTGTTTAGTCAATAAGGTGATTTTTATGTGTCCTGTCTTTAATATTGAGAAAATACCACACTGTGTTGAACTTAGAATCCAGTAAAATAATAGCTGTAATCTTCACTTGGAGGTTTGCCAGCAGTTGAGTCTTGTTTTCTGTGGAATACAGGTCAGCTGTATCTCCTCTGTAGAAGAATAGAGATTGATCAACTTTACTGCCATTCTTAATAGCTGTCTCTTTGACAGGCCCAGTAAACGCTAAAGAGTTGGCTGCACTGATTTGCTTACAGTAATTCTGACTGTTCCTTCGCACAGGCCAGCGCCTTGAAGTTGGCCCTTGTCCGAACACTGGCCATCTGTCATTTGCAATTGTCTTTATCCTCATTGTTAAGGAAGGTATTTATTGTGACTTACAACCATGCTTTCTTCAGCATGCACTACAAGCATGAATCCAAAATAATAATAATAATGTTGTTAAGCACTGCCGTTGTATGCCTGGAACCTTCGTTTTTTGACATGTTGAAATGTCAGGTTTGGGAAGAAGGAAGTCTGTAGAATTTTCGGCATGTTTTTGCAGGATGGTGGTTTTGGTGGTTGCCAGAAAGGGTCTGTGAGTGTGCCAGGCCTGTTGGTATTGAAATAGTGATAGTTGCTATCAGTTATATATCCATCTGCTTTCTGGGGACAAGCTCAGTGTCTAGAGTGTTGATAATAGGGCTGTTTGCTTTGATGGAACAATGAGCACTGAATACTCTGTAGCCCATTTGTCAAGCTTAAAGTGAGGCTGGACTTATGGGGAACCCCATGTTATTACACGGAACTTCATTACATAAATAGAATATTCAGAACAAATCCAACTACGTCCTCCAGTGGCAGCTAATTAACACGGTGGATGTGAAAGACTCCACTGATGTAATATGAGCAGATAAGCACACCAGGAAGATACCTGATTTGTTGATCCAGTCTAGCATGTCTCTTGTGTATTTTGCTTTTCGGGAAACATTTTTTGTCCGAAAACCTAGCAGCTATTTGCTCACATGTATTGGCCATGAACACTGATTGCTCATTGTAAGGAGGAGCTTAAGGTAACAATAATGCCACCATGTTCTGTGCAAATAGTAGTTTTCCTTTTGACGGAAATTTCCTTTAGCACTAAAGTCTACTGCAGAACTCTCATCAAAAGATTTTAGAGCAGGCATTACATATCAGGTGGCCTTCTAGAGCCAGGGAAAGCTACTTTTAAAATGATCGATCCATGTTCATTTTTCATTTATTTTAAAACAAAAAGAGAAGAGATGCCCCCACTGAAGCGTGGATGTCTAAAAAGCAAGCAGTTTTGTGAAACAATGACCTGCTCTTCTGACATCCCAGTTTCGCTTCCTTTCTCCATTCCTTGTTCTGAAACTCTTGGCTTTTTCTACCACTGTGCCACCAAAGGAGGAGGCTGTGTGAGAAGAAGCAAGGCCTGGTTGTCCATGCATCAGACCGCAGTTTATGAAAACAGGACTACTTCCTCCAGTCCAGTCACCTAATAACACCATTCCATTCATGTCTACTCAAAAATAAGTCCCACTGTGTTCTTTGGGGCTTGCTGCTGGGTGAACGTGCATAGGATGGCAGCCTAAGTCGCTGTTTGCATGCAGCCGTGTACTTGGAATATTCTCACACCAGCTGCTCTCATCCCTGTATATTCCTTGTCAGTGACTTCTGCCCCCTTTAAATATTTATTTAAGTGCAAAACATACTGTAAACGTGCAGTGATGCCGGCCTTCGTTATCTCCTTTCCATACAATAGGGTATAATCAGGCCCTTTTTGAACTCTTATAAATAGGGGGAAATGTGAAAATTATCACAGATAAGTATCTGTATGTTTTTTTGTTTTAAAAAAAAGCTATTTTACTACCACAATGTGTTTACAATTCTTTGCTGATTGAATAAATCACATTAAGCACATAGTGTTCTTTTGCTATGTGTAAATCACTCCAGGGTGTATTATGTATATATAAATACACATATGTGCAGTTTTATACAGCCTCTTAATGGTGCACACTTTTGTAGCATCATGCACACTGGGACTGCCTTGTTATCTGCTGAGACCTGGGAAAAGGCTCCATGTGCCCAGAATGCAGCCCATTCCTCACCCAAGAAGGCAACCCAGCTGTCTATGTCTGCAGCTGCATATGTATATGGGACCCTCAATGAGTTTCCGATTATTGCCTGGATTTCCCTTCCAATTTTATAGGCATACAATTTATGGAGTCAAGTCAATCTTCTTTCCCCCCTGCTTGCATTCTTGTGCATGTACTGGAAGTTGTGGGCTGAATCTGACTTACCTGCTCCGCCCCCCCCAAACCCCTACTCACTTCCTTTGTGTTTAGTTGACATCTAAAACTAAACTAAGTGTAGAATAAGGTGGGCAATTTATCTGGCCTCCTAAGCCCATGCACAGCAATTCAGGCAGAAGGACAGGACTCGGAAGAGCAGCAGGGACACTTTAAGAGGGAAGGCCTTCCCAGGATCAGGGCCAGCCCACCCATGAGGCAGGCTGGGGCAGCTGCCTCAGGTGGCGGAACCCCAAGAGGTGGCACCCTCATAGGCTCCCCACCATGTCTGCCACCGCTAGAGAAGTGGCGGCAGCGGCAGCAGCTTCCAGTGCGACCTTTCAGAAATCTCACCAGACCTTGTGTGCTCTGCAAGTTCTTGCTGGAACCCACCATTCTTGCCGCTGCTTTGTGGATGCTGCCACACAACCCAGCAGCGTGGCACCTTCCTGTTTTGCCTCAGGCCAGCCGCCCCTGCCCAGAATGGAGTTTTTTATTACCAACTCTGCCTTAGACCTTGATGTATGAAGTTGCCTTATCCTGAGGGAGACCATCAGTCAGTTTGGACTCCAGCCCACAGCAGTTTACTTTGATCAGGAGGCAGCTCTGTAAGCTCTCAGGCAGAAAGTGGCATTTTCTACCGTTGCCCAAAGATCCTCTTAGAAGGAGATGCCAAGAAACAAACTTGCATCTTTTTAAATGTGCAAAGCAGATGCTATCCCAAGCTTTAGCTTCCTCTATAGGGGGGATGCTTAGCTATGCTTTTGTTTTTGTGTGTGTATATAGTTTATTCTTAAGCCTCCCAAATGAGATTACTTAGCAAATGACTTTGAAGTCTCCCAAACATAAAGCTATTATTCCTGTCTCCGTTTCCAGCAGTGTGGGGTGCCCTTGGGCTTCCCCAGGGAGTAGCCTCTTGTGCTGTTTGACCCCGTCCCCCAACATACAGTAAGCCACAACTTAGGCACATTTAACTTGTGTGCATTCAGCTTTACACGCATGGCCAAAAATGAATAAATAAAAAGGGGTGAGGATCCAGGAAAAATGAATTTGGCAATCCCAGCCATCAGTTGGGTTTTGACTATAAGTGATTTTGTCTTTAGACACGATCCCCAGAACGTATCCCCTGCGTAAGTTGTGGGCTTACTGTATCTTAAATCAGAATTTTTTGAAATTCCCGTTTACTTTGTGGGATATTGTTATGGAATAAACTTTCAACTCTTTGTGCCTGAGCGTACTCTACAGTGTGTCTTGCTTCAAGTCTCCCTATGCCTTACATGTGCAGCTGCGAAGGACACTTGTGAGTGATTCATGCCTATAGATAGGTTCTGCCACTATTGGTTTAGAAGCCACTGTCTCAAACTTCACAAAAAGGAGGAAAATGTGCAAACTGTGATCATGGTTATCCCAAGCAGTCACCCCTTTTTTGTATGTTAGGCTTGCATTGCGAACTTTTAATGTTCATTGTTAGCTACTCAGTCGTGGGAGCCAAGATGTATCTGTGTGCTTGCATTTGGCAATACTTGCGTATGGGTGATAAATGTTAAAAACATCGGTAGACTACGTAGAACAGATCTTAGTTACATGTAAGTGGCTTGTCATAGTCTTTCCCTCCTTAGATCACCATTTGGTTAAAAATGAGAGTAGAGTACACTGTACTTGACTTGTACCTTTAATTCACTGGAAGTCCAAAAGACCTTTTCTTCCTCTGAAAGGCCTCGTCTCCCTGTTTTCTGGCTATGTATTGCTGTTCAGGTGGCATCTGAAGGTGAATAACCAAATGCCCAGAGGACCTTACTCGCTAGGCATATTTTGGATTGCAAACTGGGCTACTTTCTAAATCAGTATTTGTATGTTTTAAATTCTGATCCAAATCAGTATCTTACTTGGCGGGGTAGGAGAGCTGAAAACAATGCCAATATATTTCACATCTGGCAACCAATGCACCCCTTTGGTTTCAGACAGTACATGGGTAGACAGTCTAAAAAGCCCTGGATTCTGACTAAACTAAGCTGCCTGATGCATATTTTGCTCTAGGAGGCTTAATTTGGTCAGAATTGAGTATATACTTTCAGATTTAACATGAAATACATTACTTCTGGTAAATGAGACACCATAGCCACTAGAGGGCCATGAAAAATTGTGTCCTGGGCTTTTGGGATTCGTCTACCCATGTACTGTCTGAAACCCAAGGGGCGCATTACTTCTCAGGTGTGAATTTTTCCCTAGCTCTCCTATCCCACCAAACTTTGCGTGCATAAGTGGCTTAAATTTGCGTCACACTGCCCATTTAAAAGCATTAACATTTATCTAAGCAACTTAATGTAGATCAGATTGATTGTTGCCCACTATGTACACCTTATCCCCCAACAGTTAGCTTAGCTGTTCACACAAGTCACCACTTTGGTGTATGTGTGAGAGCAAAAGAGGCTCCCATGATACCTACTGTATGTTAGGACACTTCTCCACAACAGCCAGCATGTCGGTTTCACAAACGAAGCAGGAATGGATATTCACAATATCTCTACTACAGATGAAGGCTTGAGTTAACACCTTTTAGAATCTGGACCATAAAGAAGGTTGATCGCCGAAGAATTGATGCTTTTGAATTCTGGTGCTGGAGGGAGACTCTTGAGAGTCCCATGAACTGCAGGAAGATCAAACCTATCCATTCTTAAGGAAATCAGCCCTGAGTGCTCACTGGAAGGACAGATCCTGAAGCTGAGGCTCCAAGACTTTGGCCACCTCATGAGAAGAGAAGACTCCCTGGAAAGGACCCTGATGTTGGGAAAGATGGAGGGCACAAGGAGAAGGGGACAACAGAGGACGAGATGGTTGGACAGTGTTCTTGAAGCTACCAGCATGAGTTTGACCAAACTGCGGGAGGCAGTGGAAGACAGGAGTGCCTGGCGTGCTCTGGTCCATGGGGTCATGAAGAGTCGGACACGACTAAACAACAACAACAACAACAACAATAATCCCTTCATTAGTTAGGAAAATCCCCTCCTCCTAACAGTGAATAGATATATTTTTTCACACCTTTAAGATGCCAAAGTATATTTCTGTTCTCTCCAGTGTTATGAAAAGTTAAAGATAAGGAAGCAATAATCCATGAATAAAGCAGGGTATATTTTGCTAAAAGGGAAATTACTTCCCATAGCTGTTCTGTTCCAAGCAATCTAGGGTCATGGGCTAACAGATATTGATAGAACTAGGGAAAACTACAACAGTGGTTCTGCTTTTAAGGGGGCAAATCTACAAGACCTGCTTAATATACTGAGAATATGAACTGGTTGACATATGACCAAGAGTTCATGTACCGTATTTTTCGCCCTATAGGACGCACCGCCCTATAAGGCGCACCTAGTTTTTTGGGGGGGAAATAAAGGGAAAAAAATTATTTCCCCCCCAGGCGCAGGGCTGGGGCGGGGGAAGCCCGAACTTCCCCCGACCCCAGCCCCCAAACAGGCAGCTCTCTGCTAGCCGTGGGAGCCCTGCGCTGGCTCCCGCTGCTTGCGGAGAGGTCCGCGAAGCCTGGACGCGCTGAGCTCAGCACGCGCAGGCTTCAGTGTGCAGGCAACTCTCCGCAAGCAGCGGGAGCGCTCCCGCTGCTTGCGGAGACGTCCGCGAAGCCTGGAGAGCGAGAGGGGTTGGTGCGCACCGACCCCTCTCGCTCTCCGGGCTTCAGCGAAAGCCTACATTCGCCCCATAGGACGCACACACATTTCCCCTTCATTTTTGGAGGGGAAAAAGTGTGTCCTATAGGGCGAAAAATACAGTAATTGTTTCACTGTGTTGTTTGTGTGATATAAATGTGGAGCTGTACGTTGGAGGTGCGGTGGAACAATCTACCATTCTGCATGGATCACATCAGTTTGGACATGAGAATGAACTCTTCCATCTCAAAAGCCCCAACTTGTGAGGGAGATTGGGAGGGCTGACGTTGCGCATGACATGAGTTCATTCTCATGCGCAACGTCCCGACATCAGGACATTGGGAAGGGCCAGGTGTGGAGCTAAAAGCGATGGCAGCGTGGCTTCAGTGGCTGGTGGCTCCTCCTGCTGCTGCCGCCACTGCCCAGGGACTGCTTCCCCCCACCTTCACCTCTGTGGCAGGAGGAGAAAGATCCAGCCAATGAAGTCACTCTGCGCTTGGCCCTGACTTTTTTAAACATTGCCCCCCCCAAAAAACCCCCACCCAAGGTTGGGTCTTCAGGAGCTGGCACCCCTGTTCCATCTTTGCTTCCTGACAGCAACCATCTGTCTGAGAGCAGCCACACAATCATTTTGATGTGTAGAAATCCTTGTGTGTCATTTCCCTGCCCGTGGCCAGTTGGTGGTGACAAATAGTTCTGAGGAAGAGCCAGATAGACTTGAAATTGCAGTTTAGGTTCTGTGCTCCCACCAGGAGACATGAATTCAAGTCTATCCTGGAATTGACTGTAAGATGCAAGGATGCATAGAAATGAAATGTAAATGACAGCAAACTTTTTCAGGGTTATATATACTAAATAGACTCCACAAAAGTTGAGGCATATGACAAAATGTCCACTTATTTCAGTGGTCTCAGGCTTGCATTGTGTGAGCATGATCCATGTGAAGGACAGATCCTGATACTGGCAAAGGGCAGAAGGACTACTCCAAAAATGGCACAGGGATTGGGGGACCATTCCATGACCAAAATCTTAATGATTTTTGTTATGAAGTGTCTTGACACTGGAAGGAACTGGTTCTGGCTGCAGTCTTTGCATTCTTTTAAGGAAGGCTTGGTTATGTTTAAAATCGTCAGTGCAAGTCAAAACTTACTCAAATCAAATTTAAAATGAATAAACAATAGTTGGCAGGGAGGAGCGTAGAAACTTGCATGGTTCGTAAAATTCTTAAACTAGCTGTTATTTTTAAAGTTAGATGGGTTTGTATGTATTTTAAAAGTAAAGGTTGAATATGGGTATAGTTGATAATTAGGGTAAATGTGAACCACAAAATGCAGCTGTTGCTTTTTCCTCTATGCTAAACATCCACTGTGCAAATTCTATTAGGCTATTAGATGACTGGTATATGGAAGCCATTTCACAACTAACACATGTCAACTTTATCATGTGGTTCTATGATGTTTTGGCGGTCATATTTGCAGACGAAAGGTGCATTAGGCACACTTGGCGAAGACGTGTGTCAACCATTACATGTGTTCCACCACTGCCTCCTCTTCCCTAACTTTGTTCATGGGTTGGGGGGCATGTTCCTCAAAAGCTTACGGCAACCTTCCCAAACCCTGTGCTCTCCAGATGTTCTGAACTTCAATTCCCATCAGCCCAGGGCAGCATGGTACTTTTAAAGTTATAGTCCACAACATCTGGAGAACCTACAGGGACTGATCCACCCCTCTGGGTTATATCTAGAATAACCATGCATTCCTTCATGTCTCCTCCAACGTAGGCCTTGTTGAGTTAAATGGGACTTACTCCTAAATAATATCTACTTGGGAGTTAACCCCATTCAATTTTATCAGATGTACACCTAGTTAAGTGTGCATAAATTTGCAGCTGCATTTAGGTGAACTTTGGTGCCACTGAAATAAGTGTAACAGCCTCAGACTGGATCCTAACCATTGTCTTCCAATCGCCATCTTTCTCCCTCAACTCATAGCTAAACATAAGGGAAACTGGTGTGTTTTGGTGTCACTTCTGGTTTAGTGGGGCACAGGAGGCTGGGCCAGCTAGGGCCAACAAGAGCAAGGACTCTCTCCTAGGAGCTGCTTGTGTGTCTTCTGCAACAAATTCGGTTTCTGTGTCAAGTGTAGATGTAGAAGGTTCTCGGAAGGTAGCAAGTTATAAAACTCCTGCTCTGCTGTGTTAACTGGAGAGGGATAAGTAAATCAGTTTATCCTTGTTGAAATGTAAATGTTTCCACGTACTTTAAGCACAAGAGGAAGATTATATATTTATATTGAAAACTATTTTTGACTAATACTGTGAGCATGTTTTGATGCCTCTTTTTTTGTTTTGCACAATTTAAGGAAACACAGGTTTGGCTTACCTTTTTTGTTGAATATATATATATATAATATTGGCATATGGCCAGGGAAGGGTTATTGGATAACTCCCAACCCTGACCATTTGCCGTGCTGGGAGACGCTAATGGGAGTTGAAGGTACCACATTGGCTACCCCAGCATATGACAACACATGGTTTGCTTTCAAATTGCTTCCCTTTGGCTACCTAGAGATGCAACTGCATCATATGCTGGCTACTGGTGGAGAAGGTGAACTTGCTGTTATCTCTCCCGGAACACTAGACAGCATAATAAAAGCTGGCGTGGACTCCACCTGTTTCTTTTTCCTCATTGACACGTCATGCATTAAAACCAGTGAAACGGTAACCTGTACAATGTACTCTCAGATCTCAGAAGGCGTCACATTTGGCTGCTCTGAGCACAGTGGGCCCCACCCACCACAAACTAGTCAAACTTAGAGCAGCGCCCTAGGGCGTGTTTTTTCTGGAAGTCACTCAAAATGAAACGGGGTGTGTGCTTTGCTGAGTAAGCCTGCCTAGATTTGTACACCAGCAGCAGCCGCTCTCTCGGGGGAATGCTTTTCGGAGGTGCAATTTTTGTCAGGATGCAAGCGTAGCGGGTGGTTAATCGCCTTCTAGCAGTGTGAATTCTTACTGGATCCCCCCATAGCTGTTATGATAGAAACATGTTAAAACGCAACCATGCATTTTAACATATAGTGCCCATTTTGCCAGATTATACATGTTGTCCCCGCTGAGATTCTAACGTTATGAAAGTCCCATGTAAACGTGGAGTGAGATCAGTTACTGAGAATTTCTAGTTTGGAAAACATCTGGTGTAACTTCAGACTTGAGCTCTGGGGCGCAGGGTGAGGGGCTGATGGATGTTACCGAATTCACCAGCAGGGGGAGCCTTTGCAGTTGGAGGCTTCCCTGGTGCTCCACCACTGCTGCCGGACCACGGTTGGCCCTCAAACAGGATGCTCTAGGGCAGGGGTTGGCAAGGCTTACCGGGTATGGGCAGGATCACTCCTGCAGAGATCCTCCGTGGGCCAGGCCTGCACAGCGCGATGCCGGAAATCGCTTCTGCACATGCCTAGACGCCAAAAATTGTGCCTGCGCAAAGTGATTTCTGGCATCTGGGCATGCACAGAAGCGATTTCTGGAGCCGCGGAAGAGAGTCGCCACGCCACGCTGTTTAGCGCAGCACGTGGGGACTTGCTGAGCGGGCGGCTCTGTTTGGGGGTGGCTCATGGGCTGGTTAAGCCACCCTCATGGGCTGCTTCCAGCCCATGGGCCTTAGGTTGTCGACCTCTGCTCTAGGGGGTGAGCAGCCTTTGGTCTGCGCACTCCAAAGCCTCTCCTGACATGTCCTCAGAGAGTCCTGGAGCTTGGCTAATTTGCTCCCAAATGTGAGGGGAGTTGGGAGGAATTTTAAAAGGCAAAATGAGGCTTTTAGAATTGCCCTGAAAATGGCAAAAGAAACAGAAAACTAACATTGGCTGATGAAATTTCACCATATGCTGGCCAATCTAACAGTGGAAAGTAAGGCCCAGGCAAAATCTATTCTGAGTGCAGGTCTTTATTTTTTATTAATTTATAATACCAGTATTAAATATTTACACAAGTAAATTAAAAGAAACTTGAAAGGGAGTTATATACTACTAGTTTGTACTAGGCTTTTTCAGGAAAATGAAACAAATTTATATATGTGTGTGTGTATATATGCAATATATTTTTACACAATTTATTAATGCTAGAAACTCAAATGTGTATCACTTTATCTGTGTGAATGTTAAAATTGTGATAAGTGTTCCAAATGCTGAAATCTTCTGCTAGTTGTCTTTCTAATTTCTAAAACCACATTGATGGCTTCTGTCAAGTAAACATTCTTCATTCATTAGAAAAAATCAAGTTCATCAGTTGTTCTAATAGTGCTGTAAAAAGCTTGGCTTGAGAATAGATGTCAGTTTTCATAGTGTTTTATAGCTGTTCTTTAAAAGCAAACTTTCTGTAATATATATATTATTGCTGTTGAGAGTATAGAATTGTATCTTAAGTTGGTAAAGTGATCAATAAATGTATTAATATAAACGTCTTAATTTGCTTTTGCAAGTGTCAAGTGTGTACATTTCTAAGAGAACAGTCTTAATGTGGTCAGATCACTGGGTAGCTCAGTTCAACATACCTTGATGGTCAGAGCATTTTTTGCTGCTTTGTGTCACATGCACTACTGACTAGAACGCCCTTCATAATTGCATGGCATCCCACCCATATGCTATTTCCTCATGGGTGGCTACCCTGTGTTGCTGGAATGCAATCCCCACTATCCCCATCTACCGTGCTGCCCAGGGCTGATAGGAGTTGCAGTCACCATTGGAGGGCCACAGGTTGCGTGACATAATGACATCGCAATGCTAGTGGACAGATACCATGGCCACAAGTGGCTAATTGAAGCCATCACCTGAGAAGCAGCATTGGAGCTCATGTCATTAACTTTCACCTATCTCCAGAGGAAGAAAAGATCCAAGTGCATTATCTGAAAGCTGATTTCGCAGGCTAGCTCCTTTGCTAGATCCCATTCACCTTCTGATCTCATCTACTGGAGTATTTTTAGGCAGCTTAGCATACCTTGCAACTGTACAGTTTAGGCGGCAGCTGCGTTTATCCCGCCTCATACGGCATTCAAGGTGTACTTGCCCTACTTTCTCCACAAAGCAGTCAACAAACACTTCATGCACCATTACATTTCACTCATCATTCACACCCAGCCAGTTCCCTGCTGTTTACAATGGAACCAACATAATACAATACTACCCAACTTGCCTACTGGGCTAAAACTCAGATCCTTAGAGCATTAGAACTCTGGCTGCATTAAGGAATCCTTACATGAAGTCCCTTCGGTGAAACCTCTTAGGAGTTTCTTTTTCAACACAGAAAAACGATGGTTTCTAAAATGAACAAAAGGTGCTCACTATGGCCATGAAACCCTTTCCACACAGGCAGCAGGGGGAGAGGCAAGATCACTTCACTGGGGTTTGCTCTCAATGTGCACACCACCTGGCTCAACGGAGACCACTATTGTCTGTAAAAACATAAGAACAGCCCTGTTGGATCCAGCTAATGGCCTGCCTAGTCCAGCATCCTGTTCTCATAGTAGCCAACCAGTTGCCTGTGGGAAACCAGCAAGCAGGAACTGGTATTAGGAAGCATTGTTGCTCCAGCTGTGGAGTAGAGCAGAGCCATCGACTGCCCTCTCCATGACTTTGTTCACTTAAAGCCACCCCAGATAGTGGCCATCACAGACTCTTGGGGGAGCAAGTGCCATGGTTTCGATTGTGCTCTGCATGAAGAAGTAATTTATTTTCTCTGTCCTGGATCTTCCAAGATTCAGCTTCATTGGCTGTCCACGAAGTCTAGTGTTAAGAAAGAGGGAGGGAAAAACTGCTCTCCTCACTTTCTCCCTGCCAGGCATAATTTCACACCCTTCTATCATGTCACCTCTTCCTCGACTTCCCTCTAATCTAAAGTGTCCCAAATGCTGCAACCTTTCTTTGCAGGGGAGTTGCTGTGTATCTTTGATCATTTAGGTTGCTGTTTTCTGAACTTTTCCCAACACTGCAATATCCTTTTTCAGGTGAGGCAACCAGAAACGTATACAGGACTTCAAATGTGGTCACACCAGAGATTTGTATGACGGTATTATGATAGCGGCAGTTTTATTTTCAATTCATTTCATAAGGAGCCCTAGCATGGAATTTGCCCTTTTCTCTGCAATTCTAGAATGCCTTATCTGGAAAACAAGATAAAAAAAATTGTTGGAAGTTTTAAAATTAAATGCATTTAGAGAGGCTTTTTATCTGGTCTACTTACATTTATTGAGTAGGAAAAGCATATATTGCATGGTTTCATTTTAAAACACACCCATGTGCAAACACTGCACAGCCAAACGTCTGTTCTGGAATATAACAACAACAGTACTATTGTTATTACTATTACTATTTTTATTATTTTATTTGTACCCTGCCCATCTGATTGTGAAAAGGAAGGTGCTGTTTCAGCAGGGAACATATTACCATAGGAGATGCTTTTTGTTCAAAAGTAGTACCAAAGGAATTTGAGGCTGCAACCATGGGGCTCTGGATGCCACCCTACAGGGATCAGTTGGACTTGGAAAGGCACGTTGACTGGCAAATCCTTTACTTGCCATTCCATCAGCAGATGCAAAATTTCAGTGGTTTGAAATCCAGAAATAATTGTCCAAAATGTTAAAGAAAATAAAAGGTCACTTCAGTAACATAGGAAACACACCATGATATTTCCCACCAGCAGAAATTTGGAACTGCCAGAATGCAGAGAGAAACTGGATCTCAGTGAGCAATCAACCTAATTAGTTGATCAAATGGTATCAATGAAGATGTGGACAGTATTGTTGAAACAGCATCTTTTTAATGGAATATGGAAACAGCAGCTACTGATCTCATATGCCAAAGGTTAATTCTTGATCCACAGATAACACATTCAAGGACAGGATAAGTGAAAGAATAAGCTAGGAATATTATTTTTAAAGCACCTGCAACAGTATGAGAATCCCTCATCCCTTCTAAGGCTGCAGTCCAAGAAAACATGGACAGGATTGTACTGCAAGTCACATGACTGCTAAACTTCATTCCATGTGCAGAAATGCTCAAAGTTGAAGCATGTCTTAAGGCCATGGTTTTGCAGCTGTTCCTAAAGCATCAGCACACAGCTCTGCAACAATAACTTGGTCAGTGATAAACATGATCCCTATTTGAAAAAGTTTGAGGTGAATACAAAATTCACAGTAGAAGAGATCAATTTTATTTTACTTAAAAACTCCATATAAATTGCCATTGATCGAATAATGCATTAAAATCATTCAATAATTTAATATATTCACTCCTATATTCAAAAACCATGGGGAGGATATCTAAAAAAATGAGGTACAAGAGAAATCAGCCACAGTGTTAAAAGCTGGTTGGTTCATGGAAGTAAATAACCCCAAGGGTTTGTCATCCTTTATAAATCATTTACACTCACATGCCTTTCACTGTTATTAACATCTGCTGCTGTTAATTTTGGGTGATGTTGCTAGGAGGAAGCGTTTTCTTTAACTGATTGTAGTTCCAGTGTAGTTGCTCCACTTCCACCTTGTGTCGGCAACGTGCCTCTTCCAGTTCTTTTAAGAGACGTTCATTTGTAGAAACCAAGGTTCTGCAAGAAAGCGTTGCATTTTTTTAAAAAAAGAAAATCAATTATTATGTTACAAAATAAACCATGGAACCTACAGATGTGAAGAACAGCCCTGCGCGCACACAGCTGCACTCAAACCTGGAGAGATCACAGATAACATATTTTGTTGCTTGAAAGCATGTCTTGGCTGCTGGGCTGTCAAAAGGGAGCCAGTTCTTTCTACCCCTTTGCTCCACTGGTTCAATAATGGGGGCGGGGGGGGAATCCCTTTCTCTTCTACAGGATAACAAATAGATGCTCATGTGCATTTTTTCACATGCCTTAAGGTAGCCTTCTCCTTACTTGTCCATTTTGTTTGAGACCTGTTGGTACTTTCTCTCTCTCTCTTAACACTAAGGGATTGCAAATGCAAGAACTGGAGGTAAGAATGAGAAAAACGACAAGTCTTTTTTTGAGGGGGGCAGTCAGGGAGGAAAAATTGGGAACCAAGTTTTGGGGGGTAAGCAGGGTGGAAGAGAACCTGGAGTGAAATTAAACTTGTATAAGAACAGCTGGTTCTTGGCGTTTGTGATTCAGACCCTGCCTCGACCTTTCACTCAGCTTGTCTACTTGTGCAATCACTTCTCTCCTCTTGGGTCAGCCCTCCATTTCCTCACTTTTCTCAACGTATAGTATTTATACGTTGAGCACTGGAGGTTCCAGGTGGCCAACGTGGCTGAGCAGAGCTTGGGGTCAAGCAAGGAGGAGCACTTCTGTGTGGAGGGAGATGAAAGAACATGTGCTGGAAGCAGCTTGGCAAAGACAGTGACCATACATTGGGAGAAGCGGATGCCATTGAACACAAGAACAAATTTTTAAATGGCCAAACATTTGAAATCTTGAGAGCTTCCACTTAACATCCAGTACCAAGCTTCTACCTGTGGCTTTCCTGCAACATCTTTGTGAGTTCCTGCATCTTGTCAAAGTGCTGGAGGCGCTGTTTCAAACTGGCATTTTCATCAGCCAACAGCTTGTGGTGGTTTTCAAGTTCTGGAGAGAGAAAGAATCTATAGCCATAAGCAACCATCTTACTTAAAAAAGGTGTTAGCACTGCATGACAGGGAAGTATATATGAAAAAGATGAGGAGAAAGGGCTTGCTTGTTGCACTCCCATTCGTTGCATTTCCCCGAGCCATATGAAAAAGATCAGAAGGAATGGGTATTTGTCAGCTGAGCCAAGCAGTTGAGTGTGTCATGGATCCAAAAGGCAGCACACTGGCTGCTTGTGAGCTACCAACCCCAATTCAAGGTTTTGATGCTGGTGTACAAAGCACAAAGCTTGGAGGCCCAAGTACTTAAAGAAATTCCTCCTCCAGTGCCAGCCAACTTGTGCCCTGAAGTCGGCAGGGGATGCCCACTGATGGGTACTGAATTATGAGTATTGATATAAAATTGAAGCAAGTTTAACTCTACTTGTATAAGTTATAGTGATGTATTTTTAAAAAGTTTTAATCTTTGCAAGCATTGTATTTTAATTATATTGTCTACCACCCCCAGTTCCCATGAAACAAAGAGTGGGGTTAAAAAGAGGACCAAAAAAGGTCTTTGGGGTAGCAGCTGCCAACTGATGAGATAGTGACCTTTTCCTATGAGCAAAGCATTGGGATCTCAACACGATCTAGCACAACAGGACTGAGACAGAGAGCGAAATCAGTTCAGACACGAGGGTTAAGAAATTTTGGAACTTTTGAGATTTACTCCTCTGAAATGCCGTTTTACAAACCCCAATAATGCATATATTTGATATGCTTTTTTATATCAGACCCCAGGTGGAAAGTGTGGGCACCTTAATCTGAGTGAATTGTACACAGTTATCATTCTGAAAACCAATCAGCAGGAATTTAAGGGAATTATAAATCTGCTCAGCAGGCTTCTTATGTGACCGGGTCTCCGTGTGACAATGTGCTTGAATACATGATGGCAATATTTGTGTTTGTTAGTGTGTTTTAAAAGACAGCCCAATATGCAAGATGAAAGACATCACAGTCCTGCTTCTGGTGACCACCCACCCCCACTTAGCTGGCCTGGTGGCCCTGCCAGGTTCACGGTCCTTTCCAGACACCACCAGTTAGACTGTTCCGAAGCATCTTTGCCTGTACACTAGGGATAGGCTCATCTCCCCCTCGCGCTGCAGCAAATGCTATTCATAAGGAGTCTGCAGTGATTAGTGCAAGGCTAGAAAAGACCAAAATGTACATGCAAAGTTCCATATGCCATTTGCAGGATCTCTGCTCTAGGCTGCCCCTCCCTCAACTGCTATAAACTTACAAAGTTGCCCTTTATTGGATGGAGGATACAGAATCTTCATGTGTTCAAACAAACACATGGACTGCTTTATTCAGATACATATTTTTAGAAACTTACTGATTATCTGCAGTGGTTCTGCCTGAGTGGCCTCTGCATTCTGGGTCCTTTGTTCCATTCTGGGACTGTGGACTTTCAGAGCTGCATGTTCTTTCAGTAATTTGTCTAAATTATGCTTCAATATATCCTAATACAATGGGGAGTGTAGAAAGGAGAAAACGATGAGACAGAGAAAATGATTAAAGTAGCTATTACTTCACCAAACCTTTATTAGGCATCACAAATGATTAAAGTAGCATTTCAGACTCTGTTATATTGTCTACATCATTTTCCTTGAAGTAGTTTTGGAGTGTTTTTGTGAGACTCTCTCTAATTTGTTTATTTGTGGTTAGGATGGGACTGAAGGACCATGATGGGGTGGTTTGTGTTCCCTCTCCTATTTTAATGGTGACTTCTATTGGGGCGTGATCTGTGATTTTTGTGTTACCTATGTTTGTTGACTCCACTGAGGGGATCAGACCTTGTGTGAGCAGAATGCCGTCCAGTCTGGACACTGTACCATGGCATCCGGATTGGAATGTATGGATGATGTCTCCTGGGTTTTGCTCACCCCAAATGTCATAGAGACCCGTTTTTTAGCATTTTTAGTAACTTGTAAGATTCCCTAATTGTTGGGGGTTTCCTTCAGAGGAAGGTTGCCTATGGGGTTGTAGGGTGGATGTTTTTCAGGGATATACCTTTCATATTAAGATTGAGATCACCTCCTAGGATTGCTTCCCCTTCAGAGAAGGAGAGGAACTTGTTTAGTGTTTTTCGGGTGAATTCTAGTTGTTTCAAGTTTGGGGCATATATGGAGCTGATTGATAGTTTAATTTTGCCATCTAGTGTCCCTTTAGCAAAAATGAATCTGCCTCTTCTGCCCTTTGTTGTGGCTTTGAAGTTCAGGTCTCTACTAAGTATTATGGCTACTCCATGGGCCTTCCCTGATACTCTCTATAATCTATCCCCCACTCTTTAACCCAAATCTAATCCTAATCCCACTAGTCCCCCACCCACCACACTCTAGGTCAGCACAACCCCATTGGTTCGTTAAACTACACAAAGTGAGAGACACAGGACAACCCAGACGGGTTGGCAAGGATTCACCCTACATTTCAGACTCTGTTGACAGGCCTACATTAAGACCCCTCACACAGGCGAGGATGAGAGGCTTCTCCGCTGGCGTTGGTGCAGGGAATCACCTGACTGAGACACAGGTCAAGTAGCTCCCTCTCAGCTGTGCGGCACGAGGGGCTTTGGAGGAGAAAGGATGGCCGGCAGCATCACCAAGGGAGTAGAAAGGGGCAAGCTGGTTGGACCAACGTCTTTACCTGCTTAGCCATGCATGGCACCTGTTGTTCCCATTAACCCTTGCTGACTTTTACATTCTGTACCAATTTGAGCAACCAAGAAAGTGAAAGAGGAAGAAGATCTGAGTTCAAGTCCTCCATCCAGCAGGAGCCAGGGCATTTAAAGGCCAAGGCCAAGGCTTCATGCAGGTGTCCTCTTCCTGTCCCCTGTTCTGACAGGGCCACACTCCCAGGGAACACTGATCTGATGTCAGTGGTAGCAGGTAAAGCATGTTTATATGACTGAACTGGGAAGAGTTTTCAGGGGCAATTTGACCCTGTCTTCTGACGAGGAATTAACCCTATCCTATATGCTCTGCGGACAGAGAAAAAGTAGTCGGGTGGATGTGAGACAGAAATCCAACAAGATGAGGAAAGAAAGAGGGATTTGTAGTGACTAATTGACTGTATTTAGCTCAAGCTGCTGACCAGTAAATTACAGTAAAATGAAGAACAAGGAATTCAGGCATGTGTTACCCAATATTAGTGGCTTGAAATACTGGCCAAGTACACCAATAATTCCATAAAGGGGCTATAAGCCTTTCAATGATATGCCCTGCAGAGCTCTGACAGAAGCAAATGGGAAGCTCCAGCTGCCAGTGTGGGTGCAACCTCTGAGCACTCCTGCCTACAGATTCTACCCAGCAGCTGCTCCAACTACTGTGGGATCCCAGTGATCCTCTGAGCTAAAAGTAATCAGAATAGACCCTGCGGATCAAGCAACAGCTGCTACAAACGCAACACCAGAAGACAAAATAAATTAGAATGGTCTGAATTTCAGTGTTTGCTTTGTATTTTGAAGGAATTATAGAGCTTCTATAGTTAAGGTGGCTTAAACGGAAAAGAAAGAAATCTCTGATTTGCAGACAAGTTTGGAGAAATTCTGCCCTGAAAAGTAGACCACTGCTGCCTGGGGAGAGATTCATTAGGCAGGATTTGTGCTTTTCGTGGCCTTTAGTGATGGCTGTGTACATGCTGAACTTCCACAAAAAGGACAGAATGTGACATTGGAAACAAAACCTCAACTTTCCTTTTAAAAATAAAGCAAATTTCTACCCCTTTGCCTAGGAGTACATAGTCAATGCTTGCTGAAACATCGGAAACCAGAGTGAATTGCTGAACTTGTCACCAATTGCTGAACTCTTCCCTATGACTGGCAGAAGCAACATTAAGCAAAAAATGATAGAAGACAAATCTGGTAATCAGCAATACAGGAAAACTAGTATAGCATCCTGCACCATAGGTCCTTTGGATGGGTTTTAAGTTCGAATAAATGCATTTTTAAAAAAATCTGAAACTGATTGTTGGGAGTTTGACAGCTGCATCTTGCCATCCCAGATTAGAACACGGTTTATATGTATGTAGATACCTATATGCACAGGGAAATCATGGGGTTGCGGAATACTGCATTCTACTTACCCTGTCTTTCTTAGCACTATTCAAGTCTGATGCCAAACTGTTGATCTTGGCATTGTATTGCTCTTCTTGCTCAGAGATACGCTTTTGCAAAGCCTGTCTCTCTAACCGAAGGTTATTCAGCTCTTGGTGTGCTGCAGGAGGTCTCTGTTGATCTGTGGGTGTGGATTTCTGAATTGCAGACAAAACAGTTTCTGCCTGAGCTAGGAATTAAAGGAGATTTTTCTAAGTTCATATTTAGTGACCAGGTTTGGGGGGGGGGCAGGGGTGTAATTTCCTTCAAACTACCTGCTCAGTCTTTACAAATTCACGGTTCCAGTAGAGCAGCATGGCTTTTACTTGCAAGTAACCTCAGCAAAATTGATCCTAACAGAGCTGCTTTACTATGAGAGCAGAAGGCGATGTCCGATGGACACGCCTTTGTATTTTTAAGTTCACAAAGAAATTCTGCTGCAGGAAAATTTGTTATTTGCTCCTGTGACCCATGGCCCTTTTATAGCATCACTACTGAGCCACTCAACCCCTGGTTCTCCAGGCCCCAGTTTAAACAGAAGCCCCTTTTCAAATTCCTTATGATGAGCCAAATACCCTCAAGTCTAATCCTATCTATTGAGACATGGGGTCACATTGCAAAACACAGTGTTGATCACATGAGACCTCTTCAGAGCATTTTCTTCCTGTGATTATTTCCAGGCAGAGAGACTAGGCGTTGGGATCCCCCACTCCCTCCCTTGCCCCACTGTGCTTCATAACATGAAGAAACCGAGGTAACCAATGCCAGTTTGGGAAGATGCCTTCGCCCAGGTAAGCGCTGCTCACCTTGCTTCTCCTCTGGCTGACACTCCTCCCATCACTCTCCGGAGTAATCTCCTGTTTCCCAAGGAAAGGGACCACTTTTGTGTTGCTAACAACAGGTGTCCATCCCAGCAGCAGTTCAGAATAACCTCATGAAATGGCACAATAAGCCTTTATACTGGCCAGTCTTGCTCCTTGAGCAAATGCAGTGAACGGTGCTAAAGAGGCCAAAAACATGTGAGGAAAAATAAAAGGCTACCTCTCATTTCCCTACTGGGACTATTTCTGCCAGGTGAAAAGCAGTGCACATCTGTCAAACCTGTCGCCGGGGTTGGAGAAATCAATGGGGGAAACCGATCTATTGTTACCCGCAAGTCACCTTGCAGGAGGAAGGAGCCCAATTATCACGGAGAAACACACATCCCCAACAAATGACTCGTACTTACATAAAAAAGTTTGGTTGCAATGAAGCGATTTGCAACCATTCCAGTGTTTATCAACCAAGTCTAGAAGACATTCAAGTCCTGTTTCATACAGCCCTTCATCCGCCAGCTGAACTACTCCTTGAGGTTTGCACTTTAAAAAATAAAAAAAAATACTTTAATGTTTACATGTTTTTAAAAAGAATTCTTACTGCTTTTAAGTGCTTTTAATTGTTTTAAATACACTTTTGTTTTATTTTTAATAGTGCTATTTTACTACTTGATGTTTGCTAGCCTGGGCAGGATAGATTAACAGGCACTGCACACAGAAAAATGTTGTGAGCTCCCCAATCACTATTGTGCAGGATCTAGACACAGCTTAAAACGAGGAGCTGCATGCAGCCTGCGGCCTGGCCCAGTGAGAAGCCTGTGCTTTCCCATTACCACTGCAAAATGAACAAAGTAATGTATTCTCACCTTATCCATAATGCTCTGGCGTTCAGAATTGCCTGGAAGGCTGATAGGCACATGCGCTCCAATTAGCATATCTAGTCCCCAGCACTCACCTTTGTCAGATCAGTGCACAGGGCTCTTTACCGGAAGTAAATGGCATACAGACTAGCTTATTAGTCAAACAGCTAAAATCCAAAGGGTTGCTTAGCATTCTGCTGCCCCCACTCACTCCTCTGGTAGTGATCAGATGCATATGGCTGCCATGTTTAGAAGTGATATTTTCAAGCTCATGGGCAGAAGAATAAAGATAAATCTACTCTCTGGCCATAAAGCTCTTAATCAACTAAACTGTTAGTCCTAGGCTATATGCAAAGGAAGGAACATACAAAGCTGCTAGTAGATCAGAAGGCTGGGTTAGAAGTGGAACAAGGAAGAGGAACAAGGATAGAACAAATGGAAATGGAACCAAACACACAATGAAGCAAGGAGGCAGGTGTGCAGCAGGCAAGTGCAAACTCAGATTTGAATCTTTGCTGACAGAAAAAGCAAGAGGCAGGTTAACTCAGCTAACAGGGTTCAAGCACTGGAGGAGCATGGTCCCTAAATCTGAAAAAGAGGGAAGCAACTATTTTAGGGAATATGACAAATGGATCAAGAAGACAATTGGGAAAAGATTCTCTTGGCTCTCGGGTCAAAGCACGGCACCTTTTTCAGGCAATTTTCTTGTCCCATTATTAATCCATGTTCATAGAAAATAGTTAAGTCGCCAAGTCAGCTATGGCGAGAAGAAATGCAACCAGCCAATGAGTCACAGAAGGTTTATGAAAACCTCTTACAGATTACAAATTACTAATAATGTATGACTGGCTAGTAAACATTTTGTGGGTTACTGACTTATGTAAGAAGGCGTTGCTATCCTTGACAGGTTGCCTTTGAAGATGATGAGCTCTTGACTGGCTCACCAATACACATAAATGTATTGGTGCACTCATGCCTATCAAATAATCCTGAAGCAGTGAAGAAAAACAAGGAGGGGATTTTTCTGAAACATTTCAGGAGAAACATTTCAGGAGAATTACAAACCAGGAATGAAAACTTAAGGTACGTTGTCTATGCCAAAAGGGGAAATTACTGAGCTGTGTGCCTGAGTCATGGGGAACCACTTAGAGCCACTCCCACAAAGACGGGAGTGATCTAACAGGGATATAACACATCAAACAGTATTGAAGATATCCTAGACTCAAGTTGTTAAAGGCTTTCTAAATTAATACATTAACTTTGTAGTTGGCCCAGTAGCATATGGGCAGCATGTGTAAACTGTTAAACACTGGAATTATGTGCTGGGAGATAAACATCATTTCCATATGAATACACAGATAGCTACCAGAAAAAAGGGGGGAATTACTTCACTAATGAAAAGGAGATGAATATGCACAGATTTCAGAAAGGAATTGGGATCCTATTATGGAGGAGTCAGTTACCAGGATAAGGAAATAGAAGGGGAACTTAGTGCCTCTTTAAATGAAGTACTAACTTTCATTCGAAAAACACACACCAGGAAATGGAATGCTGATAAGGGGGGAAAACTTAGCCAATCCATGCTAGTATCAGTGATCAGGTGCAAACACATATCCTTAGGAATCTTCAGTGTACCCGTTTTGTTATAACTGATCCACTAGAGAAGTTGGCTTGATCTCAAACTGACACATTTTTGACATTATCTCCATTCTTTAGGTCTTTGCTCTTTAGCCTTTCACGTTCAGGTACCTTCTGGCCATGTCCCGTTGTTGTCTTCTGAGAAGTAACTACTATTTCATTGACTTCTGGTGGGGCTACAAATGGAAAAAGTATTTGAACATAATGGTTTCAGTCTAGGTGAAAAAACACTAAAGCATGAAATAGCAGAATTCTTAATAATAATAAAAAGCATTTATATTCCTCCCCTGTGAGGTCGGCTAGGCTGAGAGGCAGTGACTGGCATCATAGCTGAGTGAAGATATGGACTCTTGTCCCCAGGTGCTAGCCTGACACTCTAACCAGAACACTGCACTGGCTCCCAGCAACTTTCATAACAAGATGATCTCGATATAAGCAAACTATATTCCTTTTCCAGTTGTGCACATTATGTCATGTGCAGGAGTTACATCTGCTGCTCTGTGGGTCAGTTGAAACCGTTCTCATAACAAATGCCGGATGTTTCAATATGTAGGTTCTCATAGGCCCAGTTCACACATAATATTAAGCCAGAACACAGGTCAGAACCAATTAGCAAATGCATGGGCTCCTGGACAGGTGATCATGTCTACTCTGTTCCTACCTGGCCATTTGCTGCTGCCCTGTGCTGAATTAAGTCATAGTTTGGCTCGTGGCTTAGCTATCCCAAGAGATACCGTGAGATACAGATAAGCTCATTTTCTCTGCAGAGAAATAGGTTCAACTGAAGCCGAACAAATGAAGTACATAAATAACTAGTGAAATACTGGGCTAATCCACATGGTGGCACTCTTATCATAAAGATGGTTAGGAATTAGCACATATGTTTGAGGCACAGAGTCCCAGATCTAAGACAATCCCTCTATTTCAGAAAGACAACTGCCACAGCCAACAATCTTTGCTGAAAACAGCAGCCAGACATCTAGCTCCCACATTCCTCTTCATACAATCTAGCAGAACTGATCCCTATCCCATATCCCTTATTTTGAAGAGTCATGGATACTGACTGAGACATCAAAACACAGGTTAAGTTTGACAAAACAGGGCTGGGAGGGTGGGGGAGGTAGATGCATGGCTGCTGCTGCTGCTGCTTTCAGTGGCAGCTGTATTTTAGATGTACAGCAAGGCCACAGAAACACTTAAAAAACAATTTTACCTGGATGGGGTGTAAAAATAGCATGGCTTGTGATCTTTTCATATGCTTCAGCCTCATTGTGGAACTTCAAATTAGGGTCTGTCTTGGGCAGCTCTTGTGATTTAGCTCCTAAGAATGAAACTCTAACGCCGATTTTCTTTTTCTTGTGTCCTTGACCAAGGGCACTGTGAGAAACTTGTAGAGTTGGTGAAGTAGGCAAGCTTCTATATTCTGGAGGGGGAAACCCAAATTATTGCAACATACTGACATGTATTTTACTTCGTAATTTGCTACTGGGTAATACAGTTTGGAAACTGGAACAGTCTACAAACACATTATTCAAGTCTAGCTTTAAGTCACTGAGGTCACGCTGGCATGAAATGAGACTAAGAACCAGTTTACTTCGATCAGCAGAATCACAGAGCAAGGCTGGTCCAGGACTATACCACTTTAATCGGCAGGTGACAGAGCTTGCTGACAAAAACTTCCTTGAGCATTTAAAGATTTATTTATTTATTTATTTATTTCAGAACAATATGTCCAGCTTAACCATTCAGGTGCAGTGCACAGTTTAGGCCACAGTCCAACTGAGATAGTTGTGTTTAAGGCAATTTATTCCCAAAGTATTGAAGTGCGAAGTCTGCAGTACAACGCCAAGGAGTTCAGTCCCACTGAAGTCAGTGAGATTTACCCGTATTTTTCGCTCTATAAGACGCACCAGACCACAAGACGCACCTAGTTTTTGGAGGAGGAAAACAAGAAAAAAAATATTCTGAATCTCAGAAGCCGGAACAACAAGAGGGATCGCTGCACAGCGAAAGCAGTGATCTCTCTTGCTGTTCTGGCTTCTGGGATAGCTGCGCAGCCTGCATTCGCTCCATAAGACGCACACACATTTCCCTTTACTTTTTAGGAGGAAAAAAGTGAGTATTATAGAGCAAAAAATACGGTACTTCTAAATAGTTATGCACAGCACTGCGATGTCACTCTCCATGTTGGATTCTGACCATTAACTGTAAAAAAGGTACAAATCTAAAGCCAAGTTGCAGTGCAATTAAGTGATACGTGTTTGCCTGTATGCTGGAGGAGTGTTCCATATAAAAACACAAAAGTGAGGATTATAACGGTATTTGTTTTAGCCACCACTTCTGTTGCTTGTCAGTAAAACCTATCTATCAGCATGCAAAGTGACAGCTGGAACCCTGTGCAACAGATGCCTATGGTATTAATGACCAAACTCTGCCATTTAATTACCACAATAACATTTGTTATAACATACCTTTATTCGTTTCTGAGGCTTTCAGCATATTTCTATTTTGTAACTGAGCAGCCTAGAAGGAAAAAGAAAAAGAGGACTCTTCTACAATCAAGATCTCTGGACTCAGCAATACAGCTGCAAATAAAACATTTTAGGTGCAATATACAATGCGACACTAGATGGCGATGGTGAGCCTTATGGAAAATTCAACGAATTTTAAAAACGCTTTAAAAGGCATTTTCAGAACAGTTTTTATATGTGTGTAGATTCCACCTCTGTAGCACAACCCACACCTGACAAAAGCAGGGCTTAAGTCTGAACCCACCAGCCGAATGGCAGTCCTGTTTGGATCTTCCTTTGCAGTATGGCTTGGCATCCGCTGCAGTAATTTGGAGCCCATGTTGCTGTCCTGTTGGCTTTGGGGCTTTTTGAAAGGGGGGAGCTGTTCCCATGAGAGTGGGAGAGGTCCTCACTCCCTCCTTTCTCCAGCGCTTGTCCCCAGTTCACACCAACTTATGTTTTGAAGCCTGAGTACTTCCTGGCCTTACAGCTTCCCATCACTCAACTTGCTGCTCTTTAATGCTATAATGCTCTGTTTTGTACCTGGCCCCCATGGAGACCCCCACTGTCTCACACCTCCTCTTTCAAGCTCTTCCTGGGTGGTTTGTAGCCAGGCAAACAGCAGTAAACTACCAGGTCTCCTGCTGATGTTCCTACCCCTCTAGGAATCCCTTGTGAGTCCTGCAGTCCCTCGTGCATGTGTCAGTGGGAAAAATAATTTGGGATGGGGAGGGCAAAACAGAGAAGCAGATACAACATTTAAAAGCTTTTGTAACAAAGCTAAACAGCTGGGTTTTTAAGAGCTCCATCTAGACCCAAATAATCTGCATGTTGCAGAGAACTGGTCTTGGGAGTGGAGAGGCTGCCAGAGATGATTCATGAGGATGTGAACCTTGCCTATCTCTGCCAGAGGGGAGAGCCATTCCAAAGTAACGGAAGGCCCTGGGAGCTTCGAAACACTGTTTGTTTGTTTGTTTGATATCCCCCCTTTTCTCCAAGGAGCTGAAGGTGGTGAACACCCTTCTCCTGCCCTCCCTTTTATCCTCACAGGCTAGGAGGCTGTGACTAGCCCAAGGTGACCCAGTGAAATTCATGGCCGAGTGGGGATCCTAACCCTGGTCTCCCAGGGTTATGTTAAAGACAACCAGATCCTGTATGGTTTGCTTCGAGAACCACACACCGAGTTGGAGGCATTCTTGACATGGGAAGAATGTACGACACAGGATTTTAAATGTTTTTATTTACCTTGGGCAGGTTTTCTTGCTTCCAATTCTGCAACAAGACAAGCCGTGGTGGAGACGCTCCTGGCTTTCGATGCCTCTTAGTATTATCTTCTATTTTGTGAATACCTCAAGAAATAGATTTAAATGGTAAATTAATCTACAGAAACCCATACAATATACCACAGCCCTATATAATTTCCATTCCAAGGTCGTCACTTTTACTATGGCTCCGCCTTTGTGAGTTTTCTGCTTTGTGTGATTTGCTGTCCTTTCTATTTTCTGATGTGTTTTGCTCTTTTTGCCTTCCTAAGGTTGTTTACTTTTTAAAAAAAGCTTTCTTCTGTCCTTTTTTTTTTGGTTCTTGCCTCCTGAATTAGCTGCCTTAAGGCTCCATCATCAGCTTGGTTGGAACTAGAAAAGGGGCCTTTTTAGTAGTGGCCCCATATATTTGGAACACTCATGCAAAGTAGAATATTCCACCCTACATCTGTTTTTAGGCAGACCTTTAAAAACTGGTTTTTAAAATGTGTTTAAAAGTATCTGGTTGGCTACTGCTGAAAACAGGATGCTGAACTAAAAGGACTTGGGCCTGATCCAGTTAGGCTCTTCTTCCACTCCAAATCCCAACCTTGGCTCAGTGGGGTAGAAATACAAAGGCAGTGGTTGGGTGTTTTGAGACGGCAGACTGCAAAAAAAAACTTCCATTTATCTCAATGGTATCGCAGGATGGTCTAAGGCCCCAAGCCTACATTGTGACATCATCACATAACATCAGAATGGATACTGAAGAGAGGGATTTCTACCAAACAAGTAATAAATTCCCAACTATGAAATAGATCGGTGAGCATTTAAAACTACTATACAACCCAGAAGCCTGGGGCTCCACCCTGACATGAACTAGCCTGTTATTGAAGACAACATGAGAAAAGTAACAAACAAATCACATACTGTTTAAATCGTGGAATTCAACTTTGGGGTGACTTTCGGCCGATCCAGTTATTCCTGGAGGCTTACTTAAGTTCCATTCACACTTTGTAATGAGGTTCAGGACCGCCTCATCATCTTTATCCATCACCAAGCACTTTTTGGACATGAAGTTAATGTATTCAACTCTTGGATGGGCAGAACTGCAGTGGGAAAATGGCATGCTTTTTATACCTTGTTTAAGTTTTCATTTGAGAGAAAAACGTATCTCAAGAAACAAAACAAGAGCGCTCTTCAGGCACTGCTGCCCTAAATGGGTTGCAGGGATGTTAGCTTAGCCCCCCCCCCCCGGGCCATGCATCCAACACTCAGGTAACCTGAGCAAAGCTGTCAAGTGGGGAGCCTTGCGTGCCCATAGAGGCTTCCTGCATGACCGAGGAGCTTGTGGGGAGCCTCCACAGACAGGCAACTCTCTCTGCTGCAGACTCAAATCACCTGAGTAGCCAAGAGGACTTGCATGCCTCCAGGAGAGAGGCTGAATGTTGGCCTCCACAGGGCCGCTGTACCAGGGTTGCTTTTTAAAGTGGTGATATCCAAAGACAGCCATGGAGAGCTCATAATCTAATTCTAATTAACACACTTTTGACAAGGGAAAGTAGGTCAGTTAGCCTGATTAAGGATTAAGACTCAGAAGATCTAACAGAGGTTTTAAGCCTTTCAGAGACTTCCTGTGCCATAGAAAGCAAACATAGTTACAGCTCAAGCTGTAAATGAAGACCAAGTACTTGGATATTCGCCACGTCTGCATAGCACATCCCTACATTCCTGGCTTTGAGTGAAGCAGGATGAAACAACTCCTGTTTGAAAAAGGAACCGCATGGCCTGTAATGGCTCGGCGACAAGGCAACCCTCAAGTAAGACCAGATATGCCAGAACTGTGCCTAACTCTGTCTTCGGCACAGATAAGCAACGGGTGGCGCTGTGGGTTAAACCACTGAGCCTAGGACTTGCTGATCAGAAGGTCGGCGGTTTGAATCCCCGCAACGGCGTGAGCTCCCGTTGCTCGGTCCCTGCTCCTGCCCACCTAGCAGTTCGAAAGCACGCCAAAGTGCAAGTAGATAAATAGGTACCGCTCCGGCGGGAAGGTATACGGCGTTTCCATGCGCTGCTCTGGTTCGCCAGAAGCGGCTTAGTCATGCTGGCCACATGACCCGGAAGCTGTACACCGGCTCCCTCGGCCAGTAAAGCGAGATGAGTGCACAACCCCAGAGTCGTCCGCAACTGGACCTAATGGTCAGGGGTCCCTTTACCTTTACAAGCTGCACACGAATCTTTAACGAACACTGTTTATCAGTTATCATCCCGTTTTCCACTGGCGCAGGAGACACAGAAAATCTGCCCTACTTGTAGAAGGTGGGTTTGTCGTCTTAGGTATGCAGAATTGCAGGAAGGAAGCAGGCTGCATCAGTTAAGGTAGCAAAAGCTTGTTCACTCTGCCACACGAATCAAAGCACACCAGACTTGCACAAGTCTACCGATGGTGTACTACCCAGAGTGCCAATTACATTTAGTTTCCACGGGGGGGGGGGGGGGCAGGCACACATAGACCAGGCTGCTTCTACCCTTTTGAATCTTCATTGGCAGTTCAACCAAAATGCTCAGAAAACCAAAACCAGGCGGCTGATACTGATTTCCCTTTTTGCCAGGTGCTGCTGGCGGAGTCAGGTCAGTTGAAAGGCGGAACAGTTATGCATCCTCTATTGTGCCCATAAGCCCCACAGATTGCAAGCCTTCACCAAACCCCTTCGGCCAGCCTTCCTCCAGTCTGGTCTAAGGAAATTGAGAAATCCCTGCACTCACAGGAAAGTAACTGCTTGTGTCTAAGGCAATTGCCCCACCTTATATCTTCCAGTTGTTCTGGACTACAACTTCCATCTAGCCAGCATGACTGATTGTCAGGGATGATGGGAGTCATGGTCCAAAACATCTGGAGGGCAAAATGTTGAGCAGACTACCTTGCAGGGTCACTTTACCCCACACATGCTCTCCTGTCAACCACTTCAGGCTGCAGAACTGGCAGGGCTAAAGATGCCACGCAATACCTGGTACGACACTTGTAAGAAATAGCTATTTTGGTGTGGCAGCACCTACACTTTGGAACTCCCTTCCTATTGACACCAGACAGGTGCATTTGCTGTATTATTTCTGGCGCCTGTTTGAAACCTTTTTGTTTAGGCAAGCTACAGACATTGACATGATTTAGTCTCGTTTTGGTTACTAATGATTTAAATTTTTTTTGAAAAGTTGTTAGCTAATTGTTTTTAACTGCTTTATTGATAATTCTCACATTTCTTGAAAAGCACTTTGTCACAATATATACAAATTTCATAATTTTTATATTTTTTTAATTGAATAAATAAAGTAAGACACAAGCAAATAGTTTCATGTTTGTTCATGCTAAGATTTCTCCATCTTTACACTGCAACTATTGTGACAGGGGCTGCTCCCCACAGATGATTCTCCAGTCCCTTAGATAGTATGGGGTTGGGGTACTACACTCAGAAAGGGGAGCCTCAGACACAACCCTGCACATGTATCTCTTTCTGTGCAGGCCTTGGAATCCCACCCTATTACTTTTCAAATTCAAACCACTTGGTTTCAAAACTGATAACCTGTAATGCCTACAAAGCCAGTTTGAGGCCCTCTCGCTACAAAAAATTATCCCAGGCAGGAGCTATGAACACACAGGTAACTTTATGAACATTGCTGAGCCTTTCAGACTCTGGAGATAAAGCACTGAAAGTTGAGGGCCAAGATTCAAACGAAAAGCTGCATCCAATGCAGCACAGAGAGTTGCAGTCAGGAGAGGCGCTCAGAGAAGCGCAAGGGCTTCAGCACACCATTCTGGTGTTATTCCAGAGGGTCCTCTAATTGGCAGTGGGGTTGGGGCAGCACAGTGACAGGAAGGGGCACACGCAAATTCCTCAGGCAGCCCTTTGGATCCTGTCCCAATTTCCAGATATTTCCACAATCACATGATTACAGTTGCTTGAACCCTTGTTCTGGTCCTACCTTTCCGTTTCAGTCCATCTTGTTACCAGTGGAGGCTTCCTGAATCTATAAGCATGATCTGTAGAGAAATGTAAAAGGGATGCTTTTCGCTCACTGTCTCTCACAGGACGATCATCTAAAAAAAAAATAAAAAAATACAACCCAAAAGGGAAGAAAATGTGTTTATGATGGTCTGCATGCAAGGAGAACATTTGCAAATTCAATACTAGAATATTCCCAAATTTATAAGATGAAAGTTTTTTCTTAAAAACCCCCACACAATTGTACACCTTGTGGCAACTGCCCTTGTGTCTTGAAGGGAACAGTGAGCGCAGAGGGAGGTGGTTTCTGAGATTCTGCAGGTACAGGGAGAAGACTTCAAGGGCACCTCTGCACCCACAGGAGCCATGTTGGCAACCCAGCTCCAGAAGGCAGAAACTAAACCAATGGGTTCAAATTCAAAGATGAAGGCTTAGTCTATACATTAGGAAGAACTTCCCAATAATATGAACAGACTGCCTTGGAAGGTGGCAGTCTCTGCTTCGTTAAGAGGTTTCCAAACAGAGGCTTGATAGCCACTTATCAGGAATGTAGTAGATTTCCTGCACTGGCAAGAGGCTAACTAGATAACTCTGATGATTCTCTTCCCTCCCCCTCATGCCTAAATCTGGTGCAATCGACTGGATTAAGTTCATGGTGACCCTACATACAACATTTAAAATATGTGTTCTGACCTATTTTGAACATTATCTGGGTTTTAATATTTAAGTTTCTTTTTTTACAAACTTTATTGAAGTTTTTAAAAACAATTACCAAGCATAAAGTGTTGCCTTCCAGGACAAAATACATGTACAGGTATTTTATAGTTCTATTCATTTAACTTTTGAAATATTTTCAAGCAGTGAGTCACTATAAGTCAAGTGTGAAAGCAGAGTATAAAATAATCCGAATAATTCAAAAAACTTTTCCCCAAAACGTGGGGAGAATGGCACAGTGTAAAAGAAGGTACTGATTTGCTCCCTCAGTCTGTAAAACTCAGGCGGAAATTGTCAGAACAATATCCTAGTGGCACAGAGACAGACGCCACCAAGAGATGCTTGTCAATTCAGCCCTCTGAGCCATAGCCCCTTCTGGTTAATAATGAAAATAAAGGGTCCAGGGTATCTTTCATAACACTGCGAACCAAGAAGGGGAGGTACTGCAAGTAAGAGAAAGAAATGGGAGACGAATGATTTCTTTTTAATTTTCACACCATAAAGCAGCTCTATGCACCAGGGGCATTGCATGGGGGGTGCCAGAGGGATGTGGCCCTGGGTGCGGATTTTTGAGGGGGCGTGAAGCAGGTGTCTTTATGCAGGCACCCCAAGTGTGGGCCGGCACTCCTCTCCTGGTGTTGGAGGAACCAATGCTCATGGAAAGGAGAACTGGGCTGGGCTGCACTGGGGGCGCCAGCGTGGAGGTGCCTGGTTCGGCCTGCCAAGTGCCACGTCAGCTGGGCTCCCCCAAGCAGGGGCAGCCAGGCGGCACAGTGCTAGCCTGTGGGCTACAGTGTGGAGCAGGATCACTGCAACGGGGTCAGAGGTGAGCGCTGGGGTGCTGCAACGGGCTCCTTCACCCTCCATGCCGTGTCGCACGAGCACCCCCTTGGCACTCCCAGGCACGTACCAGCGCATGTGCGCCCCAGGCACTGTCAGCTCACTCAAGACCGCAGCTATGCACAGCAACTCAGAGCAGGGCTTTCAGCGCCACTGCTCCGGTTTAGTGCCAACAGTATCTACAGGTACCCATGATCTGTAACTTCCAGAAACAACTGAATGCATTTGTTTCACCAGGTAGAAGGGTCTCCAAAACTATCCCTGAGTAAGACTGCCAAGAACTGCATGGGTTTGTGTAAATGTAGGTAAGTATCCTGTCAACAGAAATTAAGCAGGAAACAAAGAAGAAAACTATTTTCTTATCCAAGTATTTATGTATATAGCTGCCACGTAGAGCAAGGTGTGCGTTATGAGGACGTCTAATGATATCACATTTACAAAAAATATTGAAATGTAACCGTCAAACAGAATAAAGCTCCCTTTCATTCACAAACTACTATGACTGTGACATTGTTCAAATGATTGCTTTATGGTCTTGGTTTGGCTCTTTAATCATTCAGAATCAAGACTCTGTAAACTGAAGTCACCTTTCCCTTCCCATCGAATCTATGATAATCTAACTGTGCTAGCTTTCCAATTACAAATGAATGGTAGAACTCACAGGAACTTTGATAGGAGAACCATGATAAATTCTCCTACTGGACCTACTCCCTTTCCCCCCAGTTCATTTATTACATGTTTTTGCCATTGCGTATACACATGCACACTGTAACTAAGAAAGTCAACCTCAAAGTCCTGATTTCTTTACACTGCTCAGAAATTTTTACCTTGCAAGGGAAAAGAAGGCAGGCTCTTTGCCAAGATTCAACAGCCATCAAGGCTGTCTGTTACCACTTGGAGGTTGGATTTCTGACTCCCAGCCACCTCTCCCTTCTACTTCATGACTGACAGTTCCCAAACCCACCTTCAGGTGAAAAGCATCTTAAAGGCACTGAAGTATTTGTGGGATGGGACAAGACAGGACCAACAGAGAACAGGAAACAGGACTGGCCCCTTTGAGCAAATGCAAAGAATTTGGATACAATTTGCAAAGCTTCCCTATAAAAAGGCAAGAATACTACAAATGGATTTGGTATAGCTTCTGTTGCTCGGTCCCTGCTCCTGCCAACCCAGCAGTTCGAAAGCATGTCAAAGTGCAAGTAGATAAATAGGTACCGCTCCGGCGGAAAAGTAAACGGCGTTTCCGTGCGCTGCTCTGGTTCGCCAGAAGCGGCTTAGTCATGCTGGCCACATGACCCGGAAGCTGTACGCCGGCTCCCTCAGCCAATAAAGTGAGATGAGCGCCGCAACCCCAGAGTCGGCCATGACTGGACCTAATGGTCAGGGCCCCTTTACCTTTATCTTTAGAATAATAGAGTTGGATAGAGTTGGAAGGGACCTTGCGTACCATCTCATCCAACCTCCTGCAATGCAGGAATATGCAGATCAAACCTGCAACCTTGGCATTACTTGTCAAACTATCTGTCAGTTTTTCAGAAAATGCATACATAGGAAACGAGAAAGAAGGTAAGCAGCAAAAGGGAATTATGGCACTTCGTTTAAACAGAGATTTTGGCCACACAGCAAAACAAAAACAAGAAGAAACAGCTTGGCCACAAAATGTACCCTCAACGAGTAGCAGCAGACATCCTTGTTTCCAGATGTGTGCATGTGTATATGATACATGTACTTTCAAAAATCTATTTACTGCATTCACATTCTACATTTAGTTGCTTGCCTTAAAAAAGTAACATGAGATGATAAAAAAATATTTCCCAGCTTTGGGAATAGCTGGGCAGCCAAAATATTTTCATCACCTTTTTCTTTTTCTTTTCAATAGGTACTAACATGGCTCTGTTGTGTCATCTTACTCACCCAACTGCCTGAGATTCGGGAGCATGTGAATGACAAAAAGACGATAATCAGATTCATTTTTAACAACAGGATTCAGCCGGAAATCCACATCCTTGAGTGCAGTTAAGCTGTGGAGTCGAAATACTTCCGACAACGAGGAAATGTAATTGAAGTAAAGATTGAGCTTTTCTAGGCATGTAAGATGTTGAAGACCCTGTTAACAAATGGTTAAAAAGCAATTTTATGTTTATTCCCATCTTACAACTCCAGTAAACTGTGCATAAATCAGTACTTATTGCTTGTAGCCACAGACAATTGCAAACAGTGCTAAGCAAGTTAAATAACTAAAGCTAAGATGTAAAAACATGAGCCACTGAGCCACCCAATTTTCGTTTAACGAAAGAAAGCATAGCTAAAATAAACCATTCAGTGAATTCTTTCTGCTTACTAAGATTAGTGAACACTTTTGCAATCCACTGACACTTTCTTTAAAGCTCAAACTTTCCTAACTGCAGCAGCAAATAATGCTACTTGATACACTCATAGCGATCTAAAAGCAAGTATCACACACTATCCTGTATTAACCACATATAAAGGTAAAGGGACCCCTGACCATTAGGTCCAGTCGCGGACAACTCTGGGGTTGCGGCGCTCATCTCGCTTTCCTGGCCGACGGAGCCGGCGTACAGCTTCCGGGTCATGTGACCAGCATGACCAAGCCGCTTCTGTCGAACCAGAGCAGGGCATGGAAACGCCGTTTACCTTCCGGCCGGAGTGGTACCTATTTATCTACTTGCACTTTGATGTGCTTTTGAACTGCTAGGTGGGCAGGAGCAGGGATCGAGCAACGGGAGCTCACCCCGTTGCAGGGATTCAAACCGCCGACCTTCTGATCGGCAAGCCCTAGGCTCTGTGGTTTAGACCACAGTGCCACCCGCATCCCATTGACCACATATAGTGGGATGGAAATTTCACTCTGAAAGAGTCATATAATGGATCAAACAATAAATAATGGGCTAAGTACTCTGTGCAACCACATCCACAGATATATAATCTATATCCAAAAGAAGCAGTTGCTTAATCTGAATAGGGTACCTTAGATAATTGTTAAGTTATAATGCCCCACTACTTGCCCCTCAACACCCCGCACCAGGTGCCGGAGAGCTTTCCTTCACCCCTGGGTGCATCTAGCTCAGTACAGTGGTACCTCGGGTTACATACGCTTCAGGTTACATACGCTTCAGGTTACAGACTCCGCTAACCCAGAAATAGTACCTTGAGTTAAGAACTTTGCCCCAGGATAAGAATGGAAATTGCCCGCTAGCGGGAGGCCCCATTAGCAAAAGCACGCCTCAAGTTAAGAACTGTTTCAGGTTAAGAACGGACCTCTGGAACGAATTACGTACTTAACCCAAGGTACCACTGTATTGTCTAATCTGAATGGCAGTGGCATGTTTTTTAACCTGTGCTGGACCACTGAAATATGGTACCTTCCTTCTCAAGGGATTTAGACATCGTGGGTGAGGTTTTATCTTTTTACAGACTGTTTATAGTTGTAAACCAGCACAGGGTAAAATAACCAATCCTATGCAAACTGGGTGAACCATGTCTGAAATGTTAATTCGCTTACAAAACTGTTTAATTCAATAGATCTACAATGTAAAACATACAAAGCCCCAAATATGCCTTACCTCCAAGGTAGTCAATGCATTGCGTGAAAGGTCAAGTGATTTTAGATGAATAAAATTTTCCATTGAGTTTCCTAAATGACTAATCTTTTCATGGTAAGTTCCAGGAAGAGACAATGACCGGACATCAGCTAGAATGAGAAAATTATTGAGAGTTTAATAATTCATTCCGATGGCACTTAAGATAAGGAACAACGTATTTCATGATAATAGCGTGGATCAAAGTGTTTAGAAGAAGTGTCCATCAAGGAAGAAAAAGAGAATAGGAAGGAAACAGGGTGGCGGAAACCAGACTTGCACTGCACTGACAAAATATTAAGCGTAGCCTACATTTCAGAATGCAACTGAAGGTGGGTCCCAAGTCCTAAAAGGCTAAAAACAGAAAGTTGATTTTCTGATGGCTCCAGAGAACAAGAGATAGAAAATTGGCAAAGTGCAATATTGGATTGGACTTGATTTTTACTTTTAAAAAGGTATATGAAACTTTTGAAGTTGTGCAAAACCTTTTGCCCAGTTCAAGAGTTGGAACAGATACAACAAAAGATGCTATCAATACAGACGCTTCATGTAATCAATCCAATAAATAAATTGATCCCATAATTAATGGTTCCTTTGAGTCTACTGCATCTCTGTTCTGGTCTCGTCTCCTTCCAAATGGTCTCACTGGGGACAGGCAGTTATTGTCATTCTTCGCATAACTAGGGCATTGAAGTACTTCCAAATCAAATACCTATCCAGCTTCAGAATAAATTCATGTTGTTTCTTCTTCACACAAGGGAGTGCTTTGGCTTTGCCTTTTACCAGTTGGGGTACAAAATACACTCCTCTGAGGCTGGGTGGAAGAGAGCTTAATTCTTATCCCCCCCCACTCTCCAGGTGGCTCCCCAATGTTGCTAGCCTCCAACTCCCATCATCCCCAGCCAGCATGGCCAATCATGAGGGATGATGGAATATGGCGACAGAGACCCAGTTTAGTCATCTCTGTCCTAAATTATTTCAGGTGTAAGGATGAGCTATCTAATAACACCTGGAGTAGCACATTCTACATTTATTTGCAGTATTTCTATTTTAATTCAGAAAAGGAAGTGTATGATGGGAAACACTGCTGCAAAGTATTGTGCCTTTCTCTTTTGAAGAAATTCTGAATGTGCATTCCAGAAGTGTGGGCTGATGCAAATGTTAACTCACTCCTGGGGGAGCCCTTTTGAACCCCAGTAAAGAGTGTGACCACTTCAGCTCGTAGATGCCCACAAAGGCTGCTTCTGCACCGTGCAAGGGATCTCCTAATAAGACAAGGAGAGCCACTCCAGGGATTAACGGACCACAACTCCCCTACTTGGTGTTTGCTTTATTTATACACGACTGTATTTGATATTATAATGATTGCGAGAGACAAGAGCAGCAGCAGCAGCACCACGCTGGCTGCGCCTGCGCGAAGCCTAGGAAGGTTTCCCGGTGGACACATCAACGCTGACACATACATCGCCCCCTACTGGACAGAGGATCGACCCGCCAATCAAGAGCCTCCGCCTCTCCGATAGGACAGCGCGCACCCCTTGTCCAGCCCCCTCCGCGCGCAGTACACCAACCCGCCCTTTTTGCCGCCTGATTAACGGATCCAACAGCCAGTCAGGGCGCCTGGTTTGAAAGCTCCGTCTGTCAGTTCTCCCCACCCCCCGCTCGTCGGTCACCGAGATTCTGGTGCGTCAGGCAGACTCTCTCGCGGATGCTTTCCTCCGTCAGCGGAACCCCGTCCGCCGCCATCGCTTTCCGTGCGCCCCGCTTTAAACGGGCGCTTGCCGCCCTGCCTGAGGGGAAGCCAGCGTCGCCGCAGGGCGCATGCGCCGGGTCATGCTGATCCCGCGCCGGGAAGAGGCCAATCGGACCCTCGGCCTTGGGGAGCGGAGCCGCCCCCGGGGAGGCCGCTGCCCAATCAGCCGCTGAAGAGTCGCGCGCTCCGTTGCCGGGCAACGCCTGAGCGAGTTCCGCCTTCGGAGCTTCTGGGCGGGAAATTGTCTGAGGAGGCGCCTTCAGAAGAAAGAGAGAAAACAAAAAGAAGCAGCCGCGAGGAGCGGGGCTTGAGTTGTAGCACAAAACACAACGACCTTATATGTCCTATGATCCGGGGACACCCAGAAAGTACAAAATAAATGCAGCTGCGTAAGAACACGAACCATTCCCAAAATAGGATTATAAACGAACCTCTTAAATATATATGCACATATGTAATGAGAGGCATGAGCTCACTTTTGCCGGGTGATACCTTGGTTTACAACCATAATCCGTTCTGGAGCTCCGGTTGTAAACCAAGGCGCACTTTCGCCAATGGGGCCTCCAAAAACAAATAATTTGTTGTAATAAAGGGACACACTTCAGGGTTTGACGTGGTTGTAATCCAAAACGGTTGTAAAAAACGGTTGCAAACCAAGGTACCACTGTATCTAGTATAATTTGAGATGAGCAATCTCTTTAAAATGGGGGGGGGGGGCAGTTTATTGGGTTGATTATGTATTTTGCAATTTATATTGTGATTTCATCCTGTGAGCTATTTTATGCATAGGCCTGTGTAATTATGAGAGTATTTACTGGAATTTCATTCTTTTGCAATTGCAGCTGATTAATAATTTGTTAGGGACACGGGTGGCGCTGTGGGTTAAACCTGGGACTTGCCGATCAGAAGGTTGGCGGTTCGAATCCCCGCGACGGGGTGAGCTCCCATTGCTCGGTCCCTGCTCCTGCCAACCTAGCAGTTCAAAAGCACGTCAAAGTGCAAGCAGATAAATAGGTACCGCTCCGGCGGGAAGGTAAAAGGCGTTTCCGTGCGCTGCTCTGGTTCACCAGAAGCGGCTTAGTCATGCTGGCTACATGACCCGGAAAAACTGCGGACAAACATCGGCTCCCTCGGCCTGTAAAGCGAGATGAGCGCCGCAACCCCAGAGTCGGCCACAACTGGACCTAATGGTCAGGGGTCCCTTTACCTTTACTAATAATTTGTTATTTACACATTAATTTTGCCTTTTTGAAATGGAGTTGTGTTTGCAAAGTATACTGAGTCCCAAGAATGTAGAAGCTGGCCAATCCTTTCCTAAATGAATAATGAAAACTGGATTATTTATAAAGAACACCGTAGAAATGCTTTCAAAACAACGGGAGTACAACAACTTCAGCACAGAGCATGATTCTTCCTCTGCCAGGACCTTTAAAGGGGAAAGTGGTATGTTCAGTTTTTATGGAAGTAGAAGGGAGAAGGATGTGTGTAACAAATGTCTTCTGGATGTACTTGTACAAAATCTTGATTTTCATGAGATCAAAAGGTACAGAGGGAGGATGCTCACAAACTGACTCTTCTTGGGTGGAGATTTGGTGTCAGAGTTTTCCGCAGCGTTTAGAACAAAATGTTAATAAACTTACATGTTACAAAACAACAATGTGTTGTAATCAAGCATAGGAATTGAGTGATGGCAAAAGTGTTTATCATTGGGAGCTGAGAAAGATTTTGTAATTTCTTGAAGACCATAACTTAAAACAGGTCTCTTTCCCATTGGTCGTAAAAATAAGTAGCATACTCTGAATGGTCTGCAAAGGAAAGTTGAACTTAGTGGCAATGAATTTAAGGGCAGGATTATACATACACACGTTTTGATTATTCAATTCTTTATTACTCTAGCCTGGTCTTCCCATACAGCAGAATGAAGATGTAGAATCCCAAGGTAGGTAGCATCATTTCTGAATCAACCCTTTAACTTACAAACTAGACTACCATGAACAAAGTTTTTAGACTTCCCCCTCCCTGCAGATGATTGCTTCTTTCCAGAAGAGGTCAACAGGCATCTGGTACCCTGTCGTGACATCACTTACATAGGCCTTTTAATATTTTTGGCAAAATCTTTTCACATCTTCAAAACATGAGCAGATCATTCCTGTTATTCTAGAGGAATCTCTCCTCAGGGCATTCTTGGTCCACTGTTGACCAGTCATCAAAGTTTGGTGGCAGTGTCACCCACTGACCCACCTGGAACAGACCAGCAAGTGGATCCATGTCTTTTTCAGAGCTACAGTTGCCAGAGAACTATCCCTTCGCGGAGTTGTGGTCTGGGGCCTTGGCAATGTAATCCATTGATTAAATTCTTCAAAGTTTATAGTTTTACCTTTTGTAGGTACGAAACAGGCAAGAGAAAGTTAAATTCCCAAGACCACTGCAGATAAATCCTTGAATTTGAACCAACATTGATCAGATTTGTACCCTACATTTTAGCAAATGGAACACTGGACTGCATATAAAGTGCATTTCTGAATCCAAAAAAAAGGTATACATTATTTGAACATCATTTGCCAATAGCGTTAAATTCATTGCACCCCTAAATGACAAGCTCCGTATGTTTTTACAGTAAGAATACAAATTGGCATCCCTTTCATTAAACAGTTAAGAAAAGTGCTTTTATTTGAAGTCTGTTCTATGGGTTTTGGCAAGGTAACAGGGTAATAGTTTTAGAATAATGTGAGTTTTGAAAGAATGATGATGAATCTGTTGTCATGTGAAGCAAGCACAGAGTAAAGTATTTGGATGTTCTGCCAGTTTTTAGAAATATCTTCCTTCCCTTTAATTTTAACATAATGATAGCATTCATAGACTGTTTATGCTGCTTTTATTAGGGTTTTACAGCAAACATGTGCAAGCCAAAAAGGCAAATCATTAAATTAAAAATTGAAGCAGGAATTTCAGTAGAGCAGATTTCTCCCCTAAGAGTGGTATCGTATAACTAAAGTACAGAGCAGGTTGTAACTTTTCAAAACACTGTCTCTTCAGTAATTTTCAAAGCTTTGAATGCTTTGCACTCTGCATTTTGTTTCATTGTTTTAGATGCAAACATGCATGCGCTAGAAGATTACAATGGGTCAAAAAAAATGGATGTACCGTGCTATATTAGAAGCAAAAAAACTTGTTTTGATGAATTGGAAGAGCCGCAAAAAGATTCCATTGAGCACATGGATTGATAATATGGACAGATTAGCTACATACGAACGAATTGCATGTCGATGCAAATTAAGAATGGATAAATATGAATAAATCTTGAAGGAATATTTAAGCGATAAGGTGGATAGTGATGGGAAGTAGGGGGAGGAGAGAGGGGGGGAAAATATTGTTTAAAAGGTGTTGTTGTTGTTTAGTCGTTTAGTCGTGTCCGACTCTTCGTGACCCCATGAACCAGAGCACGCCAGGCACTCCTGTCTTCTAAAAAGTAGTCATAGTGTATTGAGATCTGAATTGTCAAATTGTGTTATTAGTGTTATTAATGGTTTTTGTTGTATGTGTCTTTTGCGGTTGGTTGTATTGAAAAAATAATTTAAAAAATTAGAAAAACAAAAACATGCAATGCGCTGATTGTTTAAATTGTCTACTTTTAAGATAGGCAATTAGCTGGCAGTCCTTTGACTCAATCTCTCCCTTATGCACATCAACCATCTAATCTAGTATGAAATGAGACACACAGAGAGGGCTCTTTTTTTATTCCCCTTATCCAGTGTGAATAGCAACAGAGACTGCTGGTTTTCCCTCAGTTTCTGAATCACATGCACAAGAAACATTCAAATGGGAGCAGGTTGCTGAAGTGCTTAAGGGAAAGCTCTACCAAAGCTTCCATTATTCACATAGAGTTGGGGGGGCTAAAGACCCCTTTTTGCCTGTATGATGAGAGTAAGCAACTGACTTGAATAATGGCAAGAGGACTCTTGGTTTTCACATGGAGTTGAGGGACCTCTGCTTAAAATTCTGTGCATTCCTTAGGTAACTTAGGTATAGTTCCACTCTAAGGCAAGCTCATGTGGGCCATATTACTAGCATCCGTGGAGGTATCTCAGCAGCTTAGTGAGAAAATCTTATACAGCCTCAAATGTTTCTTCCTTTCTCAGGCCTCAGAAGCAGCAGCATAGCGTGTGCTACCGTTGCCCGGGGCATGTGTGTGCCGGGGGGGAGAGGCACGGAGGCAGCCTGTTGCGGCAGCTTCAAATCAATCGGATCAGACTGATTTGAAGGGCACACTCACTCCACCCTGGCAGCCCTGTGTGGAATTGCAAGGCTGGGGTGGGACTCTCCACTGCTTCCACCCCCTGGGCCACGTGGTCTTCCTCCCTCCTTGATGGCCCAGGGGAGGGGTGCACACGGCTGTCCCTTCAGTGGCCATAAGGAGAAGGAGGCACTGCTGTCACTCCCTTGAAGGTCCAGCCTGGGTATGTGAAATATACTCGGAGTCGAGTGTGGATTTCCTGCTCTTTATTCAGCTCATAGTGGTGAGGAAGAATGAAGTTCCCCCAGAATGTCTGCTTTATATACATTATTTATACAATGGGCCCCACATGATTGGCTAATCCCAGGATTCACCTGTAGGCCAATCAGGTTGTGGATTCACTTCCACCTGGAGCTGGATTGAGTGGCTCCTGTGGTCCAATCAGACTGCTGCATTCTGGACCCTATTGTTCTAGGACCAATCAGACTGCTGCCTTTTGGATCCTATTCAACTCAGTACATAACACCATGGCTTCCCTCCATGCAGAGCCAAGCTTGAGGAGGGAGCCTGTTGTGGGGGCGCCTGGTTGCACCCCATCATCAAAATGTGCCTAAGGCCACGCTCCCGCCAGCCCCCCACGCTATGCCACCACTCAGAAGACAGGCTAAAGAAAACACCACTATAGCGCACTGCTTAACAGAACTTAACCACACTGACATTTGAGCAGTGAGAGGCGATGTTAAAGGCATGGCTGTGTTAGGAAGGAAAATCAAGAGACAGGAATTGAGAATCATTAAGCAAGCTAAACTGAGGTCCAAAAAAGATAAATGGCTAAAAATAACCTGCCTTGAATTTCAGGGAGGGGGGGGCACTAAAGATGTTAAAACATTTGAGATTTGGAAACATGCCCTGCAGGGTTCCTGGAAGCAAAGTTATCAGTCACCACGGAGGAGGGGGCAA